ACATGCAAGCCTCTGTTTCCCTAACATGAGTAATGGGAGTAATAGGCAGGCATGTTCAAGGGAGCATTATGTCTGTGATATGTTGAGCAGTGAGAACGAATGGCGCCCCGCTCTGTGCTCCTTGTGTCTGAGAGGGATGAGACAGAACTTTACTGGCCAAAACAAAGCTTGACATTTCCAACAAATCTGGTAGAAGCCCTCTTAGTGGAAATTTGATTTGGCTTTGGATTCCTTCATGTTCCTCATGAGAGTACAGATGAATCAGTCTCAGATATCTAGAACTTAAAATGCACAGCATGCCACACCTGGTCTATTACAGATCACAGAGTGTGAAAGTCACGGTTCGGTGACTCTCCCTGTGTCTTAGAACTGTTTATGACAGAACCCAGAACGTTAGGACAGCACAGCTACTGGGCTCTTGAGGGGCTCCTAGAAGCCACCAAGCCCATTTTCAGACCTGTGCTCCCTGGCGGGGGAGGGGGAAGACAAGCCTGTGGGTGGCCTAGGCCCCATCCTTGCTCCTAACAGCACAGTCTGCTTTTATCTGTTTACAGATTGGGTTCCAAGACATTCCATCAGGGAAAAGGGGTTCCGCCTCTGAAAGCGATCAGGGGTTTGAAATCCCCCCGTCTATTTCACCAGTCTTGTCCAACGCGCACGGCCCTGACAGACAAGCCGGAAAGAGGTCTGCATGTCTTGGGCTACTCCCTTGGCCAAGACCACACAGAGAAGAGGTGACCTCAGGCCCAGGCCTCCTGAGAGCCCGGCCAGGGGTGTGACCTCAATGATGAGCAGGGTGTAGCCAGATCCAGGCCAAGAAATCTTTCCCAGGCCTGTGGGCTCATGTAACATCTCACGGAGATTCCTCAGTGGACAGAGGCCAAAAATCATACCTGCATGAGTTAGAGGGACTTAAGAGCTCTGTGTGTCTCCCTGGAGTGCAAATTCTTCACAGGTGCCATGCAGATCCTGCGTAGGTCCCCCATGATGGGGCGATCTCTACATTCAGGGGACAATTATGACCCCATGACCCTTGAGATTGCAAACCAAAATGAGGAAGGATCTTGGCCCAGCTCCACACAACTGCACTCCAACTTTCTCAGTGCCTTGGCATCATAACCATTGGGCTTCTGAATGTTAAAACTAAGGTCCTGAAAAGCTGGGGCAGTGGGATAAAATGCTGGCTGAGCTGAATCACGGCCTCTAAAGTCTTAGTGCATTGAGTGGCAGGTCAGCCTGTGCAAGAACAGATCGGGAATGACGTGAGGCTAAGTCTGAAGTCTTTATCTGCAAACCCAAAGGTTCATATGGGCTGGCCGTGGGAAAGGGATGTGCTAGGAAATAAGGAGATCTCTGCCACCTACTGTGCTCAGACTATGTGCATTTACTAACTGTGTTTGCTAAACAGGACCAGAGAGAGCAAGCCATTTGCCCACAGTCACACAGAGGGAGTCTGAGTACTCTTAACCACCTTCTGCTGCTTCCACATCTATGCAGTGGAGTTGGGAGTTACATGGAAACAGTTTGGTTTATATCTATATCTCTATCACATCATATCTATCTATCTTGCACACAATATAGTGTACCCACACAATTATTCAAAAATCGCCCCTCGGGTGTGCATGTGTGCTCTCTTACAAATGTATACATGAAGATTTCTCGCCAAGTCCACAGAGCGAAGGAGCAAGAGGCCCCGCCCCAGACAAGTGCCGGCTCGCAGCTTCCCAGAAGAGAGGTAGCTGGGCCAGCAAGCTAAGACTCGAGCAACACCAGTGGCTTCCTGCTCTACTGAGGTGCAGGTTGGACCTTCTCCAGAGAGTTCTGTAGACCCCACCCTCCCCTCAACTCAGGCTTTGATTTGGCTTGGTGTTGAGAACTAAAAATAACTACTATGCACTGAGTGCTTTCTATGTGCCAGGCACTGTGATAATCTTATTTTGTCTTCATAAAAACCTACAGAGGCAATACTCTCAGCCCCATCTTACAGATGAAGAAACTGAGGTTCAGAAATGATAAATAATTGACCCAAAGTTACACAGTTAGCAGGTGGTGGAGCTGGTACTGGAGCCCAAGAAGTCAGGTCATAAGTGCATCTTTCTGGTGGCAAAGTCAGAAAAAAAGCACCTGGTTCTATTTTTCACTGTGACTTTGTGCAAGTTATTTTCTTTCTTTGAGTCTTCATTTCCCAGCTTCAAAAAGGAAGAGCTGATCTCTAAAAGCTCTTTCCACTTTTATTCATTCCTAAATCCAAAACCTTCCACTTTTCCTAGTAGTATTTATTGAGTCTGGCATGTACCAGTTACCGATCTCCACATTGCAGCTGGAAGCTGTATGACAAGAAGGAAACACCCAGGTGAGAAATTGAGTAGAGGGATACCAGGCAAAGGCTCTGAGGCAGGTCCCAGTTTGCTTGTGTTTGCTCTGTGGAAAGAGTGGTGGGAGGTACAACTGGAGACCCAGACAGGGCTCAGCTGGTGTGAGACCTTTAGCCTCGGTAAGGAGATTAGATTTTAATCTAAGTGAAAGGGAAGCCACTGGAAAAAATTAAAGCAGATAAATGATAAGAATTGATTTAAATTTTTGTAGGATGTTTCAAAATAGTGGTTCTGGATGTCAGAGACTGGAAGGATAGTGCAGGGAGCCCACGGAACCTCTGCAACCTGCTGGCACGTTCATTTGTACGGACCAGGCACCAGGAAATGACTGTTCAGACCCAGTGCCCTCCCTCAGCAAACTGCGGGTCAGGTCTGCAGGTCCCACACCTTGCACACAGCTGTGAGCATCAGTACCACCCAATGGTGCCCTCTCTCAGCATGGCATCCCTCCTCCACGGTCAGCCTAGCCCTGATTTCTTCCCTCCAGCTCATCTTAAGGGCTCCTGGCAGGCTGCACTGAGCTGAGCCATGCAGTGTCTTGTTGGGGCCTGCCCACTCTGCCACTGACCTGGTGAACAGGAAGCTCTCTGCGCCCTGCACTGCAGGGCAGACAGAGCTGCCAGGCAGGCTGTGTGCAGCTCAGGCTCACTGAGTCGGAGCAAATATACCTGGGACGGGGTAAGGACCCATCTCCCCTGGGGATTCAACTCCAGGAGCTGTGCCATCTTGTAAGTGTTGGGCCCCCAAATGATTCAGGGGTCCCTTCCTGGCACGTCAGGGATGGGTGAGTATGACCTTTGCCTGGGGCTGGCTTCCCTATGCCCTGTGGTGGATAAGGGTGAGAGAAGGGACAGGAGAGTGGGGAGCTGAGACATTGTCAAACGTCCCCTGACAGCTCTTCCTGACATTGGCTTTTGGACCCCAAATGTGGGTATCTGTATCCATCCTGTCCCCTCTTTGCAGAGGTACAAGGGCTGGGGGCTATCCCCACATAGTCTAAAGTGACAGATGGTGGATGATGCTGGAAGGATGGGGCTATTCAGGTTCTTTTCTGCTCCAGACTTTCAGAACTGAGTTAGGTGGACTTTCCCAGCCAGGGATGGTACCAGCAGGAGCTTTCAGAACCCTGGGCCCAGTTCACTCAGGACTCTGGGAAGATTTGGCTTTCAGCCTCTGCTCTCTTCTCACCCTGGAGTTTAACTCTGTCCTGCCTTTGAGGAGCCAGGCAACTGGAAAAACAAGTTGGGCCTGTTTCATCAAGGAATGCTCTAGCACTCTGGCCACCAGCCAGGAATCTGTTTAGGAAGGGGGACCTTGGTGGGCAGGCCAGCCACCAGTCCCAAGCACCCAGCCTTACACTTGACCCCCAAACTCTATTCCTGCCCCTGGCCCTGGGGAGTCTTCCACTAGGACCCAGGCTGGATTCTGGATAGCTCTATGGAACACAGCAAGAGGGAGAATGGGGACAGCAAGGAACCTTCCAGGGTAAAGCATTTGTTCATGGTGAGTTCAACAGAAACTATTTTCTAGGGAACAGTTCCTACCTGGTCAGCCACTGTGTGGCCTGGGGCAGACTCATGCCCACTCTGGATCTCCTTCTCCATCTGTGCATGAGGAATGGGGACAGAACTCCATCACCTCTAAGGCCCGCTTCTGCGTTGAAGTCTGAAGTTCCAGGAATCTGAGAGTTGTCTGTTCTGGTCATAAGAGGGTCAGAGTCAGATCTGTCCACAGAGCTGGGTGGTGGGACAAGGCCCAAGGTCAGCCCTGGGGCAAAGTTAATGTGAGACCCCATCTTAAAATTCAAAGTAATAGCAAAAGGGCTGGGGCATGACTGAAGTGACAGAGTGCTTGTCGAGCAAGCCAAGGCCCTGGGTTAAATCTTGAGTATTGCCAAAAACAGCTTTTAAAAATGGCTAATATTAAAACTTACTAATACTAGACACTCTGCTAGACCATTCACCTTCATTATTTCCTTTAATTTTCACAGCAGTTGTACGAGATGGATAATATTCTTATCCTTCTGTGGAAGGAGAAATTGATGCCAGTCCGGTTATCTTGGTCACGTTGCTTTTCGGCAGCCCCTGCGTGTGCAGATGTAGCTCAATGTGGCTGGATCTTAGGCCTGATTTTAGGGATGGGGGCGCCTTGCTGGAGGGATTGTGAGAAGATAGCTAAGAATTGGGACTATTTCCCCACAGGGTAGCCACAGAGAGTCTGGAAAAAGAAGTAAGTGATCAGCATTGGGGTTTATTTGCCAAGTGCCCTTGAGAGGACATGTCAAGTTGTCTATGTTCTGGTTACAAGATGAGTCAAAATCAGTCTCTGTCCACAGGGCTAGGTGGTGAAACAGATGTAGCTGTGTCTTTTATTCTCCAAGCACCTTGGCACTGTTGGCACTTGGAGTCAGATAATTCTTTGTTGGAGGGGCTGTCCTGTTATTGTAGGATGGTCTCTGGCCTCAGCCTACTATATGCCAGTAGAACCTTCCCCAAGTTGAGAGAGCCAAAACCACCTTCAGACATTGTCAGATGTCCCTGGCTGGAGAAAACGACCTCCAGTTAAGAACCAGGGCAGTGAGAACCATTTCTTTTCTAACTTGCACCCTTCTTACCTTTTTGCCAGGGTTTCGAGAGTTTCTTTCACCATGATTGCTGCCTCGTTGGCTTTGGTCATTTTGTTGATTCATTGTGTCACCTGTGAGAAACCTCTAGAAGGAACCATCTCCCCTCTGGCTTGGCGCTTCACACACTCCCTGTACAATGTTACCATCTATGAAAACTCTGCTCCCAAGACCTATGTGGAGAGCCCCGTGAAAATGGGGATGTACCTGGCAGAGCCCCAGTGGGCTGTGCGGTACCGGATCATCTCTGGGGATGTGAGCAATGTGTTTAAAACGGAGGAGTATGTGGTGGGAAACTTCTGCTTTCTGAGAATACGGACAAAAAGCAGCAACACGGCCCTTCTGAACAGGGAGGTGCGAGACAGTTACACTCTCATCATCCAAGCCACAGAGAAGACCTTGGAGTGGGAAGCTCTGACCCGTGTCGTGGTCAGCATCCTGGACCAGAATGACCTGAAGCCACTCTTCTCCCCACCTTCATACAGAGTGACCATCTCTGAGGACACGCCCCTCAAGAGCCCCATCTGTAAAGTGACGGCCACAGATGCTGACTTGGGCCAGAACGCCGAGTTCTATTACACCTTTAACACAAGGTCAGAGGTGTTTGCAATCCATCCCACCAGTGGGGTGGTCACTGTGGCTGGGAAGCTCAATGTCACCTGGCGAGGGAAGTATGAACTCCAGGTGCTGGCTGTGGATCGCATGCGAAAACTGTCTGAGGGCAATGGGTTTGGCAACTTGGCTGCCCTTGTCATCCACGTGGAACCTGCCCCCAGAAAGCCCCCTGCCATTGCCTCAGTGCTCGTGACTCCATCAGATGGCGATGAAGGTACCACCTATGCCACTGCAGTGGTCGATGCAAATGGCGCAGGAGCCCAAGTGGAGTCACTGGAGATTGTTGGTGGTGACCCTGGAAAGCACTTCAAGGCCATCAAGTCCTATGCAGAGAGCAATGAGTTCAGTCTGGTGTCTGTCAAGGACATTGACTGGGTGGAGCACCCCCACGGATTCAACCTCAGCCTCCAGGCCCGGAGTGGGAGCAGAGCTGTCTCCCATTCCCACATCAGGGCTTTTCACCTCCCACCTTCCAAGCTCTCCTCTCTCAAGTTTGAAAAGGCCGTTTACAGAGCACGGCTCCTTGAGTTCTCTCCTCCTGGCAGTCGCGTGGCACTGGTGAGAGTGACACCAGCCTTCTCTACCCTGCAGTATGTTCTAAAGCCATCCCCTGAGAACACAGGCTTTAAACTTAACGCCCACACTGGACTGATCACCACCACAAAGCTTATGGACTTCCAAGACCGAGCCCACTACCAGCTCCACGTGAGAACCTCACCAAACCTGGCCTCCACTACAGTGCTCATTGACATCGTGGACTGTAACAACCATGCCCCTGTCTTCAACAGGTCTTCCTATGATGGCATGTTGGATGAGAACATCCCTCCAGGCACCAGTGTTTTGACTGTTACAGCCACAGACTGGGACCATGGGGAGAATGGCTATGTCACTTATTCCCTCTCTGGCCCCAAAGCTGTGCCATTCTCTATTGACCCTTACCTGGGGGTCATCTCTACCACCAAACCCATGGACTATGAGCTCATGAAAAGAATTTATACCTTCCAGGTGCGGGCGTCAGACTGGGGATCCCCTTTTCGCCAGGAGAAGGAAGTGTCTGTTTCTCTTAGGCTCAGGAACTTAAATGACAACCAACCTATGTTCGAGGACGTCAACTGCACTGTGTCTCTGCACCAAGATTCACCAGCAGGGACATCAATAATTACGATGTCGGCCATAGATGTGGATGAGCTTCAGAATCTAAGGTACGAGATTGTGTCGGGCAACGAGCAAGAATATTTTGATCTAAATCATTTCTCCGGGATGATAGTCCTCAAGCGCTCGTTTATGAATCTCACTGCTGGCCAGTCTATCAGTTATTCCCTGAAAATTACAGCCTGGGATGGCAAAAATTATGCCTCGCCCACAACTTTGAATGTGACTGTGGTGAAGGATCCTCGTTCTGAGGTCCCTGTAATGTGTGAGAAAACAGGAGTGTTGAGACATTTCACAAAGACCATCCTGCACTCTGTTGGACTTCAGGATCAGGAGCCCAGTGATGACGAATTCACTTCTCTCAGCACATATCAGATCAATCGCCACACCCCCCGATTTGAGGACCACTTCCCCCAATCCATTGACATCTTTGAGCAAGTTCCCATCAATACCCCCTTGGCCCACCTGGCGGCCACTGATCCTGATGCTGGCTTCAATGGCAAACTGGTCTACGTGATCACAGATGGCAATGAGGAGGGCTGCTTTGACATTGAGCTAGAGACAGGGCTACTCACACTAGCTGCACCGTTGGACTACGAAACCACCAGTTTCTATGTCCTCAATGTAACAGTGTACGACCTGGGCACACCCCAGAAGTCATCCTGGAAGCTGTTGACAGTGACTGTGAAAGACTGGAATGACAATGCTCCCAGGTTTCCTCCAGGAGGGTACCAGCTCAGTATTGCAGAGGACACAGAAGTTGGAACCGTCATTGCAGAGCTAAAAACAAAAGATGCTGATTCGGAGGACAATGGGAGGGTTCGCTATACCCTGCTGAGTCCCACAGAGAAGTTCTCCCTCCATCCTCTCACTGGGGAGCTCGTTGTCACAGGACCGCTGGACCGAGAATCAGAACCTCGGTATGTACTCAAGGTAGAGGCCAGGGATCAACCCAGGAAGGGCCACCAGCTCTTCTCTGTCACTGACTTGATAGTCACATTGGAAGATACCAATGATAATTCTCCACAGTGCATCACAGAACGCAATAGCCTGAAGGTCCCAGAGGACCTGCCCCCTGGGACTATTTTGACATTCCTGGACGCCTCTGATCCTGACCTGGGCCCTGCAGGTGAAGTGCGATATATCCTGTTGGATGATGACCATGGGACCTTCCGGGTGGACCTGACAACTGGGGCTCTGAGTCTGGAGAAAGAGTTGGACTTTGAGAGGCGGGCTGGGTACAACTTGAGCCTGTGGGCCAGTGACAGTGGGAGGCCGCTGGCCCGCAGGACACTCTGCCACGTGGAGGTGATAGTCCTGGATGTGAATGAGAATCTGCACCCACCCCGCTTTGCCTCCTTTGTGCACCAGGGTCAGGTGCAAGAGAACAGTCCCCCAGGGACTCAGGTGATGCTCGTGGCCGCCCATGATGAGGATGGAGGCTTGGATGGGGAGCTCCAGTACTTCTTGCGGGCTGGCACTGGCCTGGAAGCCTTCAGAATCCACCAGGACACAGGTACTGGGGGTACCCCCCCTGAGGTGGGATGGGAGAGCCAGGGCCTGAAAGGTGGGCTGGAGGGAAATTAGGCTGAAGTGGAAAAGAAAGGCAGTAAATGGGAATTCTCCTCTCTGTTTCCTTTATTTAAAATTTGTCTTTACTGGACACACACATTCTGTTTATGAAACTAATGCAAGCTGTTTATAATTTTTTACATAATTATATATAAGAAATAAATATTTTTCTATGTCTCATCTCTCCCAAATATAATCTTTTTTTTTTTTTTTTTGGCAGTTCTGGGGTTTGAACTCAAGACCTCATGCTTGCTGAGCAGGCACTCTACAACTTGAGCCACTCCACCAGCCCCAAATGTAATCTTAATTAACAATTTAGTCTATCCTCTTCTAAATTTTTTCTCTGTATATCTGATATAGTTTTCTACTCACTTTATTATTATGAAAACAGTACAATAGACACTATTCTGAAATTTATTTTTTCCATATTGTATAACATCAAGACATCTTATTAGTCAGCACATATAAATATTTTTCATCCTTTATATTGGCCACATATTATTCTGTCACATGAGTGCAACATTCTTATTCATGTACTTTTACCCATCTATCTGAGTCTCACAGGAATAGTTCTTAAAAGTGAAGTTTCTGGATCAAAAGATACTATGCACTTGTATATACATGCTGGGTTAGGGACCAAACCCCAGAGCCTCACACATGCCTCTTCCACAGCTGATAGTGTCTATTTCCAATGGTAACAGATATTTCCAAATTGCCTTCTCAAAAGGTGCCACCAACTTATTATTTTTTTAAGCTTTGTGCATATCACATGCAACACAGCAAACACATTCTGGGCACCCACTGCTCAGGTAGGCACCTTGGGGAGACCCAAGGTGAATGAAGGCAGGCCGTTTTGCCCTCAGGTTTACCCCCCAATGGGTGATTTCTTTCCAGAATGAAGGGCAGGACAATGAGGGAGGAAGATCATTCCATTTAGTCAATTCAAGACCAAGTTCATTCACTTTGATGCTGCAAAATCTTGGCCAACTCCTGCTCCCATTCTGGGCCTCATTTTCCCATCTGTCACCTCTGGCATACTCTGCTCTGATTGTAAGCATGGGCCCTGCCCCATGAAGGCCCTAACAGCTGACTGAGATCCATGAGAACTTTGGGTGCGAGCTATTTTATTTATTAATTAATTAATTAATTTATTTATGGCATTGGGGCTTGAATTCAGGGCCTTATGCTTGCAAATCAGATGCATTTTGCCACTTGATATGCACCTCCAGTCCATTTATTCTGGTTATTTTGGAGATGGGGTCTCAAGAACTATTTGCCCCAGCTAGCCTTGAGTCAAGATCCTCCTGATCTCAGCCTCCCATGTAGCTAGGATTACAGGTGTGAGCCACCAGTGCCTGGCTGGCTTAATACACTTTAGAGCACTTGGATCATTGTCTTGGTGGTGAGCCTGATATGGATGGCACCATTCACACCACCTGCAAATGAATTCTGTACTAAGAAAATATCTTTTGGGCAGAGTCTAATAAATAACCTTCCAAGTAGCTAGTATTATAGGCATGAGACCCTGTGCCCAGCACAATGCAAGCTCTTGTGCTCACTGTTGGACCATCACCTTCTGGAACAGACCTAACCCATAGGAAAGCAATTTGTGGAGTAAATGAACTAAAGAATGAAGCTAAGCTCCTCAAATCATGACAGTAGTGGAGAAGGAAATACAAGTTTATTTATGGAATCCTTAACCCTTAAGATGTTGATCTACCAGGACTTAAAGAGTAAAGGAAGTAGTTTAAGAAGAGCCATAAGGAAATCCCACTTACAGAGTGTGGAGTAAGTCAATGGAACTTGAGTTGAAGTAGTCAGGAGAAAGTTGATCACTTGCTACTGTCTTCTGGAACCCATATGCCTGTATGCCAGAGTCAAGGGCTCATCTTAGCATAGAAAAGCTCTGAGAGGTCTACAACATGGACCTCAATCCCCCTGTGTCCACCTGAGCATCTCCCACCTCCTACTGACAGCCATTCCTGCTTCATGGGAATACCTATCTATAGTATGGGTCTAGGGAATGTTGGGTGGAGTAATTTCTTTTTTCCTATCTGGTTGCATTTATTTATTTATTTATTTATTTATTTATTTGGGGTAGAGTGATTTCTAAAGCCACTTTGAGATCTAAAGTATTTTGGGTTTGGTGATTCACTGTCCACAGGAATGATTCAGACTCTGGTGCCTCTGGACCGAGAATTTGTACCCTTCTACTGGTTGACAGTACTGGCTGTGGACAGGAGTTCTGTGCCACTCTCTTCTGTTACTGAAGTCTACATTGAGGTTACAGATGTCAATGACAACCCACCCAGGATGTCCAGACCCGTGTTCTATCCCTCCATCCAGGAGGATGCACCCTTGGGTACTTCTGTGCTTCAGCTGGATGCCTGGGACCCGGATTCCAGCTCTCAAGGGAAACTCACATTCAACATCACCAGTGGGAACCACATGGGATTCTTCGTTATTCACCCTTCCACAGGTGAGAACCAGATGGCTGGGTGGACAGGGGTCTCTATGATGTTGCTTCTCAAAGTGTGGTCCCTGAGCATATCAGCATCACCTTCAATCTTGTTGGAAATTCAGATTCTCAGGCCCCACCCTAGATGAGCTGAGTCCAGGTTCTAAGGGTGATCTTGACCATCTGTGTTTTAACAAGACATGCAGGGGTTCTGACAAGTACTGAAGTCCATCTCCACAGGAAAATGAGAAGAATCTGTTGTCAGTTTTCTTGCCTTGGGGTCCAGTAGGTCACCTAGAGGTCAGACCCCCAAATGCTCCCAAATTGACCCCTCCTTACATCATAAGCCATGCATCAGAAGCCACATCTACCCTCGTTCCAAACTGATCTCAACCCTGCCCACAGAGTGGTGGCAATAGGGATCCACTTACACCGGTCAATTCTCTCACCAGCATCTGTCCTTGGCCTAAGGACATTTGAGGACAAGGACAGTGGATGGCTTCGAGGAATACAGAAGTCACCAGGTGGCAGCAGTGAGCCAGGCAGAGCCCCCAGTGGGATTTAGTTTGATTCACACAAGATTTAACAACCATTTCCCAAGTTGTGGCCAACATTTAAAAACTGGCAAATTCCACCAAGCATTCCAGATTTGTTGTTCTTTAAAGGTGGAAAGATCTGGCCACACTGTCTCCACATTCCCACAGGGCCACAGTGTGCCAGAGGCTGACAGCAGCTCCCTGTGCACACCAGGTACATGTCCTCTGGCCCCCATGGTCCTCTGTCCCTATCATCTTATTCCCTGCCTGCTGCCACCTGCCTGACTCCCTTTGACCCAGGCATTTGGGCCAGTGTCCCAGTGCTACGGACACTTCTCAAAGATCATGTCTTTCTCTTAGGGTAGGAGAAACTCTATTGTAGAGAAGGCTGACATTTCCCCTTCTGAACCCAACATCCCATTCCAAAACTACTTTCCTTGTTGAAAGGACAGAGGCCTGTATGATTGGAGAACAGGGAGAGATTAGTGGGCTTCCCTGGTCCTTAAGACAAAAAGGATCTGGGAAGAGTGATAGTCTGGGAATCCTGGGGCAGACAGTGGGTAAGGAATGCAGCTGTGTCTTCCCCAGTGACATTTATTGGGAGCCTGTTAATCTTTGGCTGCAGAGTATGGGTCAGTCCTCTTAGCAGGAGCTGCTTTTCTCCTAGAAAACAGGCCTAAACTGGCTCTCTACCTGGGCCCGCCCCGTCCCTCCCTTTTCAGAGAACTAAGATATCTCTCACCTAAGGCATTAACTTCTCAACTTCTCCCAAATTCCTGCTCTGTTTACTATCAACAGTTTCCTGACAGCAGGTCTGGCAAAATGCCCTAGTTGGCAGAGATGTTCTCAGTGTTCCTGCTATGGAAGAGAAGAAATTCTTATTAGCATGAACATTTTTAAAAATAAGAGAAGGCATGAGCCATGAGTCTCCCCACCCCTCTTCCTCATCTCCACTATTGTGCTGCCCCACCCCTCCTTGGGGAGCTTGGTTGGCTTCTCTATGTCCCAGATGAAGTCAGAGCCTGCTGTGTCCCATAGACTTGTACCTGACCTGGCCACACTTGTCTCTCTGGTTCACCTTGTCCTTCTCCCTCTGTCCTCTAGGTTCCAGTCACATGACTACTTCTATCCCAACACAGGACCTTGCACAGGCTGTTCTCCCCAGCACAAGTCTCTTTTGTCTCATTGGCTTCTACTGTCCTTCAGAGCCCTGTCCTGCTGTTCCTTCCTTTAGAGAACTTTTTCCTGATATCATAACACACTTCCTGGCACCACTTATACTTACATCCCTTGTAACACTTACCACAATTCGTTTGTGCGATTGTTCCATTAATTATCCATGTCCACTACACCTCAAAGGTACCAGAAAAGGGACCTTGACTGGTTTGGCCCACCAGGATGTTGTCAGTACTTGGCACCCACTAGTACCTCAATAAGTAATTGTAAAATGGACTTCTTCAGATCAGAAGACAGAAACTGGGTCTACATTGAGAAGTCCAGACCTGTGTAGCAGCAGGCGGCAGCAGCCAGCATTTGCGTGAGGCAATGCAGGCTGTACTTGTCTTGTGGCTTTGTTTGCTTTATTGGAGGGACAGTTCTCAAGGCTCTCACTCCTCTTTGCTCTCAGGGTTCATCCTGCCTCTCAGCGCAACCAGCAGCAAAAGAGACTCTTCTATAGTAGAAGTTCCACAGTTGATTCTCATGAGACAGATGGGCCACTTGTCTGTGGCAGTCACCAGTCACCAGCCCTGGGGGACGTACTATGCTAATTGGCCAGTGTGTGGCCCAGATGTGCACGAAGTCAGCCTTGTTCCAGACCCTGAAAGCAGGAGAAACTGAGGTCTGTTTATTAAAAAAAAAAAAAAAGCATTGACTGATGGGCAGAAGATACCCAAGTGCAAATATGTTCCATAAACTTCAGGAACAAGGAACCAAAAGTGCACTCAACAATGCCCGTAGTCACCCTGTGTAACCAGGTAGCAGCAGCCCACTGGCTGTTCCCAGTGGGCGACCATTCTGATTGGGCAGGTTGCTAATGAGGCAGGGTGCTTATGCTGTGCTAGTTGCTGAATTTTTGACCTGTCCTCTCTGCCTGATGGAAAGAATGGACATAGGCAGGAACTTGGGCTAACACATTACCTCTGAGGTTATCTCTCATCTTCTCACTTTCCCTTACCTTTCTCAAAGTTCCATTTTTCCTTAACATACTTGCTCTTCAAAAGCCAGAAGAATTCTCCTCTGGGAGTTGAGTTGTGTCCCTGGGAGCTCTTTCATCCTTCCGCCATCTCTCCTGCAGGTGTCCTAGCCACAGCCCGGCTGCTGGACCGAGAGAACAAGGATGAGCACATTCTGGAGGTGAGCAGTGGCGATCTTTGCTAGCTCTTCAGCCCAGAGAAGAGGAAGCATGTGAAACCATGTCCAGGCTGGGCAGGAACTATAGATTGACTAGCAATGCCTGACGTGAACAGCACACGTGTGCTATGTACTTGTCCAGTCTGATTTCCAGTCCATCTCCCTAGCTCAGAGAGAATCACCCAAGGTCAAGTGCAAGGTCAGAGCCAGGTTTAAAAAATTTTTTCTATATCCATGCTCTTTCTAGGACATCTTCGAGGTCACATAGACATAGGTGCCCATCCCAACGAGAGGCCTCCATCAGTGAAATAGAGGGGAGTAAACTAGAAGAGAAGGATGTCAGATGGGAAATCCAGCTATCTCTCCTTCCCCCCACTAAGCCGTCCATACTGATGAACAGGCACAAAGGCTAGAGAGGGAGGAACGTATATTCATCAGAATCAATTTTGCCTTCAGTGCTTACAGGCTCTGCAATTCTCTTTCCTTTTGTAAAAAAAAAAATAATGAGTCTTATAAGTAAGCAACAGCAAAACAGCCATCTAGGGGTTCCTAGGACTGGAAGCATGAAGAATTGTTCATTAGTTCAGGAACAGATACTTACCTTGAAACACTGAAGTGTGTGTGTGTGTGTGTGGTGCTGGGGATGGAACCCAGGGTTTTGGGCACGCTAGGCAAATGCTGTACCACTGAGCTCCCTCCCCAGCTCCTAAAACACTTTTAAAAGTGAGTGGAAATGCCTATCTCATACCTTGCTCATGGGGCTATGGATGTGTGGGATGATTGTCCCCTCCACAAAATGGCTCCTGATTCCAAAATTGCCTTAGTGCTGTTTCCCACGTTCTGGATTTTACTGCAACCATCAGACTGTATGTCGACCTCGATGCTCCCACCCTATGCAACCTGCATAAAAATCTTCCAACCTAGAATAGCTTGAGGAAACCAGAGAACAAGTCTTCTGCGAATTGCAAGCAAATAAATACTCTCTGAGAACTGGCCCATGGGGTTTCCAGGGTGAAGAGCACCAGCTTTGGTCTGGGGATTCTGACCTTGGCTTGTTCCAGTTCTCACTGGTTTCCTTCTCTGTTCTCACTGGCTTTTCTGTGGGTGAGGTTATTAGGGAGCTGAGTTCCAAGTGGCTGAGGTTATGATAATAAAATAATGAGCAGACTAACAAAAGAATAAGCTGACTAATATTTGCAGGCTATCAAAAACACTGGTAGGGTTGTTGTGGGTGGCAGTACCTATGCACTTCTTGGCATTTGGCAACTCAGGTACTCATGAGCCCTTCTGCCCCCAGGTGACTGTGCTGGACAATGGGGAGCCGTCCCTGAAGTCCACCTCCAGGGTGGTGGTATGCATCTTGGACGTCAATGACAACCCACCTGTTTTCTCCCACAAGCTCTTCAATGTCCGCCTTCCAGAAAGGTTGAACCCGGGGTCCTCTGGATCCATATACAGGCTGGTGGCTTCAGATCCAGATGATGGTCTCAATGGCAGTGTCACCTACAGCATTGAGGAGAGTGACGAAGAGGGCTTCAGAATCGATCCAGTCACAGGGGTGGTGTCATCCAGCAGCGCCTTTGTTGCTGGAGAGTACGACATCCTAACGGTGAGCAGGTAGATGGAGGCCACAGAGGTGGAGAACATACTGGTGATTTTCTATGAGGACACAGGAGAAAAGAGACGACTAAGGGCGAGATGGAAGCAGAAGCCCTTTCTGGACTTCCCCCAGAGAAACTAGGAGTTCCTATTCTCAGCCAAGGATCAGAATTCTTTGAGGGAAGTAAGGACTTGGGAAAACCTTTTATTCTTGCAGATAAGAATTTAGGGAGAGTAACAGGGTCTTCAGAATCAAGATTTGCTTAGATTTGAACCCCAGAATTGCTGTTTTATACCTATGTGGCTTTGGACAAGTCATTTAACTCTATAAACTGGGCATAAGAACACTTTCCTTGCAAGAAGCCAAGGTATCAATGGTTGGGCCATGGGTTCAGACAGCCTGAACTCAAGATCAGTCTTGTTGCTGAGCAGGCTTATAATCCAGTGGGTGGATTCACCACACTGAGCCCGCTCTCCTCACGTAAAAGGGAGATCAGTGGTAGTGGTTCCCCTCCCAGGGCTCCTGTGAGGATTAAATGAAGCTCTTAGAGCAAGATCTGATACTAGTGAGAGCTCACTGACTTCCAGCCTATTAAGCACATTAATAGTTTTTAGGAGCAGTAAAGAGGACATGCATGTGAAGTCCAGTTTAGGAATGAGAACACAGCAAGCCTCCACTTAATAATGGCTTTTCTTATTGTCCACTAACCAAGAGATTCTAGAGCACAGGCTACATGTTTTGCTCAACACTGCCTCCAGCCTGGCACCCTGAAGTGTGTGTGGAATGAATGAATGGATGGGGAAGCTAGCTTAGTGGTGGCTCAATTTTGGTGTTGGTCTGGTCTCTTTTTTAGATTAAGGCAACAGACAGTGGGCTGCCACCACTCTCAACCAGCGTCCGGCTACACATTGAATGGATCCCCCAGCCTCGGCCATCCTCCATACCACTAGCCTTTGATGAGACCTACTACAGCTTTACAGTCATGGAGACAGACCCTGTAAACCACATGGTGGGGTTCATCAGTGTAGAGGGCCGGCCTGGCCTCTTTTGGTTCCACATCTCAGGTGAGGCCCAAGGAGGACCCATTTCTCCCATCTTTATAGACCAGCTCATCCTCATGGTACATCCTTCTGATCCCTCTCAAGGTCATGCTCCTTGGCAGTCCATCTTTTGGCCCTGAATGGTGCTCACCATTTCCCTGATGGCTAAGAACATTGAACATTTTTTCACATATTTATTGGCCATTTGTACTCCAATTTATTGATTAGACTATTATTTTTCCCTTTGATTGGGTTATATTTTTCCCCTTGGTGTTCACCAAGGGTGGTAGTAAAAATGACGCTTCTCCAGCCTTCCTTCCATTACAGCCAGGATCTCAGGTGGAACATCTATGATTTCACTGGTGACCCCAGCCAGGATTGGGCAGTCCCTCAGTTACTCCAAATGCCCAAGAGATCAAAGGCAAATGGTCCGGGAAGACCCACAGGAGAAACAAACAAAATTTGTGGACTATCATCTTGAGACAAGTTTGCGGTCATGCTCATTTTGCTGGTCTCACATTCCATCCTCATCATGTATGTGGTGGTGGGGTGCTGGGAATTGAACCCAGGGCTAAGCACACTCTCCTTCACTGAGCCACACACCCAAGCCCTGTGCTCATTCTTATGCTAAGAGGCTCGTGGATCCAGGCTTTCATGGGAAGCTCCAATATTCCTTTCTGTCTCTAAATCAAGTTGGATTAAAAAAAAAAAGAAAGAAAGAAAATGTGAGGATCAATGGTATTGGGAATCTGATGACTGCTTAAGTTCTGTTCCTACAAAGTTATACATATACATGTGCACACCTACAAATGTAAATTTGCATAAAAACTTAGGGGTTCTATGTTCCTTTGTTTGATTTTTTTCCTTGTCTTTTTCTTTTTATTCATAGATATTAATTGTCATTATGGCACTGTCATACATGTATATCATGTAGTTTGATAATACCCCTGTCACCTTTTCTTATCCCCCTTCTTTCTTCTCAAATACTCTCATTCTACACTCAGGTCTTTTTTTAAAACTTAGATTCCACATATGAGAGAAAACATGCAATATTTGTCTGTCTGAAACTAGCTTATTTCACTTAACATCATGATCTTCACTTCCACCCATTTTCCCTCAAATGACATAATTTCATGCGTTTTTATAGCTAAATAAAAGTTCACTGTATATGCATGCCATATTTTCTCTATGCATTCATCTGTTGATAGTTCCTAGGCTGGTTCCTTATCTTGGCTATGGTGAATAGTGCTGCAGCAGCATGGGTGTGCAGATGTCTCTACTGTGTGCTGACTTTGATTGCTTTGGGGACACCCATGCATGACATGGCTGGATCATAGGGCGGTTCTAGTTTTAGTTTTCTAAGGAATGTCCATACTGACTTCCATAGTGGCTGGACTAATTTACATTCCCACCATCTCCTCCACCTCCATCCCCTGCATCCCTCCAGCATTTGTTGTTTGTTTCTTAATGACAGCCATTTGACTGTGGTGAGATGTAATCTCAGTGTTGTTTTCATTTGCGTCTCTCTGACAGCTAAGGATGTTGAATGTTTTTTACACGTTTATTGGTCATTTATACTTCCTCAGTTCATTTATTTGCCCATTATTTGTTGGCTTAATTTTCTCTCTCCCTTTCTTTCCTTCCTTCCTTCCTTCCTTCTTTCTTTCTTTCTCTCTCTCCCCTTCCCCCTCCCTCCCTCCCTTTCTTCCTTCTCCCTTCCCTTCCTCCTTTCCTTTCTTCCTTTCATACTGGGGGTTGAACTCAGGGCCTCATGGTTACTAATAGGCATTCTGCCACTTGAGTCACTCTTCCAGGCCTTTTTGCATTGGTTATTTTTGAGATAGCATTTCACTTTATGCCTGGGCCCACCTGGACTGCAATCCTCCTATTTGTGTTGGAGTGACAGTCATATACCATCACACTCAGCCATTAGTTGAGATGGGGTCTCTCAACTTTTTTGTTCAGGCTGGCCTCAAACTTCAATCCTCCCAATCATTGCCTCCTGAGTAACTAGGATTATAGGCTTACACCACTGTGCCCAACCATCCATTTGTCAGTTCTTGTTATTATTTCCTGAGCTATTTGAATCCTATTCAAAAAGTCACTGCCTATGCCTGCATCCTCTTTTTTTTTGGCAGTACTGGGGTTTGAACTCAGAGCCTTGTGCTTGCTACACCAGCTCTCTACCATTTGAGCCACTTTACCAGCGCCCCCCCCCCCATGCCTGTATCTTAAAGCGTTTTCCAATAGTCGTTTCAACGTTTCATTAAGGTCTTTGATCCATTTGGACTTGATTTTGGCACAGGGTGAGAGGCAGGGATCTAGTTTCCGTCTTCTACACGTGGATGTCCACTTTTCCCAGCAGCGTTTGTTGAAGAGGCTGTCCTTTGTTGAGAATCAAGTGGCTATAGCACCATGTGTTTATTTCTGGGTCCTCCATTCTGTCCCATTGGTCTATGTGTCTGTTTTTGTGCCAGTACCATGATTTTTTTTGCTATTATGGCTCTGTAGTATAATTTGAAATCAGGTGTTGTGATACCTCTAGCACTGTTCTTTTTTGTCTATTCAAGGTCTTCTGAGCTTCCATATGAATTTTAGGATTGGTGGCTTTTTTTCTCTTTTTGGCAGCACTGGGATTTGAACTCAGGGCCTTACGCTTGCAAGCAGGCATTCTTACTGCTTGAGTCCCACCACCAACAGGATTGCTTTCCTTTATATGTAATTAATGCATGTATCCTAGAGAAATATTTAGGAAACACAAATGAGAAGAAAACAAAAACTATTTAAAGTCCCACCAATCAGAAGATAAACGACTGTTAAAATTTTGATGTGTTTTTTATGTACACACAGAGAGTTGTATTAAAATATTGTTTTATAATATTTTAAATATAATATATTGTGAACATAGTTCCATGTCACTAAATAGAATTCTGTTTTGTAGGTGTTTAAATAGCTCCATGCTATTCTATATTTTAGATTCTTTTTTTTTTCTAAATTGATTTCCTTTTATTGACAGAGTTATTTTGATTGTTTCCTGTGTCTGGGCATAGGACTGTCACAGGTAGAAACCATGGAGTAGGGCTCCCTTGCTCCTGCATGTCTCAATCCCAGAGGCAGAATAAATTCTATGGCAAAATTTGGTCCTCCTAAGGACTCTTTAGTCTTTATAGATTTTCCTTTTTTTTATGTCATCATTTGGGTCTTGATAATAATTTGATAGGAGAAATGACAGCTTTTTGGACTTTCAAGGGCATACACTCCAGCCTGTCATTCAGTTATATACAGTTTCTGAACAGTCTTAGAATCTCTGACTCAGATTCTTCTTTGAATGGCCCCAGTCCTGCCAGCCAAGGTCAGTCAAGGTTCTGTCTAGCAATGCCCTAAATCTGATGACCATGTCCAGTTTGCTGCTTAAGGTTGGATGTGCTCTTTCTCCACTGCCACTCCAGGTGGAGATAGGGACATGGATTTTGACATTGAGAAGACCACTGGAAGCATAATTATTGCAAGGCCTCTTGATACAAGAAGAAGGTCGAGCTACAACTTGACGGTGGAGGTGACGGATGGCTTCCACACCATTGCTACCCAGGTGAGGTGACAGGCCTTACTTGGCAACTAAACTCCTGAGTTGAGAGGAGATGGGGGGCCTTCTTGGTTGGGAGGAGGCTACCAAAGGCTTTCTATGGACGCGTCTACCTCAAAGAATGCTGAACTTGGAATCAAAGTTCTGAGCTCTGGTCTTACCTAATACAAAGTCTACTTCTCTGGTCTTCGGAGAAGTTTTGTTTCACCGTGGATCTCTTTACGATGAGGGGATTTGTCCAAATGAGCAGTTTTAATTAAAGATAGTATGCCATAGGGGCTACTAGGGGTATGAAGAATGATGGTCAGGTAACGGAGCTCTCAGTTTCTACTCTGGCTGAAATTATAATGGCTTTATTTCAGACATTGGGATTTTACACACTTCATTTGAAAAAATTACCTGTTAAAATTTTCATTTTTGAAACCACGTTATAGTACAGTATCTGAAAGCCTTCTGATTTTGAAATCCTATCTATCATTCATTCAACAAGCATTTAATGAATAGAGTGGTTGCTGGTTGCCAGGCACTGTGCTAGAACAGATGGTACCATGGAGGTCCATACAGACATGTCTACCTCTATTAGCTAACAGTCCACCCCTCTCACTAACCTCCCTAGGTCCACATCTTCATGATTTCCAATGTTAACCATCACCGACCTCAGTTTCTGGAAGCTCATTATGAGGTCAGAGTCCCCCAGGACACACTGCCTGGGGTCGAGCTCCTCAGAGTCCAGGCCACGGATCAAGACAAAGGCAAGGGCCTCATTTACACCATACAGGGCAGCCAAGACCCGGGAAGTGCCAACCTCTTCCAGCTGGATCCTAGCAGTGGTGTCCTGGTGACTGTAGGGAAACTGGACCTGGGCTCGGGGCCTTCCCAGCACACGTTGACCATTATGGTGAGCAGATTGGAAACAGGGTGAGGACATGCCTACATGCAGGGGTGGGGGGCATGCTGGGAGCAGGATGAAGGTTCCTGTTCCCTCATGAGCCAGGTGTATCAGTGTCCATACTGATAACCTTGGGGACAGACCTGTGATGCTTCACAGCTGGCCCGAGTGATGATAGAGACAGGATGGCAAGGAGATTCCTGTCAACCTTGACTTTCCCTGACTCACTTCCCTACCCCATGACTTTATAAGTACAGTATGACTTGATCCAGTGTCAGAGCTAGAGGGGACCCAGAGACACTCCCACCCAGAGCAAGGTCTAGGATCAGACAAGCAGGTCTGTAGGAAATAAAATTTAAGGAGGACTCACTCTCTGGTCATGTACCTCTGTTTTTATGACCTCAAGAATGACAGCCTCCTAAATTTTGCACTGTACATACTTCACTTGTCCGAGTCCCGGCCCCACCCCATTTCTCTTACCTTAACCTGAGGCCCACAGAGGAAGACAGAGTTGCTTACTGTCATACATTTCTTTATGATGAAACTAGAAGCAGTCTGGTCTCCTGGCTTAGGGTTCTTCTATGCCAATTTATCATCCTCTGGGCACATTAGTGTGTCTGTAGTGCTCCCCAATTTACTCAGCCATAGTATTTTCTTTTCCCGTGCAACATCTTGAAGAACTAATATTCTCTGAGACCTAACCTGGAAAATACTGCTTCTCTGCCTATTTCTGCCTTTCTCCTAAGTGGAATTGTCCATTAAAGCAGCCAAACCTAAGGATCAACGATTGACATATTTATTTATAGAAAGAGCATAGATTGGAGCAAGATTTAAAAGAATACACAGAAATGAGGTACACTTTGTCTGGCATTCTATTTCTTTGCGTTTAATCTGACCCTACTTCCTCTCATTCTCTTCGCTGCTCACCCTGTTACCCCTTGGGCCCAAAGGTCCGAGACCAAGAGATGCCCGTTAAGAGGAACTTCGTGTGGGTGACCATTCACGTGGAGGATGGAAACCTTCACTCACCCCGCTTCACCCAGCTCCAGTATGAGGCAAGTGTTCCTGACACCACAGCCCCTGGCACAGAGCTGCTGCAGGTCCGAGCTGTGGATGCTGACCGGGGAGTCAACGCTGAGGTCCACTACTCCTTCCTGAAAGGTGAGAGACCTGGCCATGGGTCCAGAGGATGGAAAGGAAGGGAGGCACTGGAGGTGTGACTTTGCAGACTAAGAAGTACCAAGCTTACCAAGCTTTGGCAAATGACAGTTCTACAGCATTCCATCTAATGACCTGAGTTAATGCACTTCCAAAGATGGTAACAGCAATAATGAAGGGGAGGTGAAGGGATGGCTCAAGTTATGGGAGAATTTGAATACCGTGTGTTACAAGCCACCAATAATGTATGTATGTAGACGATGTTAGTGGGCCCAAGCATGTTCTTAGTAACAACTTCTTGCATGCACATTAGAAAGGATATATAAACACTTTATTAGGAATAGTAGGTGTATGGCATAATGTATGGTATAGTTTTAAGAGTAACTTTTATTTTCTGCTAAGGCCATATAATGACTTAACATCTATTACATGGTTTTCTTCATCTAGAAAGTTGTTGTAAAGATACACAGATAAAATGTATGTTAATATATATTGTAAACCGTAAAATATTATACAAATGCCAGGGGTTAATACTATCATTGGTAAGCATTAATTATAAGTAGTTAATGTGACAAAAGTGATAATATCCAGTATCCAATGAATTATTTGGGATAATTTGTAATGTTGATAATGTGCAATTAATGGCATTTCATAGTAATTATCTTTAATAACAGTTACTGTTTCACAGAGCTCGATGTTATGGAGGGACAGAGATGAACCTGAACTGCTCTCTACCCTCCGAGCATAATGTTCATTTATTGCATCCTCAAGAAATCAGAGCTTTTCTTTTTTTACATTTTCCTTTTAGAAGATGTAGTTGCTATATGACAGAAGTCTATTTATCTCTGAAAAAGAATAATATAAATTATAATGAATTGTTTATTTTTTGATGAAGTGTAATCACATCTTTTCTCTCATTTCATCTTATCGACAGCACTACTGATGGAAATAATAGGTTTTTTTTTACAAATAAGATTAGTTTTAAAATTACCCTTCTGTGTTCAAAAATGAGCATGAGTTACCTCTATAAGTAGAGAGTAATAATTTTGTGAATTTCCCTGTCATCTTTCCCTAGCTGCTTGTTTTATTGAGATTTCTACAATTTTGTGCCCTGATTTTGTTCTCTCAGCAGTATAACATAAGAAATCAGAATAATTATATTCAAACAGCTCAGCTCTTTGCCTCGCAAGTGAAACCATAAAATATGCACTTTTGTGATAAAGGGAATAAGAAATGTGAAGAGTGGAGCTTATCCCTGTACTCCCAGCCCCTGAAAGACATAGGTAGAAGGATTGCGGTCAGAAGCCAGCCCAGGCAAAAACATGAGACAATATCAGGAAAACAACTAAAGCAAAATGGCTTAGGGGCATGGCCCAAGTGGTAGAGCACTGCCTAGCAAGCACAAAGCCCTGAGTTCAAACCATAGTACCACCAAAATAAAAATATGAAATTTTAAGAGTGAACCGATTCAAAGGAAATACCCATTAAATAACATTATAAGATAAGATATTTCATGAGTGCATGATAGGATAAACAGTGACTGGATATTGAAAAAAATTATCAAGACAATGCGAGAACTCTGAAGCTTAGGAAACACAGGGGTAGTGGAAGCCTTGATAGCGAAGTCTGAAGACCTGGGTGTTCTAGCCAGTCCTTCCCCACCCAACTCCTTGTCATACACTCCTTACATCTGGCAAGGGGACCTTCTCCCCAGAGACCACAAAGGGAATAGTGGCTTTTAAAGTTTGTATCCATTTGACAGCTTATGACTCCATATTTACAGTTTCATCTATTAAGTGTATAACCCAAGCATTAACAGGCATATAAAGGATGGCTTAAAATGCCTTGCCATGTAACTGAAGCTTTCCCTACAAAATGCACCACTGAGATTCAGGGTGGAGTATGCTTTTCCTATAAACTTTCTTTTTATAACTTTGGTTTTGCAACTGAAGTCGTGTCTCAGAGACTTTTTGAAGCTGCCATGAATGAATGTGTGCACCACCATGTGTACCATGTTAGGAATTGTGTAAAGTGTGTATGTATCCCACACACTACATCAGACTCAGTCCAGGGGATGCGGGATGCTGATTTGTATGATAACCCGTCCTAGTTCTGTACAACAGTCTACTTGATGCCTCCCAGGGATGTGGGAAACTCCAGTGTGTCTTGTCTTCTCTTCCAGGCAACAGCGAGGGTTTCTTCAACATCAATTCCCTCCTAGGCATCATCACGGTAGCCCAGAAATTTAATCGAGCAAATCATGTCCAGCATACATTGGCTGTAGAGGCAGAAGATCAAGGCTCCCCTCAGAGGCATGACCTGGCTACAGTGATCATTCATGTCTACCCCTCAGATAGCAGTGCCCCAATTTTTTCAAAACCTGAGTACTTTGTAGAGATCCCAGAATCAATCTCTCTCGGCTCCCCAATCCTTCTCATCTCCACAACAAGCCCCTCTGAAGTTACCTATGAGTTAAGAGAGGGAAACAAGGATGGCGTGTTCTCTATGAACTCATATTCTGGGCTCATTTCCACCCAGAAGAACTTAGACCACGAGAAAATCTCATTTTACCAGCTGAAAATCCGAGGCAGGAATATGGCAGGTGCATTTACCGATGTTGAGGTACTTGTTCACATAATTGATGACAATGACAATGCTCCCATGTTCTCAAAGCCAACCTTTGTGGGCCAAATTAGTGAATCGGCACCATTGCACAGTATGGTCATGGGTGAAGACAACAACCCGTTTGTGATCCATGCTTCAGACCGTGACAAAGAAGCTAATGCCTTGTTGGTCTATAAAATTTTAGAGCCAGAGGCCTTAAAGTTTTTCAAAATTGATCCCAGCATGGGAACCCTGACCATTGTATCAGAGATGGACTATGAGAGCATGCCCTCTTTCCAATTCAACGTCTATGTCCATGACCAAGGGAGCCCCATCTTATTTGCACCCAGGCCTGCCAAGGTCATCGTCAGTGTCAGAGACGTGAATGACTCTCCTCCCAGGTTCTCAGAACAGATCTATGAAGTAGCAGTAGTGGGACCTACCCACCCAGGTATGGAGCTCTTAGTGGTGCAGGCCAGTGATGATGATTCAGAAGTCAGCTACAGCATCAAAACTGGAAATGCTGATGAAGCCGTTGCCATTCATCCCATCACTGGTCGCATATCCGTGCTGAATCCTGCTCTCCTGGGACTCTCTCGGAAGCTCACCATTAGGGCTTCTGATGGTTTGTATCAAGACACTGCACTGGTCAAAATTTCTTTGACCCAAGTTCAAGACAAAAGTTTACGGTTTGATCAAGATGTGTACAGAGCAAGAGTGGAAGAGAATGTGAAGGACAGAAAGGCCCTAGTGATTCTCGGTGTCCAGGGAAACCATTTGAATGACACCCTTTCCTACTTTCTTCTGAATGGCACAGATTTGTTTCAAATGGTCAAGTCAGCAGGGGTGTTGCAAACAAGAGGAGTGGCATTTGACCGGGAGCTGCAGGACATTTACGAGGTGGCAGTGGAAGTGAGGGACAATCGGATGCCTCAGAGGGTAGCTCAGGCTCTGGTCAGGGTCTCTGTTGAGGATGTCAATGACAATCCCCCTGAGTTTAAGCATCTACCCTATTATACAATCATCCAAGATGGCACAGAGCCAGGGGATGTCCTGTTTCAGGTATCTGCCACTGATGAGGACTTGGGGGCCAATGGGACAGTCACATTTGCATTTGCAGAAGATTACACGTATTTTCGAATTGACCCCTATGTTGGGGACATATCACTCAAGAAGCCCTTTGATTATCAAGCTTTAAATAAATATCGCCTCAAAGTAATTGCTCGGGATAGAGGAAGCCCGTCCCTACAGACTGAGGAAGAGGTACTTGTCACTGTGAGAAATAAATCCAACCCGCTGTTTCAGAGTCCTTACTACAAAGTGAGAGTACCTGAAAATATCACACTGTATACACCAATTCTGCACACACAGGCCCGGAGCCCCGAGGGGCTTAGGCTTATCTACAACATTGTGGAGGAAGAGCCCTTGACACTGTTCACCACTGACTTTAAGACAGGTGTTCTCACAGTGACAGGACCTTTGGACTATGAGGCTAAGAGTAAACATGTGTTCACAGTCAGAGCCACAGACACGGCTCTGGGCTCATTTTCTGAAGCCACAGTGGAAGTCCTAGTGGAGGACGTCAATGATAACCCTCCTACTTTTTCCCAGTTGGTGTACACCGCCTCCGTCTCAGAAGGTTTGCCTGCTCAGACCCCTGTGATCCAACTGTTGGCTTCTGACCAAGACTCAGGGCAGAACCGGGATGTCTCCTACCACATCATGGAGGATGGCTCGGGTGTTTCCAAATTCTTTCAGATCAATGGGAGCACGGGGGAGATGTTCACAGTTCAAGAGCTGGATTATGAAGCCCAGCAACACTTTCACGTGAAGGTCAGGGTCATGGATAGAGGAGATCCCCCACTCACTGGTGAAACCCTTGTGATTGTCAATGTGTCTGACATCAACGACAACCCCCCAGAGTTCCGACAGCCTCGCTATGAAGCTAATGTCAGTGAGCTAGCAACTTGTGGACACCTGGTACTTAAAGTTCAAGCTCTTGACCCTGACCTCAGGGACACTTCCCATCTGGAGTACCTGATTCTTTCTGGCAATCAGGACAGGCATTTCTCCATTAACAGCTCATCAGGGATCATCTCTATGTTCAACCTTTGCAAAAAGCAACTGGACCCTTCTTACAATTTGAGGGTAGGTGCTTCTGATGGGGTCTTCCAAGCAAGTGTGCCTGTGTATATAAGCACTACAAATGCCAATAAGTATAGCCCGGAATTCCAGCAGAATGTGTATGAGGCAGAATTAGCTGAAAATGCAAAGGTGGGAACAAAGGTGATTGAGTTGCTGGCCATAGACAAAGACAGTGGTCCCTTTGGCACTGTAGATTATACTATCATCAATAAACTAGCAGGTGAAAAGTTCTACATAAACCCCAGTGGCCAGATCACCACTCTGCAGAAACTTGATCGGGAAAATTCAACTGAAAGAGTCATTGCTATTAAGGTCATGGCTCGTGATGGAGGGGGGAAGGTGGCCTTCTGTACCGTAAAGATCATCCTCACTGATGAAAATGACAACCCTCCACAGTTCAAAGCCACTGGGTACACCCTGTCCATCCCATCAAACGTCAGTAAAGACTCCCCAGTCATCCAGGTGCTGGCTTACGATGCAGATGAAGGTCAGAATGCAGATGTCACCTACTCAGTGGACCCAATGGAGGACTTGGCTGGAGAGATCATTGACATCAACCCAACCACCGGTGTGGTCAAGGTGAAAGAGAGCCTGGTGGGACTGGAGAACAGGGCTGTTGACTTCAGAATCAAAGCCCAGGATGGCCGCCCTCCTCACTGGGACTCTCTGGTACCTGTACGACTTCAGGTTGTTCCTAATGAAGTATCCTTGCCCAAATTTTCTGAACCTCTGTATTCTTTCTCTGCACCTGAAGACCTTCCAGAAGGGTCTGAAATTGGATTCGTTAAAGCAGTGGCAGCTCAAGACCCAATCATCTACAGCCTAGTGCAGGGCACCACACCAGATAGCAACAAGGATGGTGTCTTCTCCTTAGACCAAGACACAGGGGTTCTAAAGGTGAGGAAAGCCTTGGACCACGAGTCCACCAAATGGTACCAGATTGATCTGATGGCGCATTGCCCCCATGAGGATACTGACTTGGTGTCCTTGGTCTCTGTCAATGTCCAAGTTGTAGATGTCAATGACAATAGGCCGATATTTGAGGCTGATCCATACAAGGCTTTCCTCACTGAGAATATGCCAGGGGGGACCACAGTCATCCAAGTGACTGCCAATGACCAGGACACTGGGAGTGATGGGCAGGTGAGCTACAGGCTGTTAGTGGAGCCTGGTAGCAATGCCCACGAGCTCTTTGCCATTGACAGTGAGAGCGGCTGGATCACCACACTTCAGGAACTTGACTGTGAGACCCGCCAGACCTATCGTTTTTATGTGGTGGCCTACGACCATGGACAGACCGTCCAGCTATCTTCCCAGGCCCTGGTCGAGGTCTCCATTACAGATGAAAATGACAATGCTCCTCGATTTACTTCTGAAGACTACAGAGGCTCTGTGGTTGAGAACAGTGAGCCTGGTGAACTTGTGGCCACCCTGAAGACCTTGGATGCTGACATCTCTGAGCAGAATAGACAGGTCACCTGCTACATTACAGGTAAGAACACCTGTCATGGGTTGGAGGCAGTGAGATGCATTATAAAAAGTGCAGTCAGAGGTGTTCTAAGACATGGGTTTAAGTTCTGGTTCTGAAACTTTTTAGCAAATCACTTATGTCCTTAGGACTCAGTTGCTCCAATCAGAGTCTTGGTGTGCTTTTTCTCACTCACCTCACAGAAATGCTGGAAAGACCCACCTGGGGAAAGCTCTGAGAGCCCCCCAGAAATTAGAAAGTACTTTGCAAAGAGGAGATCTTGTTTTAGGGGAGGTGGATGAAATAGAAAAACATGCTCTAGCTGTTGTCAGCTATCTCACGGAAGATGGAGACCCCAACAATTGTGTGACCCATGCAAATTCTGGCAGCTGTCTTCATAGAATTGTGTCCTTCCCAGTGCAAGTTGCAGAGATAGATATGATACAAATCATCCTGAGTCAACCACAGGACCCAAGTGTTGGAGGAACCACATTTCTTCATGATTTCAGCCCAGCCCCTCATTTCCCATGTGGGGAAACCAAGGCCTAGATAGAATCTCAACTACTCTGAGTTCATGTCAGGGGTGGGGTTAAAGATATACCCTACAATCTGCTTCCCCACACCCTATCCACAGGCTAAACCAGCCAAACAGTGACCATGAGAGCGTTTCTTCATTCAGAGTGTCCTTTTCTCCCCAACCCTGGCACCCTACCCTCCTATTCCCATGAACATGGCTCCAGCTGCTAGTTCAGTTGTGCAGGGGAAAGTGAATGAGTCTGAAGTTCTAAACAAGAACCACACACTCCTGGAGACAGACTGGATCAGAGCTGTTTGAAATATAGTCTTAGGAAAAGAGAATCGTATCATCATGTGATATTAGGCACTCAAAAATAAGAAAGTCTTTAAACCTCAGAGTAAGAGAAGAGAAGAATCAATATGTAGTCAACTCTTGAACAGCCAAATCATGGAACTCTGGAAGCTTAGAATCTCTGGGTGAGAATCCATCTTCCCACATCCTTGCCATTGACTGGTGCCAATGGAGCTCACCCAGTACTCCTGTCAGCCTCTGCTTAGTCTGTGGAATTAGTTGTGTAGTAAAACCTCAGAGTTTAATGTTGTTGGTTACTTCTCACCCTGCCATTACTGCTCAACACTACATACTAAACATTTCTTGTGTAGAATAGATATTTGCTTCCAGGCTACAAAAAGTAGAAGCCTCGCTCCTGTCAGGCACGTGTTTTGAAGTGGTGCTTCTCCCAGTGATAATGTCACCTTACAGAAGGACTTTAAAGTCAGAAGAGGCTTCATAACGTCACAAAACTGACTCAGTATAGGCCTGGAGGTTTCTAGTTAAGGGAAGAAAATTTTGCTTTTCTCAGCAATCCTGAAAGAAGTATCAGGTGAGCAGCCGCCTAGGACACAAAGCTGGGTTCGTTCCTGTTGCTCAGCTTCTGACACCTACCCCCATCTTTTTAGAGGGAGATCCCCTGGGCCAGTTTGCCATCAACCAAGTTGGCGATGAATGGAGGATCTCCTCAAGGAAGACCCTGGACCGAGAGCACGTGGCCAAGTACTTGCTCAGAGTTACGGCATCTGACGGCAAGTTCCAGGCTTCTGTCCCTGTGGAGGTCTTTGTCCTGGACATCAATGATAACAGCCCACGGTGCTCACAGGTGAGCCTGGTGAGGAGTGGGGTGGGAAGCAGACCCAGGGTGCATCGCTGAGGCTGGCCATAATTGAGTTCACCTGTCCTTGCTCTCTCCACCAGTCTGGGGGGAAGGGACCATTCTGGGAAATCCCTTGTTCCCCTTAGAGATATACCGAGCTGTTCAGGAAACATGGTCCACATCTGTCTCCCTACACGCCATACAAAAGCTCACTTCTCTGCAAAAAATATTCAGAAGTAAAGTAACATACATCTTCTATACACACTCTGCCATGCCCACTGGCAAACCTCCTACACTGCTCCGTGGTTGACATGGTTCACGATTGTCAAATACATCTGGGGACCTGCCCAGACACCTCTCCCCTTATGCCCATATTTGAGTATCCACACATCCACTTGGGCAATACTGCCCGGTGCAGGTGCTCCCCTCCAGTTATACACACCCACAGATGCACAGGCAGGACTTTGCACTTATGAAGGGACACTTTCCAAGGACCTAATTTCCCATGGGAACAAATGATGAGTGGGACATTTAGATGTGTGTGTATGTGTTTAGCAGGAGAGGAAATGTGGATTTTAGAAGACATAGATCAACAGTCATTTTCTTAGAGCTATGCCTTTAATTATATTTTTAAACTCAGTAATTTTTAACTTTCGTGGGATTTGCATTATTTCAAAGTTTGCAGATAAAGTTAAACTGCCAAGAATTAGCATAATTCATATGTACCTGAAATGTAGTCATTCATTATATAATACATAAATGCATACTTAGAAATATACCTCTACACAGAGCATCATCTTCAACTCTGTATGTACAGGCAAACACCTATACAGACATACATATTTATATATGAAGGTATAAACATACACACCTATCACATTTGTGAATTTGCATGTATAATTCACACATACTTACATATGCTTTTGCATATATCCATACTTCAATTTATTTGCACATACATAAAGACATACACCTTGCAACACACATAAATCATATATCCTGTCACCTTTTTCTCCTCTGTTCTTTTACACTCCAGTCACATAAAAGCACAGTAGAAGGAGAGCCTGTGTTATCAGTATGCAAGCAAAATAAGTGTTTAGGATCCCAGCTGAGCACACATTGGGTGGTCTCAGAAGGGCAGCTTCCTTGGAGAGAAAGGTAGCTATCTTCTTCCTGTTTCCCCTCAGCCATTCTTACAACATCCCTCCTCCCTATGTGGAGAACAGACTCGCCCTGGCCTTCGTAGGGACAGCATCACAAGAGGCGGGGAAAGAACCATCTACACAGCCTACTCAGGCATGAGGCATCCACCCAGCGTATTACGCATGGGGTGTGTGCTCACTTACGCCCTGCACTGGAGGAAACTAGGGTGCTTAGACATCTGACCCAGAGCCAGCCACTGAAGGACAACTGAGTTCTCTGGGACTCCAGCCTTTCCCCTGTGTACAGTCCCAGCTTGCCATGATGGTACCTGCAGTGGGAGGAGAGGAGGGGGCTGGTGACAGGGCCACTGGGATTGACACTTGACTCAAAGGCCAGGGATCTGTCCTGGGAATGTGGCAGCCTGACAGCCTGGCAGCCTGGCCTCACCACCAAGGTAGAAGTGGGGCCCAGAGTGGCTTTTCTTGACACTTTCTAGAACACCTGCTGTAATGCCCATCTCACCACCTGACAGTGTCAAAGGGCCCTTGCGGAGGAGAATGCAATGGTCCTGCTAGCTCTAGGGTGGGCTCTTGGATGGTGGAACTTCTCATACATTCTGTCTTGTTCTGACAAGTCTGCCTGACTTGTTCTCCGGCCATCCCCCTCTGGTTTCTAATCTCCACTTTCCTAACGTGTTCTCTCTTAATCTCCTTCCCTCTGTTGCCATTCCTCCCTCCCTCTGCTTTTCTCTGCCTCTGTCTATTTCAACTCTTTTCATCTCTGCTTCTGCCTCCCTCTCTGCCAGCCTTCCTCTCTCTGGATCTAAGTGTAGCTCCCACAAACCTCTCTTCTTTGTCTTTCCATCCAGCTTCTCTATACTGGCAAGGTCCGTGAAGATGTGTCTCCAGGACACTTCATTTTGAAAGTTTCTGCCACAGACTTGGACACTGAGACGAATGCTCAGCTCATGTACTCTCTGCATGGCCCTGGGGCGCGTGAATTCAAGCTGGATCCTCATACAGGTGAGTCTACTGAGCGGCAGGATCAAGCCAATAACTTACCTGCTGAATACCAAGTGCCCGGTGCAGGAATTCACTAACCCATCTGTCCCTCCATCAGCAAACATATATTGAACAAACACACATTGGCACTAGATGCTGGGGACAAAATCAATAGAGTGATAAGACAAGAAGATCCAGGTCTTTATAACTGAATAAGAAAGACAATCGCTGTCACACAATGTACTGAATGAAGGCGAAATGCCCGGTGCTCAGGGGGGTGTTTGATAGGAGAACTTGACTTAGGCTTGGGGATGGGGTCAAGTAAAACTTTTCTGCAGAAATGCCATTTTATGAGACTTGAGGAGTTAGCCAGAGGGTAAGGAAGGACAGGGACGTGAGGGAAGGGCAGTCAAGGAAGAAGGAGAATGCATTCAGGACCCTGTTTGGGAAAAGAGTATGAAGATCAAGAACCTGGCAGAGGTCCACACACTGGTACGCAGAGAGTAGAGAGAAGGCATGAGGTCCTCAGAGCCAAATGTCATCTTCAGAGCCATTAGTAGAGGATTTAGGCCAATGAATGTCAAGACCAAGTATGAAACCTCAAGTCAATCTATGTTGCAAACTGGGGCTAAAATCTCCTAGGACTTTTGTAAGGATTGCAGGCAATAAAGAATATGGGAGCCTATCCCTGCTTGGGCTTAAGAACTGAGTGGGTATGATTTCCATTGTCATTATTACTAGCAAAGGGACAAAGCAGAAAGCCCTACAGGAGATGCCTTGACTAGCAATTAGAGGCTGGGCTCTGAGGGTCTGGTGGGGAGACCCAGTAGGGAACAATCTTTCCCCACCACCACCCTCCACCACCACAAGGTGGGACTCCTGTCCTGCTGCTGTAGGGAGCAAGGCAAACCCAGGTCACAAGGCCCTGCTGCTGACACTTGGCTTGAATTCATAAGGGGATGACTTGGAGATTCCTGAGCAGGGAGGTGGCCAGTGAGAGAGAGCATTGTCCCAGGAAGGCTTCTGGGTTGACAGAGGTCACGTCGTTCTTCCTGACCCCAGCACTGCCTGCTGAGCGACTCAGGCAGTTCACCTTATCTCCCTCTGCTACTGTCTGTTCAGCTGCAGGATCGTCAGTGAGAACTTGAAAGGGAAATAAACTGGGTGATTCTTTAGAAAATGGAAATGATAAATGCTCATTGTATCAAATTCAAACAATGTAGGTGCGTCCGACGCACAAGCTAGAAAGTCTGCACAGGGAGACCTCCACCAAAGAGGTCTTGGGGTCATTCGATCCCACTGCTTCTCCACGCACCCTAAAATCTCTCTGTAATTGTTCCATGAAAGTAGAATAATCATTTCTAACTTGCTTTTCTTCAATTAGCAATGTCTTGCAGATAGTACCAAGACTAGGACATAAGGCTCTATCACAGTTCATTTCTGTTGTCCAGTACTTTAGTGTACAGCCAAGCCATAACACATCAACTAACCCCTATTAAAAACATCTAGGATGATTTCAATATATTGCTATTAGAAACAAGGCTACGGAGAACATCCTTATTTATATATTTTTATCTCTGGGTTAATCATTCTATATATATATATATATATATATATGAATGTATGTAGAGTATATGATAAATATAGAATATGTTTATTTATATACTATTTAATACATGTAATATAGTTATATACAATATTTTTATTGTGTTGGGTGGGGTACATTGTGGCATTTACAAAAGTTCTTACAATATATCAAATATATCATGCTTGAATTCACTCCTATCATTCTCCTTCATCCTTCCCGTCCCCATTCCTGGAATAGTTTCAACAGATATCATTTTTCCATTTACATACATGTGTACACAGTATTTGCACAATATTCACCCTTCTTCACCATTTCACCACCTCCTCCCCTCTCCTACCGGTACTAGCCCCCCACAGGCAGGACCTGTTCCACCCCCCTGTTCTCTGATTTTGTAGAAGAAAAAAAGACATTTTTGCTTGTTTAAGATAGCTACACAGTTTCCTTGTGGTACTTCCATGTATATATGTTACACAATATATTTAAATGTAATAAATTTAAATATATATGCAAATACAGATTTTTATATAAAATATATAAAAATGTATATATAATACATATGTATGTGTGTGTGTGTATATATATACACACATATACATTTAGTATGTTAGAAGTTGCCTATTGTCCTTTAAAAATGGATCCATTTGTATACAACTGACCTTAACTTGATGATAAATGACCTTAAATTGGTGATAAAGTTCTGGAGTGTGTTTGGGAGAATTAGGAAGTCAGGTAGGTGCTGGAAGATACAGGCTGGGCTTTCCTTACTGCATACCCCCAGTACTTAACCCTTTTTGTTGTGACAAACTCTGGTTACAATTGTTTCCTGGGGATGTCTAGAGGGCCTGTGCTGGGGTGATGTCCCCTAGTGGGAGCTCAGCTTCTATCATTTCTCTGCAGGGGAGCTGACCACACTCATAGCCCTAGACCGAGAGAAGAAGGATGTGTACAACCTTGTTGCCAAGGCAACAGATGGAGGTGGCCGATCATGCCAGGCAGATGTGACTCTCCACGTGGAGGACGTGAATGACAATGCCCCACGGTTCTTCCCCAGCCACTGTGCTGTGGCTGTCTTTGACAACACCACAGTTAAGACCCCTGTGGCTGTGGTATTTGCCCGGGACCCTGACCAAGGTGAGTCTGTGAAGGACTAGCGGCCACTCCCACCGTTCTGCCATTAACTCCATCTGGGGTGAGGGCTTGGCTCTTTCTGTATCTCTCTGGGACTAGTAAGGACTGACCCTTCTTTAGGATCCATGGGTGCTTAAAAGTGGGAAATGCTTGTCCACAACTGTACAACTAAGTGCCATGTGTCAAGTGACTTCAGCAGTCTTTTGAGGCAGGTACAAGGCATTTCAGCCTCTTTGTTTCTCCCCTGCTACTTAGACCTGGAAGATTTTCAATTTTGCCATTTTTTTTTCACAGTTACTTTGAATACAACAATCAGAAATATAGCAATCAGAATTCAACTCTGATTGATTTACACTAATAAAGGAATTTCTGGCACTAACTCCATTCGTTGAACAGTTTCTATACAGTTGAATTGAACCACTTTCAGTATTTTACATTTTAATGACTTTTTCATTGGGGTTTCTTTTCCTTTTAACATTTACAAGGTGTCTCCGTCCATTTTCTGTTGCTGTAGCTGAGGCCCACGGACTGAGTCATTTATCAAGAGTAGGGCTTTATTTGGCTCGGGGAGGCTGGGAAGTTCAAGAGCACCATGCAAGTGTCAACTCAGCGTTTGGTGAGGGCCTTCCTGCTGCCTCAAGTGTGGTGTAGGGCATCACATGGTGAAAGAGCAAGCATGCTAGCTGGGGTCTCTCTTGTTCTTTTTAGAGCTACTAATGTCATCATGGGGGCTCACCTTCATGACATCATCTAATATCAATTCCCTCCCAAAGGCTCCACTACAAACACTGTTAACATATAAATTAAAGGCCCGAGTTGCCAACACATGAACTTTTGGGAGACACATTCAAACCATAGCACGAAGCATGTTGGATTCATCAAGAAGTATCTGTTCCATATTGTGCCGATTAGAGCTTCTGCCATCAAGAAATAGTCATTGTGGTCCAATTTTTCTGAGCCAAATTTTATAATTCAGGTAGAGTGAACATAACCTTGAAAGCAGTCAGATCAACATGGGACGATGGTGATGATGACAGTGATAAAAGTGGGACCAAAACACTCTGCATTGTTTGACACCAGTGGAATAAATGTAATACTTCCTAGATATTAGCATGGCATTGAAGGAGGTGAGAGATTTTGGAAAGATGCAGGGCTCTAGGGAGGGCAAATAATCAGTGCAAAGGCAGAGTGGCTGGACCTGGGAAATGCATATGTATGTGCACGTGTGTGTGTGTGTGTGTGTATTTGATAGAATAGATCCAGAATACATCAGAGCTGGAATGACCCACAGCACGGAGAGAGCACTCTTCACCCAGCTTCCCTGGGTGCAACATCTTCATAACTGCATACAGATAATATAAAGTCAGAAAATTAACATTGGTACCTTACTGCTGACTACACTATGGGCTTTATTCTGATTCCACCAGATTGTGTGTGTGTGTGTGTGTGTGTGTGTGTGTGTGTGTGTATATATAGTTCTGTGCAATACAATCCCATGTATAGATTTGTGTAACTGACACCACAATCAGGAAACAACTAACTGTTCCATCATAACCAAGGAACTCACTGCAGGTGGTTTTATTTTGCGCAATTTTCATTGATAAGTTGATATTGAAACCTAATCTCCACATAATATTTGCAGATGGTGCAGTATCTTTGCCAACTAGATCACCACCCTCTCACCCAGAACCTTTCCATGAGGCCTTGGACCCACCAGTTAAGAGCCCCTGTTTGAGAGACTGTCACTCCCCGAGTACCATGAACTCCTCAGCCTTTCTGAGGAGCCCCTCCCAGACCCTGCATGGCTGGTTGCAGACGGGATGGCTGGGAAACCCTGGGGACGAATCACGCCTTTGGTCTCCCCTACAGGTGCCAACGCCCAGGTGGTTTACTCTCTGACGGATTCTGCAGACGGCCAGTTCTCCATCGATGCCACCTCGGGCGTGATTCGGCTGGAGAAGCCCCTGCAGGTCAGGCCACAGGCAGCGCTGGAGCTCACCGTCCGCGCCTCCGACCTGGGCACCCGATACCGCTGTCCACTCTGGGCTCCGTCTCCGTTTCGGTGGTGGGCCTCGAAGACTACCTGCCTGTGTTCCTGAACACCGAGCACAGTGTGCGGGTGCGCGAGGACGCCCCGATGGGCACCGAGGTGCTGCAGCTGGCGGCCCTCACGCGTCCCGGGGCCGAGAAGACCGGCTACCGCATCCTGGGCGGCAACGAGCAGGGCAGGTTCCGCCTGGACACTCGCACAGGTGAGACGGCGGGGTGTCTGCCCCGCACAGCCTCCTTTCTCAGCAGACCCATCTTCTCTCTGCTCCTGCATCTCCCCCAGGTACCAAGTCTCTTCTTCCACCTTAGAGCCAGCTTATGCAGGAATCTCACTTACTCCTCCATGTCCCCATTCTGGACTCTGTGCCCAGGCTCCTCAGTGATCCACTCCTCCCTCAGTTGGTGGCTTCCTGGTCTCAGCTCAGTCCCAGCCCCAGGAGGCTGAGGACTCCTCCTTTTTTGGCTGTAGAGTCCCCAAGCATATGCTGGAATCTACATTCACCCCCACAGCCCCTGAATTTCCCCTTATTATCAGGAGGAGAGCAGGAACTAGAAAACCACCTCCCTCCTCCCCTCTTAGCCATGGAGCATAAAAGTCAGACTCACAGATACTCATGGAAGGACCTAATGCTACATCTTACACAGAGTCCTCCCCGCTTGTCCCAAATGGTGCTCTACCTCCCAACACAGCCACCTTTTCACTGAGCAATGTTTTAAAAACAAGGTTTTATTGTAGCATTTTTAAAGATATAAGACACAGAATATGCCAGGTGTGACAACACGTGCCTGTAATCCCAGTTACTCAAGAAGCAGAGCTCTGGAAGATCACTGTTAGAAGCAGCACTGGCAAAGTTCTCAACCCGACAAGCCAGGTATGGTGGCTTGTGCCTGTTATCCTAGCTACAAGGAGGCATGTTAGCCCAGGCGAAACTTCGAGACCCTATGTGAAAAATAACTAAAGCAAAAATGGTCTGGAATGTCCACCTGCCTAACAAGCTACAGGCCTGAGCTCAAACCCCAATAGTTAGTTTATTTTTAAAGATTTTAAATTGGCACATGACATGTACATATTTCCAGGGTGGAATATGATAACTCCATATGTGTACATGATGTTTAATGATTGAATCAGAGTAATTAGCATTTCAATTCTCTCAACACTGATCACTTCCATGTGTTGGGAACCTTTGGACTCTTGCAGTTATTTTGAAATCTATCTCCACTGTTGTGAACTCTAGCTACCCTATCGTGAGGTAGAACATGAGAGTTTACTCCTTCTATCAACACGTCCCTGTTGAGCTATTTCAAAATGAATCCTGGTCTTCATATCATTTCACTTGTAAATGTGTGTTTTGAGACAGGGTCTCTCTATGTAGCCAAGGCTGTCCTTAAACACATGATCTGCCTGCCTCTACCTCTCAAGTGCTGGGATTACAGATGGGCACCATCATGCCTGGCATTAAAAGATAATCATTCCTCATTATCATCTAATTCTCAACCAAACAGTTGCTAGGATTATCTCAATGTGTTTGTGAAGTTGCTTTGTCAATATCCCCAAAGGTCTACATATTGCATTTGGTTGATGTGCAGTATCTCTCATCTCTTTTAATTGCTAACATTCCCTTCTCAGTCTTTATTTCCTTCTACCATTTATTTAATGAGGCCATTTGAGTCAGGTGTCTAGTAGAATTTTTCTTTTTTCTTTTTTTTTGGAGGTACTGGGGTTTGAACTCATGGCCTCATGCTTTATCACATGAGCCCTTCCACCAATCCAGAATTTTTCATATTTTTGATTGGCTGGCTGTATACTGTCATCTTTCCCATGAATGACCTTTAGACCAAAGGCCTTGGTCAAGTCAAGTCAACAGCATTTGCTCAACAATGCTTCATAGACAATGCTGTGATATTTGCATCAAGTTGGGAGGCACACGAAGGCTAGCTGGCTCTTTTTTCTGACGTTAGATGGATAGTGAGTTCAGATGTTGTTAACCTGATCCCACCATTGTAGATGGAAATGAGATCAATTTAGCATTGAGGATTTAAATGAAATGTCACAGAAACAAATGAGGAAAACATGGCCTTGGGAATGATACGGAAAATAAGAAGTGGTGGAAGAGAGAGAAGGGGACAGCAAAGAGGGAAGTGAGCTGGATGAAGATGAAGATGGAAGGGACCCATCTCTCCAAGACACTGAGCTGCATCCTCTGGAGGGGGTGGTTTCCAGGGGGTCACATCAGTCCCTGCCCTTGTGGTTCCAGCTGCTTCCTCACTCCCACTGCCTCTTGTTTCTTCAGGGATCCTATACGTCAACAGAAGTCTGGACTTTGAGACAAATCCCAAGTACTTCCTATCCATAGAGTGCAGCCGGAAGGGCTCTTCCTCCCTCAGTGACGTGACCACCATTGTAGTCAACGTCACTGATGTCAACGAACACCGTCCCAGATTCACCCAGGATCTGTATGGTGCCAGAGTCTTAGAGAATGCCATTGTGGGTGACACCATCCTCACAGTAAGGATCCAAAGCTTTGCTCTTTGTGGGTGTGACTCTGGGGTGTGTTCTCGCACCCCTGTCCCCGGTCATCCATAAGCAAGGATTAGTTTATCAAATCAATACACTGTAGACTTTGATTTGTAGCTAGTCGGCCAAACCACCTTTCATGACCAAAGGTATCAGAGCCATTTGATGGGGTTGGGTTCTGACAGAATGGCAGGGGTAGGCAAGGTTTGAGAGGAAAGCAAGGAACAGACAGACCCCAGAGTTCTTCCAGAGGCTCAGGAGCCTGAGCAGGGTCTCATCACAGTGAGTGACATGGAATGCCAGTGCATAGTGGACAGGGACTGAGGGGACATCAAACAATACCTGTTTGCATTTGAATATGCACTCACTCCTCGTTCCATGGAGTATGCCCATATTCAGTTCTCCATGACCCCTCTCCATCCTGCCTTCTGGTCTTCTCCTTCTGCTCCCCAACCACACAGGAAGATGTACCTTTCCCCAAACATCTTCTGCATTCTCACACCTCTGGGTACATATGGTGTCCTCTGCCTGGAATATTCTGTCCTCATCCTTCAAGGCTTCCTAAATCCTTTTCTAATTTACCCAGTGGAATGTCTTCTATGCTTTTATGAGACTACTAATACTTTGCCCCTAATTATAATCACCCATAAAACCATCATTACACATTCTGACACATTCCTCACTCCAAGCCTCCTAGGAAGGCCCTAGCTTCCCTGTCGCTGAGTGAGTGACAAATGAATGCATGCATGCCGAGGGCTACAGGAGACTCCTTGGTGCAAGGACTACCATCCAGTGGCAGACATAGGGGCAGGGCACATCTGTACCCCCTATACTCCTAGGGCCACGTGCCATTCCTTTCTTATCCTTCTTGTGCCTCCATTCACCATCCCCCTCCCCCACTGCAGGTGTCGGCAATTGATGAGGATGGACCCCTAAACAGTAACATTACCTATAGCCTGGTAGGAGGGAATCAGCTCGGACACTTCAGCATCCACCCCAAGAAGGGGGAGCTGCAGGTGGCTAAGACCCTGGACTGGGAACAGGTAAGCCGTGGGAGGGGACCAGTCTGAGCTCATCAGAGCAGACACCATACAGAGGAGGTGTTGCAGTCAACACACCACCCAAATGCTCAGAGCATCTCCTCTTATTTGCTCTGTGTTGCTCTGTGAGGGCAGAGGCAGGAGCAGAACTACCCTTCCCCTTCCGAAGAAAAGCTCAGGCCACTTCTCACAATGGACCAGGGATCACTGGATCCTCCCAGGGACAGCTACCATTGGTTATCACTTGTGTGTGTCAGGCACTTGGCTTTTTATGCATTATGCCATTAGATCGTCAAATAATCCCAGAAATTGGATCCTGACATTATACCTCATTAAGCTTAACCCCCTCCCAAGTTCTCACGGCCAGCGCGTGGTTGGGCTGGAATCACACTCTTCCTATCTGACTCTGGAGCCTGAGCCCTCCAATTCTGTGGGTGGGCAGTGGGGGGAAGCATAGAGTGGTGTCTTCACCTTAGTTTTCTGGAAACGTGAGCAGTGAGTCAGGGGGCAGACATGAGGGGCCTTGTTGCTAACTCTCTGAACTGGGCATCTTGCGACAGACACCCAGCTACTCCTTGAGACTCCGAGCCACAGATAGCGGGCAGCCCCCACTGCATGAGGACACTGATGTTGGCATCCAGGTGGTTGACGTCAATGACAACCCACCAAGATTCTTCCAGCTCAACTATAGCACCACTGTCCAGGTGAGCTGGACCCTCCAGGGCACCCTGAGTCCATCTTCCTTGCCTTTCCCTCCTTGCAGGAGATGCTCCCGTCATGTCCATTCACCCAGATGGCTGTAATCTTGCGAGACAGCTGAAGGGAGCTGTGGATCATGGGATGTGCCATGTGAAGTAGTTGGTACCCACTTCACAGATTAAAAACTGGAGGTGTGGAAACATGCCACAGCTAGAGTATGGCAAGCCCGGGACTTATCCCAGGGGGTTCTCCGCATCCCACGCTATTTCCACAAACCCTTGGTTTGCAAATAGGATTTAAAGAGGGCCTCGGAGCTGGGCACTATGGTTCATGCCTGTAATCCTAACTACTTGGGAGGCTGAGATCAGAAGGATCTCAGTTTGAGTCCAACCTGGACAAACAGTTCAAAAGATCCTATCTTAACCCACAGCTGGACAAAGTGGCACACACTGTCATCCTAAGCTACACAGGAGGCTGAGAACTGGAGGATGGAGGTTCAGGCCAGCCTGAACAAAAAGCGAGCCCCTATCTCCAAAATAACCAGAATAAAAAGGACTGGAGGCGTGGCTCAAGCAATAGAGCTCCTGACTAACAAGCATGAACACTGAATTCAAACCCCAGTGCTGCCAAAAAAAAAATAATAATAATAATAAAAAGAGGGCCTTGGGATTCCATAGGAACTGTCAAGGTCATAAGTGGTGAGGGAGGTGAGGAAGTGGGGAAGAGGGCAGGGCTCTAAGTTGTACTGTGTGTTTCCTCAGCTTGTTCCACTTGTGCTTGCTTCGTATGTTACAAATATACGTTAGAATGCTTTGGCTACAATAATAGATTACCTGACTAAAAGTTGATTGAGTCACATATGTTTCATATAACATATAACAAGCAGTTAGATGGTGAAAAATCCCATTCCAGAATTGGTCGTTTCTGTAGAAAAATGGTATTATGGCTTTGAAATTCCTTCCCCTTCTCCCTCATGGCTGCAAAATAGCTGCTGCAGTTTCAGCATCACATCCTTGCTTAATCATCTTCAAAGGCAGATAGAAGGGGACTTCTTTTGAAGGATCTGAGCCTTTTTTGTTGTTGTTCTTAATCAAAGGATACTTTTCAGAAACCCCACCTGCTAGAATTCTCCAATGGTCAGATTGGATTACATATTCACCCTTAAACCAGCAACTGGCACAGAGAATCATAAGATTATAACTGACTTGGCCCAATCCTTATCCATCTCCCCATAAGGGCGGCACATCTTTTCTGATGGTAGTGCCACTTTATTCCTGAACAAAAGTTGGGTTTTCTAAGAAAGGAAGAAATACTGTGTTGGAGAAACAACTGTCAGTTTCTGTCCACTAGATTCTGTTTGGAGATAAGATTGTGGTACCAAAAAAGACAATTAACCACAGTGCATTAGAGCACACTGAATTTCCAGGTTACAGAACAAAGGCTGAAATAATGGCTAGGAATCAATTTTTTTAAGTTAAATTCCTAATCATCTTGAAATTTGCTCGTCAGATGGGTATAGCATTGGCCCTCTAAATGGGAGCCCATTCGTAAACTCGCAGTTATGCTGAAAATTATAAATTTCCCACGTGTCTAATCTGTGTGACCTTGGGGGAGTGCCCCTCTGTAGGACAAAGGGTTTGACCTTTGGCCCCTGAGAACCCTTCTGCCCCAGTGGCCTTTGCTTCTAAGACCCAATGCTGCACACAGGAGCATCTGTTCCAGGCTGAGAAACCAACAACTCAAAGGCAGGCAGAATGAAGGATGGTCAGCTGGTACCAGAGAGGAGGGATGGGGACTCATTGTGCTCTTTGGTTTCCTGTCGCTCTCATCTCAGGAGAACTCCCCAATTGGCAGTAAAGTCCTGCAGCTGATCCTGAGTGACCCCGACTCTCCTGAGAATGGCCCCCCTTACTCATTCCGAATCACCAAGGGGAACCCTAACTCTGTCTTCCGAGTGACTCCAGATGGGTGGCTGGTGACCAAAGCAGTCCTGAGCAGGAGGGTCCAGCAATGGTACCAGCTTCAGATTGAGGTGAGATGGGTGTGGGCCCCTGGTGGTGCGGTGGTGTGGTGGGGACAGTACACATGCTGGCAAGTGTCACTAGAAAAAGTGTGTGTTGGGGCCTGGGTTGGGGCTTCACAGTTGCATTAAATCCTCATCACGCTCTTTAAGGCAGGTACAGTGACTACCTATGTTACAGATGAGAAACTGAGGCACGCTGAGATAAAGTGTCTGGCTTAAAGCACTGTTAATAAGTGGTAGAGTTGGGTTACTTCCAACCCAAGGCCTCTGGCCCCAGCACCCAAATACTTAATCCCAGCACTGTGCCCGGGCAGAGCCCATCATTCTTGCTCTAACTCCTTGGATTTGGCAAGAAGGGCTTTTGGGACTGCAGGTGCTGACAAGACTACTTCACAGAATCCAAGTGGGGCCAAAGGAGCAAGCGTATGCATGTGTGTGGGATTGCCATGACACTGTCATGGGCTGTATGGGAATTACCTGAGAAAGCAGTCAACATAGTGGCCAAACATTCCTCCCTCACTTCCTTCCCCCATATCCCTCTCCGAAGTCTCAAGTCCAGTGGATCCTGCTGTTCTGTGGACTTCTGCCTGGGATGATGCAGTCATTTGCCCAACCATCCATTCAGCTGCTCAGTCTCTCAACAAGCATTTATTAAACACCTACCACATGCAGGACCTATGCTAGGAATACAGCAGAGGACAAGAAGGGGATGGTTCCTGTCCCTGTGGGCTTTCAAGTCTAATCATGGAGATAGACAATGAACGTATAAGAAATAACATCCTACAAATTAAGATAAAGAAATAGAGTGATGGGAGATCCACAAGGCTCAGGAGATACGTGTATTTATCACACAGCTGACGTTTGAGGGGAGACCTGAGGAGCCACCTAAGTGAAAAGTGGGCAGGACAGGGTTCCAGGCAGGAAGAACAGATGAGCAAGTCTCAAGTTGGGAAAGAGTATGAAGTGACCGATGGTGTGGTTGTGGCAGTTAGATAATGGGAAGCACTGGTGGAATGAGGTCAGGTAGATCGTGGGGGCCTCATTGCATGGGACTGCATTACACAGTCTTACCCATTGGAGAGAGAAAGGCACTGGGTCAGTCCTTTTGGCTGCTCTCGCAGAATACCATAGACCAGGTGGCTTAAAAACAGACATTTATTTCTTACAATTCTGGATGCCAGAAGTCCAAGATCAGAGCAAACATGGTCAGCTTCTGGCGAGGGACCTCTTCCAAACTGCTCATGGCAGAAACACATCAAACAAATTGTCTGGACTCTTCTTATAAAGGACTTAGTCCTCTTCATGAGGACTCAACCTCAAGATCTTATTATTTCCCAAAGGGCCCACCTCCAATTACCATTATGTTGGTAATGTATTAGATTTCAATACATAAATTTGGTGGGAACACAAACACTAAGTGTTGTGATGATAACTGGTCCATAACACATAAAAATCCAAGCTGCCTTTGGCAAACTAGATCATATATTCATCTTAATTCTAAGTATTGGTGGCATGTCAGGATTCTTTCTAATCTAAGCACAGGGAAGGGAATATCAAACAGAGAATGTGTCTCAGGAGACTCACTCTGAAACTCCATAGACAGCGGATGAGGGAGGACAGTGAAAAGTCATCCACGCTGGAGAGAGTGGTGCTGGGACCTTGACACGATGGTGAGATGCACAAAGTAGACAAATTTGGGACAGATTTTGCATGTAAATAGACAGGTGTTGGTGATGGATTGGATGTGGGGATACAAAAGAGAGAGAGAGAGAAGAATCAGGAAAACTTTCAAATTGCTGGCTCCAGCAAAGACTGGATCTATGACTGTGGAAAGACCGGGGGAGCATGGGAGGCAGGACAGGTTTGGGGTAAAATTAGGTAAGGGGAAATGTCCAATGATTACTTGGGGATGGAAATCAGCAGCTCAAAGGAAAACTGTGGGCTAATGAGATAGTCCTAAAGCAAATGCATGAATGTGATTGCCTAGGAAGAAAAGAGAGAGAACAGCTTCCTAACCCCTGTGTTCCCAGACTCAGGCTCAGGGCCAGGTCCAGATAGAGCTATGAGCATCTATATCTTTACCCTGTAATTTCCACTTCTATCCACTAGGAGGCAACAGAGGACAGCAAACAAAAACAAACTGTGGCCTGTGCTCTGGCTTCATCTGTTATGTGACCTTGGGCAAGTTACTTGACCTCCTCAAGGCTTTGTATACTTTTTTGTAAAATGGGAGACTTAGTGGTCCCTATGTCATAAGAAAGATGTAAAGCATTAAAAAGTGACTGGCACTTGGTTTATACTCGGTTAATGTCATCTATATTTTATACTTGGTAATAGGATGGATTATCGTTGCAGTTAATGTTAGCTATACATTATAATCAGGAGCAGTGTTAATTATTGCTGCTACTGACCTCTCTCCAGCATTAGGCCTAATTTCCAGTAGCAGGTGTCATTTTACAACTCTCTTGTGCAGTGTTGGAGTGGACTTGAACAAGGTATTACCAGAGGGAATGGTGGAGCCCCTTGTTGATAGCTGAGAAAGTGATAATATCACTGAGGAAAAGAAACATTTTGTCCTTCTAAGTCAGGCAAAAAGTTGCAAGGCAGGAAGTCGTGAAAGGAAAACACATTTCTGGTTTCAGCTCATTTTCCCACTTAACGAGGTCATGCCCCCTTGCTTAAAGCCTTCAACGGCTTTTCGATCCTCTGACATAAAATCCAGACTGTGCTTCCCCCCTCACCCTTCTCCCTCCAGCTCACCACAGCCCCCTGTCCTGTACCCTCACTTCTCCTTTCTATTGTGTGGAGCAGGCCACATTCTTCCCCACCCCTTGCTGTCCCCTTCCTCTGTCACCTCTTTCCATCCCCCTGGACTCAGCCTAAATGTCAGCCCTCAGAGATGCCTCCCTTCCACCCGACCTAAATCAGATCTCTCTCTTGTCACATTGCTCCTTTATTTCCTTCACAGCACTTTACCTGAGTGAGACATTCTTTTGCCTGTTTGGTAGACTGTTTGTTCTCCCATTCTCCCAATCACAGAGGCACGCATAGAAGGCCCTCAAAATGTGTTTGCTGACTGACCCAAAGAATAAATCCCCGCTCCCATTTCAATGGCATAGCAAAGGGAATCCCAAAAAGAATTTTCTCAGATCAGGCAGGGCGCCATGAATGATGTGTCATAGAATTGCTAAGAGACAGCCTGTGCTTGCTAGGAAAGAGAGGGGAGGGGGACAAAAGAGGGAAGGGGGAAAGAGAAGGGAGAGGACAAGAGAGGGGAGAGGACAAGAGAGGGGAAGGGCAAGGGGTGGGGATCTGGAGAGGAAAGGAGGCCCAGACGAGTGGCCGGAGGGATTTAGGAGAGGCTCAGAAGTATGTCAGATGGGGAGGTTGAGGCGCTTACCCGATGGGGTGCCATATAACGCCCTTCCATTATCTGTAAAACCTATGCTTCCGAAGTTGGACATACTTTTTGTTTTCAAGTTTATCAATACGCTGAGGCTGCCCTCAGGTGGACATGGGGCACAGAAATACGGTTCCTCAGGGGACCAACCTCAGTTGGGCAGAGGTGCCGCAGTTCTGCTGGGTAACAGCAGTGTCTCTTTTGCCCACAGGCATCAGACAGTGGTATCCCTCCCCTGTCATCTTCAGCACCGGTCAGAGTCCACGTCACGGAGCAGAGCCGTTACCCACCCTCTGCCCTCCCATTGGAGATCTTCATCACCATCGGGGAGGAACAGTTCCAGGGTGGCATGGTGGGTAAAATCCACGCGACAGACCGAGACCCTCAGGACACACTGACTTACAGTCTGGCAGGAGAGGAGACCCTAGGCAGGCGCTTCTCCGTGGGCGCAGCTGATGGCAAGATTGTCGCTGCCCAGGGACTGCCTCATGGCCGCTACTCGTTCAACGTCACAGTCAGCGATGGGACTTTCGCCACCACTGCTGGGGTCCATGTCCACGTGTGGCACATGGGGCGGGAGGCTCTGCAGCAGGCTGTGTGGATGTGCTTCCACCAGCTCACCCCAGAGGAGCTGGTGAGCGACCACTGGCGGAACCTGCAGCGCTTCCTCAGCAACAAGCTGGACATGAAGCGAGCCGACATCCACCTGGCCAGTCTGCAGCCCGCCGAGGACGTGGCTGGTGTGGACGTGCTCCTGGTCTTTGAGGGACGTTCTGGGACCTTCTACAGCCTCCAGGAGCTGGCGTCCATCATCACTCAGTTAACAAAGGATATGGAGCACTCAGTAGGAATTCAGATGAGGTCAGCCATGCCTGTGGTGCCCTGCCAAGGGCCGAAGTGCCAGCCCCAAGCCTGCCAAGAGACCGTGCACCTGGACCCCAAGGTTGGGCCCACGTACAGCACGGCCAGGCTTAGCATCCTAACACCACGGCACCGCCTGGAGAGGAACTGCTCCTGCAATGGTGAGGAACAACCAACACGGGGGGCTCTGCCTGCCCACCTAAGTGTGGGGATCCCACCCAGGCTCTGTGGGACAGTCCAAGGGAGGTTTCAATCAGGCTAAGAGCCACAGACCACCATAACACAGGGAGTGGCCTCATGGAATAACATCCAATTTCTGGCCACTTTCTGGAGTTTTGAAAAGAACAGTAGGAGTACAATAGGCAGGTTAATATCATGACTCAGAGGATAGACTGTTCAAATCCCAGCTCCACCACTTGCTAGCTAGGTGACAGGAGAATTACCCTGATAATATGATCAGGTGCCCTCTGAGAAGAGCCTGACACAGAGAAAGTGCTCAGAACGCATGAGTAACCAGTGCCACTACTGTTAGTACCACAGCCTGCTGGGTATAAGCTCGAGATTTAGACTTAGCATAGGTTTAAACTCTCACTCCGTCATTACCAGCAAGCCAGCAACCACCCGTCCAGTCTGCAGCCCACAGAGAACGTGGCTGGTATGGGCGTGCTCCGGTCTTTGAGGGGCCTTCTAGAACTTTCTACAGTCTCCAGAAACTGGCATCCATCATCACTCGCTCTGGGTGGGTTGTCCAAATCCTTTGAGCTTCAGTTACCCAACTATAAAATAGAAAAAGTAATGACATCTGCCTCCTGGAGTTGGTTTGGGGAGCAAATTACATAATAGATATGTAACCACCTAATCCATGACTGGCCAAAAAAAGCCCAGGACCAGTGGTGACTGTCACTCACATGGCAGCAGTTGGTGCTATAAGGAGCCAGCTAGGCCCTGTATGCATGTCACCTACCCTAAGTCAGGTCATTAGCCCCATCTATAGTTGAAACTGAGGTTGGGTTATGTATTGCTTGGCCTGAAACTGAGCTGCCTGGAGGCAGCTTCACTGGAGTGAAGTCCTAGTATTCACATCTCAGCCTAAACTCTTCCCTAAACTCTCCAGAAGGACAGTTTTCTAACAGATCCACTCAGCACCCCTGGCGATAAGACCCATGCCATGGAGCAGGTCAGCATTGGCAAAGGTGACATCACCTTTAGATCACTATTGCCCCCTACCTGCCTGGTGTACCCTTTATGGGTTCACTCAGCTGGCACCAGGGAGATTCTCAGATTTGTGGACTTTCTCCAGGGAGTTAGACTGGGTGGGCCACGCTTAGTGGGAAAGGAGCTCTCCTCTATGGCCTCTCTGAGACCTGCTGTAGCGAAAGCTGTGGTGGCTGAAAGATCTCTCTTGACATCTTGACACCAGACAGCAAAAGTTCTAAAACCCGACATTGTGCAAAATTGCCTGGGGGAGTGTGTGTTCAGAGATGCCTGTTTTGGGGTGTTGTACTGAAGTTTTTAAATTGAGACTGTCTTGGGAAAGTTCTGCAATTGACATTTAATTTGAAGCCAGGTTAATCTGAGAAACCTAGATAGGCTTGCTGCTCACTAGAATCCCTTGGGGAGAGTTTTGTGAGTAACCAGCAGCCAAATCAGGAATCAGAATATGACCACCAATTCAGAAGCCTCCCTCGGGCACCTTTCTAGTCACTACACCATCATGGATGATTTTTAAAATATAGATTTCAAATGCCACCCAGAATGTCTGCATCAGACTTTCAGAGGGAAAAGCCTGGGATTCTGTAACTGCCAATCTTGGTATTTGGCCAGGGTTGGAAATTCTTGGATCATCTCAGGATCGCATCTGGCGATGCCCAGTGCCAGTGTCAGAGTGTTTTACACTTTGGGTGTGATGGAGTCTTTGGACCTTGTGCCTCCAGCTATCTGGTTCTTCCTTTTTCTCCTTTTGGCCTTTATCCTTTCTCTTCAACGGTTCTTCCTCCCCAGGTGTCTGGAGCCTGTACAATTCATCCTTTCCACTGACAGCTGCTGCGCTGTCAGTGATTCGCAATGTAATGGCTGAACTCTCTCATGTGGGGGGGGTGCGTTTCTAAAAATCTGGGGAGGGCAGTGCTTGATCTAGCACAGCATTTCCCCAAGGGAGTTCTTCAGAATGCTCTTTCCAAGGATGACCATGGAAGAGTGTCCTGAGGGCAAACAAATTGGAGGAACTCTGGCTTGGGGGCACTCTCAGATCCTTACTCTGCAGCCATGCATCAGGAGTGGCTAAGGAGGACTTTACTGAGATTTGGGCCACACGATCTATCACTAACTCTCTTTGCTCTTGACCTCTCAGTGTCATTCCACTTAGGAAGTCCCTCAAATGATTTCAATCCTGCTCGTATAAGGAGGCAAAATCTTGTGGTTCTGAAATTCCACATACCTGCAAAATACTCTCCAACCCCACCTCCTCCTACCTCAGGTGATTCCAAAAATACCATGAAGCTGGGCAGCCAGTGGCTCATGCCTGTAATCCTAGCTACTCAGGAGATCTTGGTTTGAAGCCAACCCAGGCAAATAGTTCTCAAGATCCTATCTCAAAAAAACCCATCACAGAAAAGGGCTACTGGACTGGCTCAGGTGATAGAGCACCTATCTAGCAAGTGCGAGGCCTGGAGTTCAAGCCCCAGTACTGCCCAAAATAATAATACATGGAAATTGTAGTATAAAGTTTTTGATTCACACTTAATTGATTCCATTCCTGACTTGACTTTATGCTCTTTGTTTAGGCTGGGACCTAAGGGTGGGTCCTTGGCCAGAAGAAGGTGTGCCAGGTAAAGGCCCCTGTCTAGCTGGGCAGCCTTGGAAAAGGGACTCCTCTACCCTATCTCAGCCTAGTTTTATCAGGTGGAAAATGTGATCAGTGACCCTGGTTGCCACCCAAGGATTGAATGAGACGAAGTCAGTCCAAGAGCTCTGTGGCACTTGAGTGGTGGTGACACCTCTGATTGCTTTTGTAGGTACTGCCACCAGGTTCAGCGGTCAAAGCTACATGAGGTATAGGCCCCCAGAGGCTCAGAAATGGCGCATCCATTTCTACCTGAAAACACTGCAGCCACAGGCCATTCTCTTGGTCATTAATGACACAGCATCCATTTCCCTGAAGGTAAGGCACTGCCAGGCTGAGAGGCTTCATATGGGTGTCCCAAACTGGGGAGCTGGGGGTGGCATGAGGATGTTCTAGAAGCTCATACCTGACAAGGAATCCCTGCATGGCTGTCAGGATTGCTAGGTGTAACAATTGGGCCTGAATATGGAACTACCTTATCCAGGATCACACCACTACTCTACTTGGAGAAATATGGTCTAAACATCCAAGGGTGGGGCTGCTTGCCCTGTGAGGTAAGAGAGAGTCTCCAGAACACAGAAAGAGATGGGCAAGTCTATCCAGCCCTGGTATTGCAAAACTGTCATTGAGTAAAAAGCTAACATTTCCCAAGGAGTGGAGACTGACTACCACTGGGAACACTTAAGATGGCAAACTAGGTATAAAGTCACAAGAGTTACATGGAGGAAAAATGAATTTCCTTTAAATAGTCTTCAGTGTTTCTGATGATGTCCCTTACAAAGTCTCAGTTTGCCTGCCTGATTTAATACTTCTGTCACTTGTGCCATTCTCCCATTGTGACAAAGAGAAAGCTAACTTCAGCAGCTAGTTAGATTTTAATCCATTCAACACATGTCAATTGGGCATCTCTACCGGGTGACAGGCACTGTTGTAGGTGCATGGGTCGCATCAGTGAATGAGACAAAACTCCCTATTGGAGCTTTTACTCTGTAGGGGGGAGACTGGCAACAACATAAAAACAAGGAGGTTATACACTTGATTTGAATGTCCTGTAGGCAAAGGTGGAGCGTTAAGAGGGGTTGGGTGGGGGGTGGTTGCAGTTTTAGGTAAGCTGATCAGGGAAGGTTTTATTGAGGCAATGCCTGGAGTAAGGGATTCAGCCAGGCCATCGTGGGAACAGTTAGAGGGAACAGCAACACAAAAGCCGTTGACAGAAGAATGCTTAGCATGTTTAAGCAACAGCCCAGCTTTCCACATGGCTCTGGTGAAGTGAGCAAGGGGCAGCAGTAGGAGGAGTTGAGGTCAGAGATGAACTGGGATGGGGCATATCTAGGAAGGTTCTGGAAGCCGTTGTAAGGATGCTGGCTTTCATTCTAAGCAAATGGATGGTATCAAAAGGTTTTGAGCAGAGATTGCCATGATCTGACATACTGTAAAAGGGTCACCATGGCTTCTGGGTTGAGAATAGACTTTAGAAGAACAAGGATAGAAGCAGAGAGACCCAGCCAGGAGGCTCTGGCAATGATTTGGGGTAGAAAGAGAATGGCTGTGGAGACCAGGGAAGGCTATTGGAACTAGGAAGAAGATGTCAGATTCCAGAAAGATCTTGAAGATAAAGTCAACAGCCTTTCTTAGTGAACTGAATGAGTGGGGGAGAAACACGAGGGGTAAAATTTTGGCCTGAGCCAATGTAAGGATGAAGTTGCTGCCAACAGACCCAGGGAGGGATGTGGATGGAGTAGGCATGAGGGGAGATTGGGAACTCAGTTTGGAGTGTGAGTCTGAGATGCCTGTCAGACCTCCAGGAGGAGCTGGACAAACCAGTCTAGTGTTGTGAGAGAGGTCTGTTCTGGAGATAGAGACCTGGGAGTCTTCAGCCTGTATTTATTATTGAAAGCCAGGAGGCTGGATGAGATTACTAAGGAGTGTAGATCAAACAGTGGACCAAAGATAAATCCTCAAGACACAGCAACATGAAGAGGTCCGGGTGGAAAGCAGGATCCAACAAAGCAGACTGAAAATGAGCAACCAGGGATGATGAAGGAAAACCAAGAGTATTGTGTCCAGGAAGCCAAATGAAGAACACATATCAGACAGAAGCAGTGAGCTGGAGATGTAGCTCGGTGGTAGAGCGCTTGCCCAGTATGTGCGTGGGATTCCATTCCCAGCACAAAAAATAAAGAAATAAAAGAAGGAAGCAACGGTGAGCTGGGTAATATGCCACTGAGAGCCAAGTAAGTTGAGGAGTGATAATATTGTTGGATTTGCCAATAGAGAGAGACCTTTGAACACCTGAGCCCAGTGACTTCAGTGTAGTTCCAAATGTGAGTACATTTTTGTTGCAAATGGAAATGAAAAGAAAACTGATTCCAAGTTAGGACAACTGATTTTTTTAAAGAGTAGAACAATTAACAGTATGCTGGTATGCATATTGGGGTGATACAGTAGATAATGAATAAAACAAAGATGTAGGAAAGAGAAAGAAGTCAAGATAGCCTGGTCTTTGAGGGAGTGTGTGTGGGGTCTAATGCATCATTGGAGGGATGGGTTTTAGTCAAAGGGGACAGATGTGGTCAGAGTGCCTGCCAGTGCCCACCTGAAGCTTCAGCAGGAAGTAAGGTCATCAGCTGAGACAGAGAATGGGGGGGAGGGGCCTGAGGGGAGAAAAGCCATGACCTGTCATCTGGGAGAGTGAATGGTCTTAGGAAGGCTTGATTACTGGGTGACAGCCTCACTTGAGGCTCATGATCATGGAGTTAAAGGGAGGCCGTAGGCAAAGCTGGATGTTTTTCTCCAGCCACGTTCAGCTCCATGTCTGTAGAGAACAAGTGGAGAGTTGGATTTTACCACAGCTGTGGGTTTGCCAAGTGACTTCTACGAAGTAAGAGAGAGACAGGAAGTTGAGAGTATATGAAAGGAGTGGTTGTGAAATTTAAGCTGCAAGGACATTACAGAGGTGAGAGACAATGTGGTGTGGCAATCCCAGATGGGTGAAAGGAATGACTAAATTGCAATGTCTGTTGGAGTTGTATTTATTCTTGTCTTTCCTTTCCTTGATGGAAAGGGATATGGGTTTTCTATTTACCATAATGATCTCGTTTCCTTTTAAATAAATACAGATATAGATAGTATTCAACCTAGGACAAATCAGAGAGGTAGTATATAAATAGATAACTTATAGGAAACACTGGGCTAGAACTTCAAATCTTACGCAAAGAAAACTACCTAGCCCAAACTGAACAGAAAACTGTTTGGGCAAAAGCATGCCTACTTCTTAGGACTGAAGTGAGTTAAAATGTTCTAAACCAGTGGCTGTCAGACTTTTAAATTTCAGAACTTTTTACATTCTAAAAAAAGTATTGAGGATCCTAGAGAAGTTTTGTTCATGTGAGTTATAATTGTCACCATTCTCAGTACTTTGAAATACTTATTACTAAGTCAGGCATGGTTGTAGATGCCTATAATCCCAGCACTCAAGAGGGAAAGGCAGAAGGATCATGAATCTGAGACCATCCTGGGTACATAGGGAGATCATGTCTCAAAAACAAAACAAAAATGTAAATAAAATAGTTAACTCATTTAAAAATAAAAAGAAACTCATTACCTGTAAACATAAATATCGTATTTTTAAGAAAAATAATTACATTTTCCAAAATTTAAAAGGGGGGAGTGACATTGTTCTACATTCTTGCAAAACTCATTTCTATCTGGCTTAATAGATGATAGCTGACTCCTCACGTCTACTTCTGTATTCACCTGGAAAAGTCCACTCTATGCTTGTGAGCAGACACGGGCAAAACAAGGTCAATAACATCCTAGGATTATTGTGAACAGTCTCCCTTGTGACTCACCTGAAAAGGTCTCACATTGAGAGCTGCTGAAGTGCAGAATAAGGAACTGAAGTGAGGGGAAGGTGTTTTGAGTCCCTGAAGCTCAGGTTCTCAAGAGTGTGAACCCCAGACAGGCCCATAAAGGAGAGTCAGAAATACAGTGTCCTGATCATAAGGCCTCTTGAGCCTCAGTTTCCTCATCTGTGAAACGAAGATGTCACCCAGACCATCCCATGGAATGTGGTAAGGGCCAAACAAGACAGAAGGTTTTATGTTCAACAAATGCAAACCATCAGACGCTCACCCCAGAAAAATACAAACAGCATTCATTGGATGGGAAGCCTGTTAGCAGGGTTACAAGGACCTCTTGACTTTGCTGATGGCTGTCTGGGTTCTCTTTGCAGCTGGTCAGTGGAGTGCCCCAGCTGGAATACCGCTGTCCGCATGGTTTCTATGGAAACCTTTCCTCCCAGCATCATGTGAATGACCAAGAGTGGCACTCTGTCCTGCTGAAGGAGACGGACACTTCTGTTCACCTGTTGGTTGACAGCACAGAAAACACCTCCCTTGCTGTCCCAGAGAACTGCCGGGGTCTGAGGCCTGACAGATACCTCTTGCTGGGTGGTCTTGTCCCCTTGCATTCTTCCTCCAATGTCTCCCAGGGTTTCAATGGCTGCCTTGATGTTGTCATGGTCAATGGAGAGAGGCTGGAGCTGCTGGGACACAGCAAGACAACAGTGGGCTTACTGGAGAGACAGGCTCTTGGCCAGTGCTGCCAGCACAGTGATGACTGCAGCCAGAACCCATGCCTTAATGGTGGAAGGTGCTCACAGGCCCCCGGAGCAGGTAAGGTGGGGAGGAACCCCAATGTTTATCCCAGGAGGCTCTTCAAAGGCAGTCATGTTTCATTTGAGTTGACAAAGCAAGTTCCCTCACCACAGCTCTATGTGGCAGGGGGAAGACAGCTGTACACAGCTCAATTTTACAGCTTGGCAGACTGTTGGGCTCTAAGAGATCCTATCTGAAAAGTAACTGTAGCATAAAAGGTGCCAGGGTGTGGCTCAAATGATTAAAGTACCTGCCTAGCAAGTATAAGCACCCCCTGAAAAAAAATTCTTATCTCCATCAACATTGCAGTGGACACCGTCATGCTCATCTCTTTCCAAACCTGCCTGCACACACACACACACTCACACACACACACACACACACACACACACACACACACACACACACACACACTCACACGGGGGGAATTCATATACACAGTTTGTACAGGACTAAATAGGGCACACTATCCTCTCTTCTGATTTTTACTTGGGTAATATTTTGCCATTTTTACCTGTAAAATCTCCAACAAATCCATCCCTTTGCATCACCCCAGGCTATCATTCTGACTCATGCCCCTGTCACTGCTCATTGGACCTCCTTGCTGGTGGCTCCATTCTTCCCAAGCTTCTCCCCCACATTCTGTCTTCCAACAGGAGCCAAGTGAGCTTTACAAAGTACAGGACTGAGCATGCGGCTCTCCTGTGAGAACCCGCCAGTGCCCTTTCCCCCCACTGCTTTTAGGGCAAAGTCCAAATCCCTCATGTGGTGTGTGCAGCCTGATGCTCTAGTCCTTTCACCTCCAGGCCAGTAGCTCACACTATCCCTGCTCTGCCCTGGGTAGCCTGGTATGGTCTAGGTTTTATGAACATGCTGCACCCTCTCCTCCAAGCCTTTGCATGTGCCCTTCTCCTCGGCCTGAAGCACCTTCCTCTGCCCCTCTGTCTTCTTGCCTGACTAATTTCTGCTGATCCTTCAGGTCTCAACTGAAGTATTTCCCTGGTTCCTAGACTAAGGTAGTCTGCCCCCACCATTTCCCTTCAACAAAACAAATCTCATTACAATTACTGAGATACTGATATTATAAGGAACTGTCTATATTTGAATCCTACTTTTGCCATTTACTAGCTGTGTGACCTTGGGCCAATGTCATGCAGTCTCATGTCTCCTTTCCTCAACTTTCATTCCTTGTACCTGCCCCTGATAAGGACAGTGACAGTAACTAAGCTCAGGGTTCTTGAGTGGATCCAGTGAGCCAATCCATGGAGCATCTTAGAACAGCGACTAGCTCTACATAAGTGCCAACTGCCATCACTAATACATCCGTCGCTCTTCTTCCAATGCCTGTTTTCTCTCCTGGAATGGAAATGGCTGCAGGACAGGGACCAAGTGCTTCTGTTAGCAGGGTACCAGAGCCCAGCCTGGAGTTTGTCACAGAGCAGGCACTCAGTCTATGAGTGGTTCTTGAATATGACACCCAGGTCTGAAACATGCCAAGGTCTGCCCTTACTGCCAGCCGGTCACTCTCTCACTTCGTCTTTCTCCCAGGCTACATCTGCAGTTGTCCCCCATCCTTCTCTGGGAGGCACTGTGAGCACGGAAGGGAGAACTGCACTTCTGTACCTTGCCTGGAAGGGGGGACTTGTGTCTCCTCCCCTGAAGGAGTTTCCTGTAACTGCCCTCATCCCTACACTGGTGACAGGTAAGCCCAGGAGAGACCACCTGGCATGGGCTTCTCAACCTAGGTCTGACACTATTAGCAAGTGACCTTTGCACTTGGACCTCTAGAGAGGCCAGTGGGAGTCCCAAGTTCTCCAGAGATGTGAGCTGTAGGACTTTTCCATTTGCCAAGGCTTCTCCCTCCAAGCACTTTGAGTGGCTGGGGAAGGAAGTGCTTGTTAAAGAGACAGATTTCCCAAGCCCTATTCGGAACCTTCCTGGGTGGGGTCCAGGAAGGCACACTTCTCAGAAGCTCCTCCAGAAGTTCTGATCTTTGCTGAAGTCTGAAAATAAACGGGAGCTCTGCACTGGGACAATTCCACTCACTACAGGTACTGCTGTATCTCAGACCCCACTGCCTCCACTGTGCTGCGTGGTGGGGTTGGAAGAGAAAGAGAAGCATCCTAGAATTCTATAGATTTTGGCCATGATCTAGTCAATCATGTGAGAGACTTGGGAAAAATACAGACTTCTGGATCCCTCCTAGACTGACTGAATCTGAATTTCCAAGAATGCACCTGGGATCTTTTTGCCACACTCCCAAGGAATCCCCTTGTGATTCACCTGTGTAGGAAAGCCAATCATGTAGTCATTCCACTATTTTATAGTGAGGAAACTGAGGCCCAGAGAGGGAAAGGGCTTACCCAAGATGATCTGAGCCCTTCTTCTCAACCGTCATTATTCCTACCCCATTCCCTACCCTGCTTTACGGCAGGAAATGCTACTCATCAGATGTGTTGGGACGACACTTCATAACGCTTTGTGAAGTGGTGTTTGGAGAAGACAATATTTAATCCCCAAAAGCAAATCATTGGTGGTGTTTTGGATTCAGATGGGGTGGGGGAAATCTCCGGTATTCCTCAAAAGTGCATAAAACTGGCCATGCTGAAGATGATCCTGAGAGGTCACATGGGTTCTAGAGCTTTTTCTGAGCAAGCCATCCTGTGTAAGGTAGCTAATCTGTGCAGGACCATGTTGGCTTCCTGTGACCTCCTGGTAGCATTGATGCCTGGTTGCCATTACTGGGGAACTGTTGACTTGTGTCTGGGACCCTGGCATCCTTGCTAGAGGACACCTGGATGTCCCAATACCTCCACTGCAGCAGGATCTGACCTCATTGGTGGAGAGAATAGCCACTGCCTAGGTCTCATTGGTGGAAAATAGTAGACATGCCCAGATCCTTAGGGTCACAAATGAAGGTGCTGCTGAGATCCACACTTTACTGGGGGAGGACACAAAGTTCTGATGTTGATGTGTTTGATAGCCCTCCCCCTTCTGGTGGAACACAGTAGGTAGGTTTGAGGGCAAGGCCTCTATCCCATAGACCTTAATAAGAAGGGACATGGAAAGGACAATACAATGACTGGGTTCCCTGATACTTCCGTGTCTTTGTAGATGTGAAATGAAGGCAAGAGGCTGCTCAGAAGGACACTGCCTAGTCACTCCTGAGATCAAGAGAGGGGACTGGGGACAGCAGGAGTTACTGATTATCTTTGTGGTCATACTGTTCGTCCTTGTATCCACCGTTGGGCTTCTGCTCTACTGCCGCCGCTGCAAGTCTCACAAGCCTGTGGCCATGGAAGACCCAGACCTCCTGGCCAGGAGTGTTGGTGTTGACACTCAAGCCATGCCTGCCATTGAACTTGACCCCCTGAGCACCAGCTCCTGCAACAACTTGAACCAAGTAGAGCCTAGCAAGACCTCAGTTCCGAGTGAGCTTGTCACTTTTGGACCCAGCTCTAAGCAACGGCCAGTGGTCTGCAGTGTGCCTCCCAGGCTCCCACCAGCTGCGGTCCACTCCCAACCCGACCATGAGGGCATCATTAAGAGAACATGGTCAGGCGAGGAGATGGGTCAGTACAGCCAGAGACCCTGAGCCTCTGGGACAATGGAATGGGGTGGGAGACCTAAATACACCATTTAGGAACAAGTATTTATAGCCACCATCCAATCTAAGCCCTGGGTGTGGGCCATGAGGGGACATATTCAAGGTTGCAGTACACTTAGGGCTGGAGAAGATGGTGGGTCTCTCTACCCAGAGTCTGTGGCTCACTGTGTGTCATCATGACCTACTCCTCTAAATTCCAAGTCACTCTGTAGGACTGATAGAAAAACACGATACAGAAAACTTGTAGACCCTGCATGGAATTGCGTAGGATGCCAGGGGTGAGAGGGGGATGTCTGCACATTTGTGTTTTTCTGGGATGGGAAAGAGAAGCAGTGGTCTAAGTTTCTGGTTGCCCAATCTGGGGGTGCAGTACCACTGAGTCAGACTTGGCTGACCTAGAGGAGAGAACTAACCCCCCTCTTGTGTTTGGTTCAAAAGGAGGTGAATTTGTAAAGCACTTTATATTTAGCTGGTATATTCCCCAGGGGTTACAAGTGTTTTTTTGTTTGTTTGTTTGTTTGTTTGTTTTCAGTATTTATCACTAGGGCCCATAAAGATGAAGTGACTTGTTCTAACTTACCCAACTTCTCAGTGGCAGAGACAGTGTAAGACCAAGAACTCCTGATCTCCTCTTCCAAGTCACATGTCATCACTCCCCATGACAGACACCATAACGTCTCTAAGCCCACACTATGTCTGTTTCCATCAATTTTAAGATTAAGTTCTTGGTTGAGTCTTGGGAGTTGCTGTGTCCAGCGGTGGGGGAGGGCCACACGGAGCTCTGCATTGTCCTCCCTCTTTCACAGAATTGCAGGTCAGCAGCAGAGATTGGCAAGATGGCTTTGGGTTAACCTCTGGCCTTGAACTTGGTCCCACTGGATTCTATATGTCCACATAGGATGCCAGAGATAATACGCATAGACAGGCCAGCTCCCTGGGCCCTCTCCAACACATCTAAGTTATATATAGTAGCTGTAGGGCTTTCTGGAATCTTCACCAGGGAAACTCACTCTGTCATGCTGTTTCCTTTCAGTGTACCCAGGCCGAGCCACAGTCTGGCCCCCTACGTACTCCAGGAAGGAACACTGGGAATACCCGCGTTCTGAAGTGACCCAGGGTCCTCTGCCACCCTCACCTCACCACAGTGCAGCCTCAGCCATGATGCCAGAGCCCAGTGGCCTCTATGGGGGCTTCCCCTTCCCCCTGGAGCTGGAAAACAAGCGGGCACCCCTCCCACCCCGTTACAGCAATCAGAACCTGGAAGATCTGATACCCCCACGGCCCCCCAGCCCCCGGGAGCACCTGCTCGCTCCCTGTCTCAATGAGTACACAGCCATCAGCTACTATCACTCGCAGTTCCGGCAGGGAGGGGGTGGGCCCTGCCTGGCAGAGGGGGGCTACAAGGGAGTGAGTATGCGCCTCAGCAGGGCTGGGCCCTCGTATGCTGACTGTGAGGTGGCAGGTGGGCCTCCTGCAGGCCGGGGCCAGCCCCGGGCTCCCCCCAACTATGAGGGCTCAGATATGGTAGAAAGTGATTACGGGAGCTGTGAGGAAGTCATGTTCTAGCTCTCTGTTCCCGAGGAAGGCAGGTGAGAGGCCCAGGCCTTGGCACCATCTTCCTGTGTCATAGGGAGTGAGTTGAGTGCAGCTGGGAGAGCAGGGGAGCCCCCATACCCAGCCCAGACCACCATCCCTTGAAATGTGCTCTTCCGGTCCCTAGCTGGTCCCTGACGATGGAGGGAAGCTGAGGGTAGAGCTTCAAAAACAGCACCAGGGCCCCAGGAGAGAGGGGATGCACTGAGCAGTTACCCTGGGAAATCAGAAACATGTGTCTCCTGGGGTGGGTAAGAGGCAGGCTAAGTCCTGGATCCACAGCCTCTTCATCCCAGAAGACAGGCCTGAACTACAGGGTCACCTTGACTGGACCGCATTCTTATAGCTGCACGGAGCTCCATTTTGGGGCAGGCAGGTTTGTACCCAACAGGCAACTACTGTATTGGTTACAGAGACGAGAACCAGGGTCACGTGACCCTGGAGGGCCACATGGTGTCTTCCCGGGGGGCTGAGAGGTGAGTAGCAGGTACAAGAGCCACCTGAGCACCTGCCTGTGCATTTGCACACTCACTGTGTATTTGCCAAGCGTCCGCCCCTGCCAGGCACTGGGCTAGGTGCCAGGGGTAACAAGGACTCCAGGAGCATCACTTGGCTCTCAGTCTCCTGGAAGTCCTGCTCCTGTAGCCCAACTTCAGAGGAACGTGCTCCACCTCTTAAAATCACATGCTTTTCTACCAGCCAGGGCCTGTCGATCTTGGGCAGTCCTAAACCTTCTCTTTTGAAGAATTCAGACCTCATGGATCTCTGGGTTCTTCACCCCAAGTTCCCAGGCACTTTTGGGCAAAGGCAGGAAGGAAATAGCTGTTCATTTAAAAATTCTTAGGCACTTTTTCAACCTTACTGTCTAGACGAGTTTTCCCAAAAGGACTTTTCTTCTCTAGACACGAGGAACTCAGAACTCCTGTCCAGGGTCAGGTAGAGGCAGGCAGCTGACCAGGCTGGACACCCTGCCCTTTCCTACCCGTTCCTACCCCTCCATCTCAGATGCCTGCCAATCAAGTGTTACCTACACTGACTCAGCCCTGTGCATGGAGGGTCAGTGTGGGCACACATCTACACATGTGGTACCCATGTACAGTATTGTGTACACATGTGTAGAATGTATGTAGCCGGGAGTGGTGGAGACCGGAAGTCAGTGAGGCCAGTAGTGGCCTCAACCCTCCACCCCTGCCAGTCCCTCTCCGGTCCACTGCCTTTTCATATGTGTTGTTTCTGGAGACAGACGTCAAAAGGAAGAGACACAGAGATGCTTACCCACAGGGCTACTGTGAGAGCTGTGTGGGTGAGAGTGAATTTGTGCAAATGGTTTGCGGCTGTGCGTGTGATTGTGGGTTGTGTGGTTTTGTCAGTCTTTTTTTTTTTTTTTTTTTTTTTAACAATAAAGTATCTTTTCTACTGTTATTTTTGGCATCACTTAGCCTGTTTCTTGTTGGGTCAGGGGAACATAGGCCCTTCGGAAACCAGATTCATGGAACTTGGGAGCTGGAAGAAATCTTACAGATCATCAAGTGGTGATTCCTAAATCCAGCATAGACCCTGAGTTCTTCCCAGACACACAAAGTCACAGCCCTGGTGGGGCCCAGGACACTGTTTGGGAAAAATGTCTTCAACTCCAATGCAAATGTCTGCAGCGGTTGAGAAAACTGAGGCTCAGAGGAACTGGCCATTACCAGCAGGTTCACCTGCCCAGGGCCCAAGAACTGGGACTCCTGTTCCCCAGCATTGTACACAACAGTGCACTGGGTGGGGAGGCAACTTACTGTCGGGAAGCCAGTCCTCCTGGCGCCCAAAGGCAGCCAGTGGTTGCTACTCCGCAGCTGACCCCAAGACAGAAAGCCCTGCTGTGGATTCCTGAATCCAGTTGGGCAGAGAAGGCATCTATGGGAGACACCCCAGCAGTATGTGGTTTTGGGGTTAGACAGGCTTGATTCTAAGCCTGACTCTGTTGCACACTAATTAATGTGGCCTTGAGCAGGTATGATTCAGTCTTTCGTTTTTTTAGACTTAGGTTCATGGAATGATTGGATATCCTACAAACTCCCTGCATCTGTCAACATCCCTCACCAGAGTGGTACACTTGTTACATCAACCCGCATGGATGCATCTTCTATAGTTTGCAGTAGGGTTTATTCCTGGTGTTGCACATCATACAGGTCTGGACAAATGTATGAGGACATATCCACCATGCGAGAATCATACAGATAGTTTCGCTGCTCTCAGAACTCTCTGCTTTTCATTCTCTCTTCCCTAGGCCCTGACTACTACTGATATCACTGTCTCCACAGTTGTGCCTTTTCCAGAAAGTCATATAGTGAGAACCCTGCCATCTGTAGCCTTTTCAAGTTGGTCTCTGTCACTCAGTAATGTGCATTTAAGTTTCTCACATGTGTTTCACGACTTAGTGGCTCATTTCTTTTTAGCTGAATAATATCCCATTGTCTGGATGACCACAGTGCATTACTCACTCACCGCTGAAGGACATTTTCACTGCTTCCAGGTTTCAGCAGCTGCAAATAAAGCTGCTGTTAATACCAATGGACAAGTTTTTGTGTGGACACGTTTACCCAGCTTCTTTGGGTAGATACCATGGAGTACAATGCCGAATCTTGTGTTAAGAACACGGTTAGTTTTATAGGAAACTGCCAAAGTGATTGTACCATTTTGCATTTCTACAAGCAGTGAGTGAAAGTTCCTATTGCCCGACAGCCTCACCAGAATTTTGTAATAGTGTTCTAGATTTTGGCTACACTCTAGGGTGCGTTGTGGTGTCTCATTATTGTCCCAACTTGTATTCCCTGATGACAGATGTGGCTCATATATCTATACAGAAAATACGTAAGTATGTATTTTCTTTGGTTAGGTGACTGTTGAAATAGTTGCTCCCCCCTTTTCTTGACAGTACTGGGGGTTGAACTCAAGGTTTCCATGCTTGTTAGGCAGGCCTTCTACCACCTGAGCCACTTTGCCAGCCCTGGCCCATTTTTAAAATCAGGTTGTTTTCTTATTGTTGAGTTTTGAATATCTGTTGTACATTTTGGGTAACAATCCTTTATCCAACAGATCATTTGTGATCTGTTTTTTTCTCAGTCTGTGTCTTTTTTTTTTTATTCACTTGACAGCGAATTTTTTTTTTTTTTTGGTAGTGCTGCTAGGGTTTGTACTCAGGGCCTTGAGCTTGCTAGACAGATGCTCTATCACTTGAGTTATTCCCTATCCTGAAACTTTTAATGAAGTCTAGCTTATCAATTCCTTCCATCATGGCTGGTGGGTGACTTCGGTGTTTTGTCTATAAAAGTTATCACTATACCCATAGAGAAACATCTAAAGCCTCTCCTATGCCATGCAGGAAGTTTTGCATCTTACATTTAGGTCCAGTTTGAGCTAATTTTTGTGATGTTTGCAAGGTCTAAGTCTAGACCCATCTTTTACATAGGGATGTCTAGTTCTTCTGGTCCCATTTGTTGAAAAGACTCTCTTTGCACCTTTGCTTTTGCTCATTTGTCAAAGTACAGTTGGGCCTCTTATTTTTTTCCAGTAAAACAAAGACAGTAGTAAAAATAGCAATAGCTACCTACTAATATTGTTGTGAGGAACAGCTGCAAGAGTGAAGAGCTTACTGAAGCACACAGAATAAACAGTGGCCATCATGAAAAGAAATAATATCAGGTGGTAAATAAGATAAATGTATGCAGGAAATCATGAGTAATGTAATCCTTTTTTGCCTACATTTGTTTGTTTACCACTTTTATAACTTTTGCCCCAACAGAATAACATTTGTACTGTTACCTACTTTTTTCTTTAAATGTATTTAGATTCATAAAAATATTTTACTCAACTTAAATTTCCATAAATCAAGGGATATGAGTAACATATAAAAATACCTAACTTCAGATAAAAAATAACTGCCCAGTACCTCTATTCATCCCTGAACCAGTCACCTTCCTCATTCCTGATATTTCTTACCGCAAGGTCCACAGAGAAGGGTTCAGAGCTAGCACTCCTCAGCGATAAAACCCAAGCACAGAGCAGCCCAGCCTGAAGCTCTCTCAGGCCTCTCTCACCACCTGCCTTCCCAGTCTTCCTGAGCCTGCATCTTCACAGTTTGGCCACCAGAGGGCTCTCTGAGATCAAGACCTGCCCTACTGAGCTTGGCTGCCCTACTGAGCTTGGGGAGGATCCAGGGTTTTCAGGGAAATCCTCCCATCTCAAGCCACTGGACCACTGGGTTCAAACATACTGAGTTTGACACAACAGACAAGAGATTTTACAGTTCATGTAACAACACTCACCACCCTCAGCCACCGCCTCTACAGCCACCACTTACCACCTGCAATAGGCCAGGTGTTGTGAAAACCTGTGCCTTATCTTATTTAATCTTTACAAAACCCTGTGAGGTTGGTACTATCGTCTCCATTTACAGGTGGGGGAACTGAAGCACAAAGAAATTAAGTAGCTTGCATGATGTTAATAACAAGTAAGCGGTGTGACAAAGCTCACGAGTGACAAGACCAGGATTTATATGTGGGATCATGAAACAAATTTTAAGACACCAAGGACAGTGATGAACAGCAGCACAGGTAACTTAGAGGACTGAGTTCAGAACCAGCTAGGAATGCCCCTCTAATTCCAGGTAACATGAATAGAACCAGGGTGTCCAGATGTGGGAAGGTGGGAGCCTGCTCAGTCTTGGGGCGCCACTCCAGGCCTCTCCTATAAGCCTGCATCCAGTCTCAGGGACGACGTTACGAGCAACCCAGCAACCTTGAACATTGCTGGAGGACAGGACCTGTAAGGGATGGGCAAGGCGAGGACTCACAGCAAATCTTGTGAGGAATGGCTGCAGAAGGCAGGCGGACAGCTGTTTCCGCGGGAGCAGGAAGACTGGTCAGGACTCACCGGGTCAAGTGGCATAAGCACTGTGCAACAGAAGAATCACGAAACTGCTTCCTTCAGGTGCTGGAGCAGTGTGGAGGGCATGTACAGCTGCCATCCCCTGGATGTTCATCAATCCTTTTTAGAAAAGGCAAATGTGCTGTGTAGAAATCTGAGGGACACTCTGGAGGGAGACATGGGGTTTTGAAGAGGTAAACACCACAACCAGAACTCCTGAGGTGTATCTCAGATGGAAGAAGGGTACAGCCCAAGCCTCTCTCTATTGGACTTAAGATTATGGAGATTCTAAAAAAGCTACCACAGGTAAAATTCTAAGGTAGAGTGACTTGCTTAGGACCCATCATCAATTTTGTGCAAAGCAGACAACCATTCTTTCTGTATGACATGATAAACTAGTGAGACCCCACCCTGCAAGGATGCCAGCCAAGTGCAGCCCAGGCTATCGCCCCAAGTGAAGAGCAGGAGCTTCCCCAGGGATAAGACTGGGAGAGGATAGTCTTTGGGATTTTCTCAAGATTCCTCAGTAAGTCTTCAAAGTCTAACCAAGGAAAATGCTTGGTTAGATTGATACAAAGCTCAAAATAAACATAATGATGTCAACTCCTTGCCAGGTCAGGGTACCATTTGCTACTGAAGAAGACAATACAGATTTTAGTAACTAATCAACCAACCAGGCTGCCCTTGAGCAGCCTAGGGTCTAGGGAAATACCAGGTCCCTCGGTATCCACAGGGGATTGGCTCCAGCACCTGCCGAGGATACCAAAATCCATGGGTACTTCCTTATGTAAAGTGGTGTGGAGTTTGCAGATAGCCTTTATACATCCTTCTGGATACTTTATAACGCCTAACATAATGTAAATTCTGGTAAGTAGTCGCTCTACTGCTTGGTTTAGGGAATGACAAAGAGAAAAGTCTGCACGTGTTCATGCATATGCAGTTTTTGAGTATTTTCTATCTGCAGTTGGTTGAATCTGCAGATGTGGAACCTGCAGATAATGGAGGGCTGATGTCACCACATCTGTCTAACACAGGCAGGTATGAGGCTAACCAGAATAGTGATACAGATTACTGAGGAGGGAGTCATAAATTCTGACTAAACCAGTCAGGGAAGGTTCCAGAGAGGAATAGCCATTGGAGCTGGTTCTTAAAGTTGAGCTTCAGGCTGAGCATAGGAAGTAGGGCCAGCAAAGTAAGGAATAAGTAAGTGAAGGCTTTTGAGAAGGTGGGCAGTGGCAGGCAGGTGAGCAAAGCAGGCCAGAGGCAGAGTGCAATCCTTACCCGGCCTAGGGACTTGCTGGTAGGTGGTTGCCTATACATCTCAAGAAATTTAATGAAAAGTTCACAGATTTGAGTTCAGAAAGGTCACAGGATACAAAATCAGCATACAAAACTCAACTGCATTTCTATATACTACTAACGAACATTCAGAAGCTGAAATTAAAAAAACACGTTATGGGGTTTTGTTTTTTTTTTTTTTTTTACATGGCTTTAGTGTTAGAGCATCTGTCTAGCAAGTCTTCAAACCCCAGATCCGCACCCCTCCATTACATTTGCAATTGTTCCAAAGAAAACTAAAAGTATAAATCTAATATAAAATATATAGGATCTAGTAAACGGCTAAAATAATGACAAAACCAAATGCTGACAAGGATGTAGAGAACAGGGATTACTGGTATAGTAACCGGTACTATATACAACAACTTGGATGAATGTTAAGGGAAGTATACTGAATGGAAAAAGCCAAACTCAAAAGCCGGTGTACATGGGCTGGAGGCATGGCTCAAGTGGGAAGCACCTGCCTTGCAAGTGGGAAGCCCTGAGTTCAAACTCCAGTACTGCCAAAAAAAAAAAAAGCCAATGTCCAAACACAATAATTCAATGTACATAGCCACAATTACAGAGATGAAGAATGGATTAGTGGTTGCCAGGAGTTAGGGATGTGGAGGAGTGAAGACAGTGAGTGTCTGCAAAGTAGCAGCGTGAAGAGGATCTTGTGCTGGTGGTAGTTACCATCCTCATTCTGGAGGTGGGAGTGAATGGGACGCTGTACTGCAACAAAGCAACATAGAACTAGACACACACATTCACACACACACACACACTCACACATACACATTTACACACAGATGTGCAAATGCTTAGTGAACTCTGTCATTCTATGGAGTGTACACATGTCGATTTCCTGGTTTGCTCATGTGGATAGTTATGCAAGATGTTAACACTGGGGGAGACAGGAGGAAGGAAACACTGGACCTCTTTGTACATTTCTTTGCATCTTCTTATGGATATATAATTATTTCAAAATAAAAGGCTTAAGTTAAAAGAAAATAACTATGTTTTAAAAGAAGCAAAATATTTAAACCAATACTTTGTTAAAGAAGATAGACCAAGGGCCAAGAAACCCATGAAAAAAATGCAGAATATCAGTTACTGGGGAAATGCAAATTAAAATCACCTATTAGAATGGCTAAAATTTTTAAAACTATAATACTAAGTATTGGTGAGGAATTCGAGCAGCTGGAATTCTCATAACTGCTGGGAGGAATCCAAAATGGTACAACCGTTCTGGAAAACAATTTGCCAGGTTCATAAGTCATGAACTTACCATCCAGCCCCCTAGTTCCTCTCTAGGCAATTACACAAGAGAAATAAATATATGGCTCTGTAAAGACCTGCTCATGAATATTCATAGCAGTTTTACTCATAATAGTTAAAATCTGAAAGTAACTCAATCATCTATCAGTTGGTAAATGGATAAACAAAAAATCATCAAATGTTACTTAGCAATAAAAAGACACAGATTAACACATGTAGCAACACAGATGAATATAAAAAGTATAATGCTAAGTGAAAGAAGCCAGACACAAAGGGCTACATATGTATGGGCCAATACAGAGGGCTAAATATGGCATTCTAGAAAAGGCAAAACAGGATGAAAAAAAATCAGGGGTTGCCAAGGGCTAAGTGGTATGGGGAGAGTATGGACTGCATAGGGTGTAATAGGGGTAAAGAAAATATTCTATATCTTGACTGAGATGATGATCACATGATAGCATGCATTTGTCAAAACTCATCAGCTATACAGTTGAAAAACAGAATTTTATATATAAATTATACTCTGATTTTTTTTAAAGATGAAGGAGACCAATAGCCAGCCTAATAAAGTGCACCATTAAAGCTGCACAGCTTCTCAGCACACAGGCAGTGGGCTGCATATAAGGGAGTCAGCCTACCTACCACACAGCCCAGGTTTGGGGTCCAAGTTTTCGGTCTACTGTCACTTGAGTTGATGCCTTCAGCAACACAACAGGTGTGCCTTGAGGAGCCGGGATTTCTGGAAGGAAGGATTACAGCCACTAGGTGTGAATGTGAGCAGGAGTAAAAACTTCAAGAAGTAGACCATCTTGAGTGTTGAGTGCTCTGCACAAAGGAAGTGAGCAAGACATCATAATGAACAGATGACAGTCACACAGCAGACAGAACCACCTGAGCCTCCGTTTCCTTCATCAGAGAGTATTTCAGGAAAAACTCTCAGAAAGCCTTCATGTTTATGAAATATGGAAATGTTATGACATTCCCTCTAAACGTCACAACAATCCTTAAGGACATGGCTCCCTCAGCCGGGCTTTGGGAAATGCTCAGGTTCTGGAACCAAAAGGCTTGTGTGTCTCCCAGTTCGGGCTAAGAACAGAACAGGTGACTTTGAAACAGGGTGTTAAGTACACTCTGACTGTGTGTGTGTGTGTGTATGGTGTGTAAAAAAAGACAGAGACAGGTTTCAAGGGACTGGCTTACCTATGAGGCTGGCAAGTGTAAAATTCATAGGACAGGCTGACATCTTAGAAACTCACAAGCTGATGCTGCGTTCTTTTTTGAGGCAGAATTTCTTTTCTCAGGGAAATCTGTTTAAGAACTTTCAACAGATAGGATAAAGCCCACCCACATCATCAAGGATAATTTTTACTTAAAGTCAACTGATTATAGATGCTAACCATATTTACAAAATACCTTCACAGCAATACCTAAGGTTTGATTGAATGACCAAGTTGACAAATAAAACTAACTATCAAACATATTATGGGGCTTATCTGTTATACACAGAGAACACTAAAAATTCCTACTCAGGATTTCAAGAGAATCAGGAAGAGATTTAAGGAAGGCAGGATTTCGTACCAGAAAAAGAAAAAAATATTCTGGTCCCTTTCTGGGGCACATCTCAATTTCCTGGCTGGTTCCATGGTTCATCCTATCTCTCCTTCCCTCATGAACTCTTGGCATAAGCTAGAAACATTGCATATGTTAATCTTAACTGTCAAGTTGGTTGCATTGGGAAATGCTTGGGGGATTGGCAAAGCACACCTTCGGGGGTGTCTGTGAGGGTGTTTGCAGAGATTAGATCATGAAGGCAATGACCTAATAAATGGATTAATCCCCTGATGGATTCATAATATGAGGGCATTGTTGGGAGGTGGTCAGAGGCAGGAGGTGGAGCCTGGTTGGAGGACATGGGTCACTGGGGTGTGTCCACAGGGGCTACTTCTTACCCCGGCCCCTTGCAGAATTCCCTTTCTGTTTCCTGGCCACCAAGATGTGAACTACTCTGACCTGCCACACCACTCCTGCCACGATGGACTGGCACCCTGAAACCATGAGCAAAATAAATCCTTCCTCCCTTAAGTTGTTTCTGTCAGGTATTTGGTCACAACAACAATAAAACTGATAAATATTTTAACCTAAAATCTAGTAAAGGGATCTAAGTGAGTTTTTTAAAGTGTAAAAACAAAGACACAGACTGCAACCACTCAAAAATAAAAATAAAATTCATTTATTGAAAAGGAAAAGTTTTACACACAATGCATGTGCACAACCCGACATAGATCTACAAGCCCTGACAGGGTCCACATGTCTACGCACATGCTGGAAATACACAGCGATGTAGGCACATAACGTAACAGTACTGTCTGGTTACCAAGACTTGCTGCACGGTGGTTCTCTAATTCACACATCCATTGACAAGGTTTACAAGACAGCCACCTGATTTTTCTCTTCACTAAAAGAAAATAGCTTTCCCAGCATCACCTTGATTTAAACCAACAAACAGAGTTAACACTAGGCACTTCTGCCCTCTAATCACCTCCTGCCAGCACCACGTATGTCTTCTGGCCAGAGAATGACTCAGCAACACACAGGAAAAGAAAAAACCTAACAGGCTGACACTGTCAGAGCAAACAGCCTTCTCCCCAGCAGGACTAATGGCCTAGAAATATTGACCATGATTTCAAAGACAATCCTTATCACTTTCTTTTCCCCTAATGGTTTTGGAGATTTTTGATGTATTCTGCAAAATTAAATTCTAAGGCAGACTTTCAGCCGCCCTTCCAATCACCACATCCTGCCCCTTGTACTGTCTGAAACAAGTGAGCAGCTATGAAGAAAACCCCAGCTACAGAGCCCTTGCTGGGAGCAGGGAATAGAAAGCTTGTAAACAGACAACTGAGTCTTCGTATTTCTGAGATGAGGTGAACAAATAGGTAGTGTCAAACACAGATGGGACTGCAGGAAGGGAAATTTTTGAGAATTGGGAAGGGAAATACTATTTTTCTAATGTTTGGACCAACCTTAAGACTACTGATAACACTGCACCTTCTGCCTTGTGTGGGGACAGACAGTGAGCGGTGAGCATCAGCCGGTGAGTTTGGCTGGAGACATGAGACAGGACTGGGAGGGTCAAAGCTAAGTCATGCCACATGGTCACTCCAATCTGACCTGCTACTCCACAAGCAGATGTCTAAATGTCAGCACCCCGAGTTGGACCACAGTGAGAGGCTGGAAAGCAGACTCCCAGCCAGCCAGGGAAGACACCGGGGCTCTGACAGGAGAAGCCCTGTGGGCAGTAGAAGGGACTCAGTTGGCCCAGCAGCCACTTGCAGCATTTTCTTCTGGCTTCCTCTCTCCTCTGTGCCTGCGAGCTGGCAAGTCAGTAGCTTTACCTGAGTCTTCTAAGAGTCATGCAGTCAGGCTATCAATGCCATAGGAGCACAAGAAAGAGGTCAAACAGCATAGGTCATGCCAAAGTAGCTTTAAGAAACTCTAAGGCTTGAGTTGGCTCCCTGTACACCTTCTCAGGGCCAGGGGCCTTGAAGCACCAACTTGTATTCTGCTGAGAGCTGGGGCCAGAGGACCTCAGTACTTCCATCCAGGCCCTAGAAGTCACCTGGACAGGAAGGCTCAGCAGCTCCAAGCACACAGTGACCACCACCAAGGAGACTGTGAGCAGGACACAGGGATGGCCCCTTCCATTGGTATGTACCTTATCACTAAAGCAACTCTCAGGACAGCTTTCAGACAATAGCCAGGCTCAGAGCTGGGTTGCTAGAGCCTGGGTCTATAAACAGGCATGCCAGTTTCTGAGCCTGCTTTGGTCACTTCTAAATCCAGGAATTCAGAGGGCAAGGTCTCTGCTAATCCCAGCTGGAACCCTGGTCACATAAGCACCTGTTAGAGACCACGAAAGAACAGAAGGGGTGGGGGAAGTGTCACTGTTCTAAGGGACAGCAAGTCAGAATGGGACCATCTTTCTAAGTTTACAAACTGTTAGCTAGGAACTATTGCACTCAAGTCCACTTTTCCCATTCCTTCACCTGGAAGTCCCTTGGCTGGCTCTGGAACAGAAGAGAAAAAAGGCGGGCTGCAAGGGTAGGCCATGGCCCTCACTGCTTCGTAAAACACAAAGCAAAACCCTGATAAATGTTTGTTGTTCTTCCTTCACTAACTTTCAAGGCAAACCATATCTCTAGATAAGTGAGAGCCTGGTGACAAGAGTGGAGGAGATATGAAATCCCCTGTCACCCACACACGCATACATGCACACACACGTACACAGTTGAAGAGATGGGCAGTTAATGAATGCCCTTTAGAAATCCTCTTCACACCAAGAAGAAAAAATGGCAGCTTAGAGAGGCAACATATTGTCCCTACCTCCTCTGACGTCTGCTCCCTCACCTGAAGGCCCATTCTGACCTGCCAGCCCTGAGGCTGTGTGTGACATTCAGGGAGGTGGGCTGGGGGAAAGACATGGGCACAGTTAGGGTTCAGTGGTTTCTTTGAAGTCCAGGGCTTGGAAGCAGCTTGCAGTGGGACACTGCTTCTGCCCTGTCCTCTCCCAACTGTAAACAACCAAGCATGTGTAGTGTAAGATCAGCTGTGGTGAATCCTACAAACTCAATGCCAGACTCTGCCCACTGACCTCAGCTTCTGAAGGCAACACAGTGGTGTCTTTCTGGCATGATAGCAAGTGAATGTGGCCTTCCCTTTTCCTGGCCAGCTGCTGAGGCTGAAAAGTGGGAGACACACAAAGTGACCACCACAGAAGCCTCCATTGACAGAAACCTGTGCCCTGGCCTCCTGGCTCTTGGTCTAGTACCTACACAAGTATCTCCCAAATCCTTCAGTATGTGCTGAGTATGAAATGCAGCCAATCGCAGGTGGCAAGGCCTGGGCCTCCCTGTGGAGGTCCTCATTTACACAGTCCTGCTTAAAACCTGCAGCACTCAGCTATGCTCCGAGGACTGACACAGGCGTCTCCTGGAATGCATTTTTTTGTTTGTTTGTTTTTTGGGTTTTTCCCCAGAAAAAGCTAAACAAAAGTTGCTGGGGAAGAAATAATTTATCATAACCCCAGATCTAAAAACAAAACTCTAATCTTAAATAAAATACAAATATTTCAACGTAGGCAGCACTTGATATCTTTTCAGAGCTAAAACAATTAAGAACACAGTATTGTGACCCACTGAGAGGAACTCAAAGGTGTGGCCCAGGGATCACAGGAAGCCAGAGAGAGTCCAGATTAAAACATCCAGCTTTGGAAGCTGGTTGTAAACCTCTAGGTAGGTCCCAATACCCCCTGAGACTTGAATAAGTAGACTATTGAGGTACAGTATTTGAGAGAGAGATGAGAGGCCTGGCTTTATAAAGAGGGAAATTTCCACTTATTTAACCTATGCCTGGCCCAGGAAAGGACAAAACATGCGGTGTGGGACACTAAATTTTTAAATAAAGTGAATTGTGCAACAAGAATGATTTGGGTGAGGCGGGTCAGAGGAGGGGGACAGTTGCTAAGGGAGGGGCACAATGAGGGTTAAAATAAGTACAAATGAGTGGTGATAGCACTGTCACAAGTGGTTCCTCCCAAATGTCTGCTACCCACCCCCACCCCTGACTCAGTCTCACCTGGCCAGGGTACCCAGGTATCAGGTGGAGGTGTACCCCGACAGCGACCCTGCCTTTCTCCAGAGGCTAGACCATATATGGGGCTTTGGGGACAGGGACCAGGGGACACACTAAGTCGGGGCTGGGCAGATGCAGTGAATGTACCCAGATCCCTATACAAAGGCACTGGTGGAATTGATGGAGATGGGACCACTGCTTGGCTGGACCAGTTCATAGAGGGCTTGGTAGGTCCCTACCACGAAGCCCACGAAGCCCAGGATGCTGATGAGGGCGTCCTTGGCAATGGTGAGGGGGCTCAGGCCCTCTGAGCAGTAGGTGCTGATCTCCAGCAGGGGCGGGATGATGAGGGCCAGGGCGCTGCTGCTCACGGAGCCCACCAGGGAGATGACCAGGTCCAGGCGGGGGATGAGGATGGCCAGGATGCCTGCAGGGAGAGAGAGGACATGGCTGTTCAAGACTGCCCAGGGCTGGAAAAGATCGCACTGGTCAACAAATTCAGCTTCTGTCCATCTTATGGAATGAAGAGCTCTCAGAAAACTTAGACACCGGATATTCAGCCCCATCTCTGAGCAGCAGAAGATGTTCAGAGTCTAGGGTCTCCTAGCTCCAATCCTCCCTCCCTCCCTGCCTCCCTTCCTTCTTTCCCACCTCCTTCTCCTTCTTTTTTTTTGAGACAGTATTTCAGCATGTAGCCTAGGTTGGCCTAGAACTTGCAATCCTCTGGCCTCTGCCTCTGTCTCCTGAGTGCTGGGGTTACAGATTCATACTACCATGCCTGGCTTGACTTCCATCTTTCTAAAGAAAGAAACCAAACTACCTTCCAGGGTAAGCTGGTCTCTATCAAAGGAGGAAGGGCATGGAGTGGAACGGAGGCAGACTGTCCCCGAGTCTGCTCATTTCCTTACCGACAGTACCTCCAACACAAACATCAGTCCTCTGTTGAGATCTAAATGGGAGCACTTCCATCACTTCCTCTTCTGGGGATATACCATGAGAAACCCATTGCACAGATCATTTTCATACAGGCAAAAAAAAAAGGCAGTTTTGTCTGCAGACTGACCTTTGGCAAAGCCCCACACAATGTCCTGTCCCTATGCCTGGACAACCTGTGGCATCCAATCTGAAACTCAGCCATGGTAGTGAGGAAGGTGGAACTGACAAAGAAAGGCAAGCTGAATGAGGAAACACTGTCAGCTTCCACAGCCATACCAATCACCATCATGACTGTCAGACAATGCTATCTGTAGCAAAGAGAAGACTTCACTCTCAGTCTGGTGCCCACACAGCCCACTGTCCCCATCTAAGTGACCTTCCCACCAGGTGAGCAGATGCCAGTAAGTCATAGGCTAATTGGCGATCATAGGCTCTGGATTTGGCTTTTGCATTCAGATCCTGTGCTGCTCATGAGCTGAGTGACTTTGGGAACTTGTGGCTCCTTTCTATGCTCCCATTTTCTTGTTGGCTAAATGGGAGTACTAGCTGCTCCTATGTGTAGAGATGTCACGATGGGGCTGGCGACACATAAGGGACATAACACATATAGTGCTACCATCCCTAGCATGTATGCTGTGGTCGTGAAAAGGGCACCACCAGCTAGTGGTGATTATCTTTCTACCACTGGGCTACCTCTGGGGACCTTGGTGTGGAGACAGCAATCCAGAGCTTACACATCACCTCAGTGATTCCAGAATTTCATTCTCTACCAGGTTGTGGCTCTAACTTGCTTTTGTAAAGCACCAGGTCCCACTAAAGATGGTGCCATGGTGACACCACCAGAACTTCTAAGCACCAGGCACCAGTGTTGCCTCCAGTGTCTGATTCCACTGCTGCCTCTTTGGCTGAGCACCAGACAGAGGACTGGATGGTATTTAGAGGCCAGATTTGAAGTGCAACACTGCGTTTTAAACTGGAACACCACTCCTGACAGCAAGATGAAACATGTGGCCACCAAGACTTACCAGAGAAAGGTAGACTCATGTCCCTACCTCACACTTACCCAAAAAGCTATGCTGTCCAATGCAGTAGCCACCAGCTATGGGTGGCTATTTAACTCCAAATCAATTAAAATCAAATAAATTCCTCATTCATACTAGCTATATTCCAAAGTCTCAACAGCCACTTGTGCCAGACGAACAGATGACAGAACATTTCCATCACTACAGGATGTCACTGACATCTGATGGGCAGCACTGCTAAGCACCCTCTCATCCAGGTGAATGTGCCTCAGTTTCACAGGTGTGTGACTCCACCATGTAGTTACCTCCCCATGGAAACAGAGGCCCAGAGAGGCCAATGGTTGAGTGACAGAGCCAGGACTAAATGAGGACCTTTACAATGACCTCAGAGGAGTCAGACTTGAGGAGTCAGAAAGCACAGGATTCCACAGAAGGATGGCAGAGTGTCTGGAGGACCAGCAGAAAGATCCTTCTGTGAAAAATAGGAGGGGGAAGAGAAACAGCTAACTTCCTTAGGCCACTGCAAGCATCTGTCAGAGAATACGGTACACAGTCAGCCCTGGCTGCTTTCTGCTCTGCCAAAGAGAATCAGACAAGGATTTCAAAGCCTGAGAACAAAGGGAACGTAAGGACATGAAGCCTCAGATCTATCTCTGCCTGGCTAGCCCCTAGGGTGATCTTTCATCTTTTCTTTCTTCTATTAATAAGCTATGATAGCAACTCCCATTATCCTCTACATAATCTCAGGCCTTTGGAGCTGTGCAGGGTGCAGGTTTTTAACTTGTCCTGCAAAGGAAATGGTCTGTTTCAGCCCTTGGCTCTTTCTACATAAGAAGAGTTGATGATTCACCCAAACCTTGAGGGTTGAATTTAGAGGAAAATTGAATTTAAGAATTGTAGGCTGATGACAAAAAGGTTCTCACCGTGGGTGATCTAATGCTCATCAGGAGTTGATCTGCTGGGTGACCTGGACTGAGACACTTGCCTTCTCTGATGTTGGGTCATCTCTTGCCTGACACCAAGCTCATGGCAATTGTTCCACATGTTCCAGTGGGTGGAAATGGCACCAAGGCAGTCCAAGAGGGACTACAGGAATGTTACGATAAGGTAAAGAGCACTGGCTCCAGACTCAGAAAGCCCAGCCTCTCACTAGACAGCTCACTTCTAGACTCTTCTCAGTCTACATAGAGATGAGATCATTCATGTAAGGAACTAACAGCCGTAACAAGCACATAACAAATGCTTATAGCTCCCTAACCTCACTACCAGTCCCTGCTCTAAAACAAGCTGTGTGGCCCAGGGCAAAGCAGCTCACCATTCAGAGCCTGCTCGCTGACCTATAAAGTAAGGTGACTAGTAATTGGGGATGACCCCTGAAGTCTCAGCCAACCCTGAAATTTTAAGACACTGCACAGAAGAGTGTTGGTCACCTAGGATAATGTCCTGGGTCCTTTCCCTCAGTTCACTGGCAGCTGGGCAGCACTGTGCATGGCTCCAGAGTGGCACAGCAGAGCAATGGCATTTTGCCTGGAACACATGGCTGGGTCAAAGAAGTAACTCTTAGCCTACCTGGTTTTGTGCCAATGAAAGACTGTAAGTTATTGCTCATGGGCCAGCCACTTGAGCACCTCTAGGAAAGGGAAGCCTTCCCTGTCACAGGAAAGGAGCCGGGCAGATGTCAAGTCAGACAGCTACCCCTCCCAGCTCACACTAACCCATGATGCAACAGAGAGACTCACTCTGTGTTAAGAGGTCAGAGGGACCAAACAGAAGCTTGTGGGGCCACAGTCATTTCCCAGGATGAACAGAGATCTTTCACTTCTTCAAGTTTAACAACCAACCTGAAAACTTGTTTTTGTTTTTACTACAATGCATATGCAAGACAAGCATGTGTGTTCTTAATTGAGGTACATTCAAGGGGCAAACATTTCTCTTAAAGCCAAGACCACAGGACTGCAAAAAGAAGCCCTTCTTCCTCTCCTACCTAGACTAGATTCCATGCCTGAACTCTAAAAGAGCCTGACATTTGGTGGGGCAGAGCTACAGGAAGTGAACCCCACAAACATGGTGAGAGAAGAGGAAAAGGAGGACAGATGCCCAAACCACATCGCCATCAATAGCCCCAGGGCTCAACAGCAGGCATGAGTGCTTTGCTACTGTGCCAGAGGACTTTGATTCCAGGGACAGCAATGAGCTACTTGAGACATGAAATGCCTTTATTCTAAAGCTAAAGCTCCCTGGAAAGAGGAAACTGAGAAGGAAGACATCTCAGGAAGCAGTCAACTGGGAACACCCACCTCTCGCTCTTCCCCACACCCACCCCCAAAAGTGAAACCTCCCCCACACAGCAAGGAAGACAGCATGTTCCCCACTGCAGTCACACAGCTTTTGGCAGCAGTGAGGGGAGGCTGTGACACCACAAAAAAGGGGGAAGTAAGAACAGCCTAAACCAGACCATACGGGAAGCTGAGGTTCAGAGCCTTAAAGAACACAAACCATGAGGCAGCTGCCAAGGTCAGAAGGAACACACTGGGGTTCTGCAGCCTTTGACCACATCAGAAAGAGCTAACTGTGTGCAAAAGAAGAGCAAGGCACTCAAAAGAACAATCGCACACTTACAGAAATACTCCAAGCTCCTATGTTGGGAACTCTTGATCACAATCAGTACTGATGAACCTACCATGTTGCTTCTAAATATCTAGAAACCCATTTCAAAATTAACAGTGGTCTAACTCAGGAGGAGGATCAAGGTTAGCTCAAGCAAAAGTTAGTGAGACCCTATCTCAAAAATAAACCAGGTGTAGTGATACACTCTTGTAATCACAACTACTTAGGACACAGAGGCAGGAAGATTCAGAGTTTGAGGTCGGCCAAAGCAAAGTTAGTGAGACCCTATCTGGAAAAATAAACTAAAAGCAAACAGTATGGGAATGTGGCTCGAGTGGCAGTGCTTGGCTGGCATGTACAAGCCCTAAGTCCAATCTTCATTATCATAAGTAAGTAAATAAATAAACAAAAATTCAGCAGTGTTCTAGGACAAACAGATCTTCATTTGGTGAAGGTACAGACAGAAAAAACACCAAAAACAAGGAGAACAACCCACATATCTAATATAAGACAACAGCTTAAATACAGTCCACCAATATGATAGAATATCATACAGTCATGAAATATTAATGATATAATATACTAAATATAATATTTAGTATGAGATATATATTGAGATAATATTAAATAAAATGCAAAAACAAAGGTATGTCTATACACTGACTACAAGTATTTTGCCCACGAGGATAAGACAAGGAAAGTAAGATGCGAAGTAGACATTCCTTTGTTAAACCTGGGCACATGGAGAACTTGTATCCCCCAATGTTTTACATTAACTTTCCTTTTTAAAGGAAACTTTTAAAACTTTTTGTAGAAGTTTAAAATCAAGACCCAAATAGCCACATTGACTCAGAATTTTGAGTTGAGAAAAACCTCCAAGAACAGACACCTTTGAATCTTACAGTGGAGAATCTGAGGCCTTGTGAGGACTCCAAGGAGGGCCCACAGCTGCACAGCTCACTAGTGAGGCAAGACTAAGGGTCAAAGGCCAAGAGATACAAGAAGCCACTCTGCTTGGACCTAGATGCTGCCTGCTCTGGAAGGTGTGACAGCTTGGACTGCTACAACTGTGGTCTGGTCTGAACAGGCCTTATGATTCATTAAGGTGTAACAACACAGGAGCTATTACATCTTTACCAGTAGATTTCTGAATTTCCCATACCTAAATGAAGTACAATGTACCACATGGCGAATGCCACAGAGAATTAGCACCAATCACTGAGGATGGGTCAGTGCCTTTAGGAGAGGGAAGAAAAGACTTATCCCATGCTTGCAGACACCCCCAGGTGGGTTAACCACTCCACCTCCACATAAGTCATGTGCACACACACACAGAGTTCTCCTTTCATACAAGGTCACCTGCTAAGTCTGCATTTCCAAACTCATGCACTTGAAGAAAACAGTACCCTGTATCTATACAAATGGAATTTTATGCAGCCATGAAGAAGAACGAAATGTTATCATTCGCTGGTAAATGGATGGAATTGGAGAACATCATTCTGAGTGAGGTTAGCCTGGCCCAAAAGACCAAAAATCGTATGTTCTCCCTCATATGTGGACATTAGATCAAGGGTAAACACAACAAGGGGATTGGACTATGAGCACATGATAAAAGCGAGAGCACACAAGGGAGGGGTGAGGATAGGTAAGACACCTAAAAAACTAGCTAGCATTTGTTGCCCTCAACGCAGAGAAACTACAACAGATACCTTAAAAGCAACTGAGGCCAATAGGAGAAGGGGACCAGGAACTAGAGAAAAGATTAGATCAAGAAGAATTAACCTAGAAGGTAACACACATGCACAGGAAATCAATGCGAGTCAACTCCCTGTATAGCTATCCTTATCTCAACCAGCAAAAACCCTTGTTCCTTCCTATTATTGCTTATACTCTCTCTTCAACAAAATTAGAGATAAGGGCAAAATAGTTTCTGCCGGGTATCGAGGGGGTGAGGGAGAAGGAGGGGGAGGGGTGGGTGGTAAGGGAGGGGGGCCAAGGGGGAGAAATGACCAAAGCATTGTATGTACATATGAATAACAAAAAAATAAATAAAATAATTAAAAAATGAAAAAAAAAGAAAATAGTACCCTGTATGAAGTGGTAAAGAAATGAGCACCAGTCCCTGAACTGCTTGTTTTCCCCTCACCCTCTCCCCAACAGTCCAAAATTAAGCATAAAAACTAGGTATCAGCCACAGTAACCTTCAGGAGGATAGGCGACTGTGGAGACAAAGTTGAACTCCAAATGAGAATAAAAGTGAGGCTGGACCAAATCCCCCATTTCTCTTGAAGATGGAGGGTGAGAAAGGGGAAGAAAAGCTGGGGGAGAAGACAGGAAGACACTGGAGATAGCCATGAAAACAAGCTACCACTAAAATGCATGGATGTAACTGAAAATAATCAGTTACATCAAAGATCTGAAGTGGTATACCAATCAACCTTGCGCATGGCATCTGAAAGAGCAGAGAAGCAAGAACAAAAGGAACTCACACAAAAACATTTAAGAGGGCAATACCGTGAAAGGCCTGCACTGATTCCCACAAGGACTTCAAAGTCTCCGGGGAAGGTAGGAGATGCCAAAGAGCTCTTATAGATGAAGGGCTGCCTTCTTTACTAGAATGACAGTGCGATGCTACATTACTACAGATCACAGGAGAAGAGAAGAGCAGTCACACACCCCTGAAGATCAAGAGCAGCTGGTGCCCTCTGAGCGTCATCCAGGAGAAGGGAGGTGAGGTCCACAGAGCAAGCCAGGAAAAGTGAAGCAAGAAACCAAGAGTCCAAGAATCAAGGACTGCTGCCTCCAGAGGGGAGTGGGGGCAGAAAGGATGCTTCAGAGAAACTAAGCCAGGCTTGCAAAGAAAGAGCTGGTGTGGGGGATCGACCCAGTGTCCCACCCAGCTCGACAGGAGGGGAAGAATCTGCTAAGTCAATTGTAGCAAATTTTACATAGACAGATCTACTTTTTCTAGAAGAGCCACTTTGGAAAAAGGTAAATTATTTGAACTACCTCCATCCTTTCTTTTTTTTCTTTTTCTTTTTTTGGTGAGACTGGGATTTAAACAGGGTTTAAATAGAGCAGGTGCTCTACTGCTTGAACCACAGCTACAATTCATTTTGCAGTAGTTATTTTGGAGATAGTGATCTGGTGAATTATTTGCCCAGGCTGGCTTCAAACTGCGATCCTCCCAATTTCAATCTCCCAAGTAGCTAGGATTACAGAAGTGAGCCACCAGTGACTGGTTTATCCCAATCCTTTCTTCCAATGCTCTACAGACTAAAGAACGGAGCACTCAGAATTGACATCATAAGCCACTGTACACATGGAATTTGTCTCAACACTTAGAACTAATCTATCCTCGGGGGAAACACATACATATGAATGGAAGCATCAGAGCTGCTGGTAAAGGGCAGTCTACCGGGCAGGCAGCCTGGCTCACCAGCACATGTCAAGGTAATCTGTGGGAAAAGCAAACTACATTGCATTCCTTCCTTTGCAATTGCTTGGGCCTTGAATTACCTGCCCCAAGGGCTATTTCCACACACAGGTCTAGGACAGGGCCTGCACTCTGCCAAAGAAGAGCCATAGGTAGCAGCCAGAGCTGGGTTGCCATGAGCTCTGGAGGGCTGCCCAGCTCCTACCCAGCACCACCCTGCAAGAAATAAATCTTGAGGAGACCTAGCAAGATGAAACCAGAAGGTCAAGGTCGCCTCCTTAGCTTTAGCGAGTTCCTTCCACATGGAGATTCAGGAGGCTGAGCTTCCACCTACTGTAAGTAAAATGAAGAGAACTGCAGGTGGCCTGCAGAGGTTCAGTGTGGACCAGGCATTAGTCCAGTCCTCATGTTTCTTATATGGATGAAAAGAATGGAGGGCTTCTTGCGTGCTCTTCTCTTGCTAACAGCCAATAGGGCATTTCTGACTCCCCAGATTACACACAAATGCTAGACAACATTCACATCATTCATCTCTAAAATATCCAGCTCTGGTTCAATTAAAAAGTCACTGTATAAGCTACGAGTGGTGGCACATGCCTATAACCCCAGAACTCAGGAGGCTGAGGCAGGAGGATCACAAGTTTAATTAACTATGTAGCCCAGGCTGGGTTCAAGGTCAGCCTAGGGCAACATAACAAGACCCTATCTCAAATAAGTAACTAATCATTATATCGACCTATCTTTATTCCAAAAACAAAGTTTCAAACTGAGTAATTTAAGGAAATTTTCAGGAAAGTCTCAATACAATAAGAAGCAAAGAAGTTCTTGTCCCAAAAGAATAAAACATAAAAATAAGTAAACACAGTTGGCGGAATGGTTCAAGTAGTAAAGCGCCTGCCTAGCAAGCGTGAGGCCCTGAGTTCAAATCCCAGTAACACCAAAAAATAAAAAAATAAGTAAACAAATAAAAGCCTCAAATAGCCAAAAACTAACTAACTAAACTTATGCTTCAAGTATTTTAGTTTGGAAAATGATTGCAAATCTCCTAGAAATGTAAATAAGATTTTATGGGCCAATTTGTTCAGTCTACTAATTCACAGAAGCTATGGGAAAAAAGTTACAAAAGTTTTCAGCTAACAGAAAATAAAGTGATGCCCTCATTGTCTTTTAAATCACATCCCTTGGCCTAGGACTGGGGAAAGGAGAATAAATCACAGAGAGATGACAACCCAAGTTAATCAACAGACACTGTCTAAGAAATGCATTTTGAAAGATGGATAAGAAAAAAATGTCTAGGATTGTACTGTCCCAGCTCAAAATGGAAAACCCTCTGAAACAACCAACCCTTACCTCTATGAAAGTAACAGATACTTATTACGGACTAGCGAAGTGGGTCTCTTTTAGATACTTACCTTCTTTTATATGGGACAGCAACTGTATGCCTTTACTTTGAGTTATGACCATTTCAACAGCATTTTAGTTAGTTAGTTAGTTAGCTAGTTAGTCAGTCAGTCTTTCTGAGACAGGATCTTACTATATAGCTGGCCTCGATCTCGCAATCCTCCTGTCTGCCTCCGAAGTGCTGGGATTAGAGGCACATGCCACCATGCCGCAGCATTTTATACACTGCTGTCCCCATACCTGTGAACCCTTAGAGCACATACAGAACCAATTCATTCCACCGTCTGGATGTGCCTTACCTCTGAAGTGGTGGCTGTGGGCCAAGATTTCTGCCTATTAGCACAGGTGGCTTCACAACATACTTTCTCACATGGGAACCATGGGGACTGGGCGCCCTTTGGGAAAAAACAAATGTGGCAATTAATCTTGCCTTCTACTCACATGTCAGGCAGACCATCACAGTGCGCACAAACAGGTCCACCACTAACTCGCAGTGTTCAGGTGCTCGGGACACGAAGAAGGGGATGATGATCTCAGCTGGGACGTAGAACTGCAGTGCGTAGGTGAAGAAGATGCCAATGGAGTAGAGCAACTTAACCGACTGATACAACCTGCAGAGAAGCAGGGCCCCATCACATGCCTGCTCAGCACATTTCAACACTGTCGGAGATAGTGCCCTGAAGAAACTTATCAAGGTCACAAACCCTCAAGTCCTTAACACCCAGCAATTTCATGTCTAGGAATTCATCTCACAAACACACTTGCACAGAAACGTGTATTCAAACTATTTTACTGCAGCCTTGCTAGAAGCAAAGACTGAAACAATTTAAATGTTAACCAGTGGGGAACTGGCTAAATAGATCATGGTACCCAGGCAGTTCTTAAAATGTATGAGGCAGACAGAACTCCAGGTGCTGATAGGGACTATCTCAGTGACATACTAGTGAGCAAAAAAAAGCATGAAGTAATATGGTACTTACCAAGGGCAACAATTCATCTAAAAAAGAAAAATGAGGGGAAAATTGACTCCCCATACACATACACAGGCATGCACACATGCGTGCACACGCACACACACACACACTGTCACATACAATTACCATCCAGAAAGGAAACACAAGACACTGGCAGTGTGGCTGCCTCTGAAATTGGGCTCTAGGGACAGGTGTGGTAGCCTAAGACCCTTTGCGCACGTTTTGAACATTTGGAATCTGTAGATGTGGACATACCTCCTTTCAAAAATTAAAGTAATCAAAAATACAAGTAAAATATAACAAGCCTACTTAGATCCTTCCCATCCAACTCAGTGTCTCTAGAATCAGCTGTTGGCCATGCAAGCCCCACAGGAAGCCACTACCCATACTGTCCCACCAAGCCCTCAGAAGTGGCTTCCTAGGGAGACCCTAACTCCCCATGGGATACTCCCAACTCATCACCCCAGTGCACAGCAGAGCGAAGTTCTTATGGGCCTCACTTGATCGCTCAGGAGAAAGGTCACTCTGCCTGGCAGCAAATCTCCACTGTGAATAAGACCCTCAGGCACTAAGCAGTAAGAGACCTCAAGCCTCCCTTGATGAATATGTATTTAAATGTGGTCACTTGGCACGTGTAAAATGTGCACTGACCTTTTCTGTGGTTGAACTCAACTCCTAGACAATGTTCTTAAGCTATAAGCAGGAAATCACCCTGGGGTGGACAAGTAGAAAGTCTCACTTGCTCACGTACAGATGATAAAGTTTGGAAAACTCAGCTGGTGACCCTAGGCAAGACTCCCTCCACCCTGCTGCTGGATCTATAACTGAAGAAGCTCTCCAGCTCCCTGGAGACCTGCCAAGTCTCCCACGGGGACAGTCAGATTAAGTGATACCTGAACACTGGCAGACAGATGAGCGTGACTGGGTTTGGGGCGGGAGAGGAAAGACAGGTGCTCATCAGTGCATCAGATGATACGGGCTGCTTCTGCTGCTCCTGACCTTTTCCATCTTTTGGGGAAAGGTGACACAGTTACACTGAGCATTTGGAAAGAGCATTTAGAAATTTCAAAGCTGGCACCAGAAGGAAAGAAAAAGAAGCAATTTCTGCAAACAATGGGCCCTTTCAGGGCTACCGCTTGGCTGGCTGTGTAACGAACTTGATCCTCAGATTCCTGCTGATTAGGGCGTCTTGTGCTACACGCTGACGCTACTGAACAAGCACTGCCCTTGATTTTCTCAATCTGTCTCTTCCAAAGTTTCACCAATCGGAACTCCTAAAAGCACACCCAGATGCATCGGCCAGGTTGGACCGAAAGGTTATTTTTATTCCTTGGGACACTAACAAGCTTCTCAGTGTCAACAAACAGCTGTTCTCCACAATGTCTTAATTTTCAAAACAGAACTACTGCTTACATCTAAGTCTTTCAATATGGTTCAGTGTTTCCCTACAGTGCATCGACCAATGAAAGGCACACAAGAAGACACCCCACAATTCATGGTCCACAGCAACATGCTCCCGTCTCCACGTAACACCTGTGACTGCCAAGGGAGAGGCACTGCAGACACTAGTAACCAAATACAGACCTGCCCTCCTCTCTTGCCGTCTATCTGGAATGACATATGGTCCTTAACAGACAACTGATCCACATAGGAATTCAGAATAAGCCTCCAGAGGAATCACTTATCCAAACAAATACTGATGCTCAGGGCAGCCAGTGAGGATGGTAGCAAGGATGGGATGACAACTGAAAGGAAGAACCCAGATTCTGACCCATTCACTTCTGAAAACAGCCCCTGCTTCTGAGTTTCCGTGCTCCCCACATACCAGCAGTTGGGCAAGTTGAGGGTGATGCTGCCTTGGATATTAGCTCCAAATTGCAGGTACCCCAGACACCCCAGGCTGATGTATAGGGAAGTGACAATGGCCATCCCCACATACAGAATGACTGGAAACTTCCGGGGGTCCTTCATTTTGTTTTCAAGGGGCAGAACCTATGAGAGAAAGTATTGAGAGAGGAGAGAGCACAAAACAAAGAAAAATTAATAGCCAACAAAAACATTGCCAGAAAAAAGTAACTATTCCCAGACCCCAAAGGTGCATTTTCTTTACTAAACAAAGTTACTTCATCAGCAGCTTCACTCTCAGGAGTAGAAGGAACTCCAGAGGCCACTGTCAAACCAAGGGTCCTGAGAGTAAGAGGTAAGGGTGATGATAGCTGGCCCAGGGCAGCTATCCTGCAGCAGGACCCCCACAGGCTGGAAGTGCCCTTCACCTTGAGGGTTATGCATGGCAACCAGCAGACCTGACACCTGACCTGAGACTGCAGCTCCAGCTAACCTGTCTAAAAATGTGAAACCCAGGTCAGGGAAAGCTGTAAATATGGTTCCTAGAGCAGACTTTCTTGCCTCAGTGGGGCAGTGCCAGCAGTAAAGGGTTGAAGCTCTGAGGTAAAGGACCTGCGGTGTGGACACAGCTTGACTCAACAGAGGATCTTAAGTCCCAGGTGCCTAACTGAGCCTGGTTTCCAGGCTCCAGTTTCACATCACTAAGCCATGCTGCCTCCTCAGTCATATCACGGCATTCTTTCACATAGGCAAATGCAAAGGCCCCTCATGATGGTGAGTTCACTGAGGAATGGGAGGACACAGGAGTGACAGTGATGTGCTCACAACCTGCCACAACTGACTCTGAGCCATCTAAAGAGAAGCAGTGCAGAGCACAGTTTGACCTTTGGTTACATTCACTCTCCTCCTTTGCCTGTATGGCCACAGGAGGTCTGTGCTGCCCTGACACCACTGCTGAGGCCCAGCTGAGGGCGCCATAGCCTTGTACTTCCACCCATCCTCAGCAACCACTGCCAGCTCCAGGACCTCACCAAACAGCAGTAAGCACAGTGTGGCCTGGCACTTGACCTGGCATACTGAGCAACACTTAGATCCAGAACAAGAGCCAAAATGGCAGCATTCTAACACTCTAACCACAGAAAACACAAAGACATCTTAAAGTATCAAATAATGAAGTTAACAGGTGACTCCGTACCCAAGCCTTGGCTGGGGAAAGCAAGCAAAAAGAACAACTCGTGTGCAGTGCAGCTAGGAAGGCTGGGAAATCAATAAAAACTTAGTCCGATGTTCCTAAGACCCCACGTCCATGTGTCTGTGAGCATCCTTCCAACTTTCTCAGCCATTTCTTGCAAGTCCTGAGTTCTTGGGGCTGCATTCACATCCCTAAATCATTGGCCCACTCAGGCCTCTGACCCTTTGTGTCTTTGCATCCAGGTGGGACAGTTCTCAGGGGCAATGAGGATCCCCAACAGAGAGCACAGGGATAAGTTTGAAACCTCATGACAATTGGGATTTAAAGTGATCACTCACGAAGCCTCCCCTGCCACTTTATAGTCTCAACACATTCCACTGTCCCCACCTGGGCCAATCCTCATTATTTCGACAAAAAAAAAAAAAATCTGTCAGGTTTCTAGGCTCTTTTATCTTTTCTTTCAAGACAGGGTCTCACTATGTAGCCCAGTCTGGCCTGGAATTCCCAACACTCCTCCTTCAACCTGGGATTACAGGCATGTACCACCACACTGTGCTCTATGTTACCTTGAAAGTAAATAAACTGTTAGGGAAATTAAATAGAAGAAAAAGAAATACCACAAAAGGAGAAAGGACTTCTTACTTTCAAGCCTTTGGCCAATAAAGCTAACAACTCTCAGAGAAAGATCCTCACTTTTATTATGAAAAATACAAATGAAAATCAAATTAGGTACAGCTGATTGGCAGATTCTCTTTAGGAAAGGAATTTGGTGAAATCACACACAGTAATGATGGGGGGAAGGGGGTGGGAAGCTAAGCCAGAGTGAAGGCTACTCATTTACACATAGAAAATACACCACACCAAAGTTCCAGGACAGAGGAATTAGTCATAGGTTTACTAAGTCCATAGTTAATTTAGTAATATTAATAAAAATAAAAATTTATTGAACATTTACTACATGTCAGGGACTGTGCAAAGCACTTTACATATACCCTATTTAATCCTAACAACTACTAGTCATTAAATTCCCTTTTCAGGAGCAAATAATGAAGGCTCATAGAGGTTAAGTCCTTGCAGGAGGTCACACAGGCTACTCTTTGGCAGAGCCAGGACTTGCCCTAATTCAGTCTAACTCTAGGCTCCAGATTACTGATCGCCACATATAATACTGCTTACTGTGTGCACAGGAGGTAAGACATGAGGGGTTTTGGATATAAACATTTATAATTACATATAATTTGTCTTCAAAAGTTGAAGCTAGAATCTTCCACAGAATCTGGAAGCATCACTCACTATTTGGCCAGTAAGTCTCAGAAGATCATTTCTGACAGCATTCCTCAGCATTAAAACAGACGACAGGGACACCAAGGGTGCCAGGGAACACTCAGGCCCAAACCACAGCACCACTCTTACCATTCCAATGCCTTCAAACGAAAAAATGGCAGTGCCAAAGAACAGAGGGTAGGTCTTCCATGGAGCCACCAAGGGCAGGTGGCTGGGGTCTGGGATCCTCTGAAAAAGACAAAACAAATCCAAAAGTGATCCAGATTCAGGACTTGAACCCCAAATCAGAGAAGGCATATCTTTTTTTGTATCCAGGATCCCCAGAGGGAGAAAGCTTGCACCTGACAGATGGTTTGGGGACATTTAGCCTTGATAGTTTCTTTTTGCTTCAGGCTAGGAAGACCCCACTTGGTTTGAGGAAAGATGAGCCCAACCTTTCATAAAATATTCAAATGTTGGAGCTTGCACAAAGAATCCCATTCTTTCACTAGGTAATCCCACCCACTGGCAAGTAGAAAAAAATCAAAAGATGAAAAAGTTGAGTCAAATAACTATTCTAAATACTCCCAAAGAAATGATGGGTTATGTAACTAACCACAAACCACCTATACCACAGAATAATTGTGCACATTTAAGAGGTAAAAATTGAGTAGAGCATGGAAATCTGCTTCTGAAATAGTAAGCAAATATTTTTAATTTATATAATCACTACGAAATGACTATAAAACACTCCGCACAGATACAGCTGGAAGGGAAGTTAATCAATTTTCAGATTTTTCCCTTCTCTTAAAATATTTTTGTCAATGAGATTGAGCACTTTGAAAATACTGAGTTGGCTCTGGAAAAAAATTTGGAGGCTACTTAAAAAGCTGGACATCGATCTACCATTTGATCCAGCAATACCACTCTTGGGGATACACCCAAAAGACTGTTACTCCAGAGGCACCTGCACACCCACGTTTATTGCGGCACTATTCACAATAGCCAAGTTATGGAAACAGCCAAGATGTCCCAGCACTGACGAATGGATTAAGAAAATGTGGTATCTATACACAATGGAATTTTATGCAGCCATGAAGAAGAACGAAATGTTATCATTCGCTGGTAAATGGATGGAATTGGAGAACATCATTCTGAGTGAGGTTAGCCTGGCCCAAAAGACCAAAAACTGTATGTTCTCCCTCATATGTGGACATTAGATCAAGGGCAAACACAACAAGGGGATTGGACTATGAGCACATGATAAAAGCGAGAGCACACAAGGAAGGGGTGAGGATAGGTAAGACACCTAAAAAACTAGCTAGCATTTGTTGCCCTTAATGCAGAGAAACTAAAGCAGATACCTTAAAGCAACTGAGGCCAATAGGAAAAGGGGAACAGGTACTAGAGAAAAGGTTAGATCAAAAAGAATTAACCTCGAAGGTAACACCCACGCACAGGAAATCAATGTGAGTCAATGCCCTGTATAGCTATCCTTATCTCAACCAGCAAAAAACCTTGTTCCTTCCTGTTATTGCTTACACTCTCTCTACAACAAAATTAGAAATAAGGGCAAAATAGTTTCTGCTGGGTATTGAGGAGGGTGGGGGGGGAGTGGGTGGTAAGGGAGGGGGTGGGGGCAGGGAGGAGAAATGAACCAAGCCTTGTATGCACATATGAATAATAAAAGAAAAATGAAAAAAAATTGAAGTGAAGGCTCCTGTAACATTCTAAATAAATGGAGAAAATATTAAAAAAAAAAAAAAGAAAATACTGAGTTGGAGCGAGCTTTCTCTTGCTCCCTTGTTATTACTGAACTTAACTGGGGCTAACTGGGCAGCAATGGAAGATGCAGAAAGGACACGTGATAGACAGACAGAAAGTGGGATCAGGTGTGTTGGGCACTTGGGTGGAGACGCACAACACTCACTGCTTCTTTTCTCTATTATTCTCTTCATTTACTCTGCTTCTTTTCTCTATCTTTATTCTTTAAGGCCTTACTCCTTTATAGTTCTTTAAAACCTTGCTTCTAAAGTCTTCTTTAAAACCTTGCTTCACTGTTCTTTAAAACCTCTTTCCTTAGACTCACTCTGTCCCATGTTTTCTCTTAGCTTTTCTTTAGCATAATCTCTCTTAAAGTTTTTGCCTCCAGATTTGCACTGTCCCATGTTCTCTTTAGTTTTAAGCCTTGGTGCTCAGACTTGCACTGTCCCACGTTCTGTCTTTAGCTTTCTTAAAGTCTCGGCCCTCAGATTTGCTAGCAATTCCCCTTTAGTAATTCTCCTTCAGCAATTCTTTTTCCCCCTTCAGCAATCTTTTCCCTTCAGCAATTCTTTTCCCTTCCAAAAGGCTCCAACACCAAAAAGCCAAAAGCCCAAAAGCCAGAAAATCTAAAGCCAAAGCCTTCCCCATCAAAAAGCTAAAAAGCAAAAGCCCTGTGTCCTCCTTCAGTGAGTTGTTTTATACCCAGTGGTAAACAGGGTGGAGCAGTGGTTCTCGGGGAGGGGCGTGACATTGTAACAGGAGAAACCTGCGTTCCTGCTTCTCTGAACATAAACAACTTAGGAGAAACAGCTGTTCTGCATTTTCCTCTTCTGTGGCCTGGGCTGTGCCAATCTTGGCCTACAGATAAACATCTTAGGAAAAGCTGTTGAGCTGCCTCTCGCTTGCTTATGTCCAGTTTTCATAGGCTTCTCATAATCCGCTCTCCACACCGAGGGACACAGGACAAGAGTGTTGGAAAACACTGGAGAAAAAGACAGCAAAAAGAACATTAAGAATTAGGCAAATTTTTAAGAAGGCAATTGCTAGTCACAGGTACTAGCCAGGTCATTAAGAGGGATTAGGCCTTCCTCATGAAACTGGGTTAGTTTTCAAGGGAGTCAGTAAACCCTTGCTCTCACAGGACCAAATCAGTTATTCCAAGAATGGACTTTTTTTTTTTTTTTTGTCTCTCCTGCACATGGAGGCTTGCCTCTGCCCTGCCAGGAAGCACCACAAGACCTTCACCATAATCCAAACAGTTCAAAGCACCATGCCTTTCCAGGCTTCCCAGCCTCCAGAACCAGGAACTGAATAAACTTCCATTTTTATAAATTTTCCACTTATGGGTCCTGTATTACAGCAACAGAAAACAGACACAGATACAATGTAGTTTTCATCCATCACTGACAAAATACCTGACAGAACAACTTATAAGGAGTAAATATTTATCTGGCTCATGGTTTCCGAGGTTTCAACCATGGTCAGTTGGCCTGGTTGCTTTCGAACCTATGGCAAGCAAGGCAGAAAGAACATCACAGTGGGGGCACCTGATGGAACAAAGGTGCTCACCTCACGGAAGCTAAGAAGCTAAGACAAAGAGGCAGGAGCTGGGGTCCCAATGTCCCCTGTGAGGGCACACCCCCCCCAACAGCCTCACTTCCTCCCACTAGGCCCCACTTCTGAAAGTTCCCCCACAAGCAGCACCAGGCCTTCAACACAAGAAAAAATAACGAGACAGACAGAAGCATTTTAGTATGCGGAATGCAGACAAACAGATGTTTTTGCACTATGATGAGACAGGACAGTGAGAGTGCCCTATAATTATTCCTAAATCACTAATGAAATTTAGGTTCCTGGATATCGGTGCTATCTGTTGGTTAGTGAATAATGACTGCCCTGGCTCACAGTCAGAGCAGACTCAGGTATCAAATAGGGGATTTCACAATTCATGTCTGTGGATACTATGTGAATGGAAGGAAAGTATAATTCTAGATACTAAAAGTCTGCTATTGACTTACAACTCAACCAACTAAATGGGAAAAGTTTAATTTATAAAGAAACATGCAAGTAAAGCAGCTCATTATCAACTTGTCTCTTGACTATAATATTATCAATTATAATAGCAAAAGCTTTTTGAGAAAATGCTATAAAATGTATATATGGATTGAAAGATATACTCCAATTTGGAATCATTACACCTGTGCAAAAATGTATCTCAGAATTAAGGAGGGGCTACGGATGTAGCTCAGTGTAGACTGTTTGCTAGCATCCCCAGTACAAACACCCTCCCCAAAAGAAGTAAGCATTTAGCCAGGTACGGTAGCATATGCCCATAATCCAGGTACTCAGTAGGCAGGTATCTAGAAGGTGAAGGTTTAAGGCCACCCAGGGCAAGAAGTTAGTGAGACTCCATCGCAACAAATAGGCTAAATATGGTGGTGTACACCTGTGATCCCAGGTACACTGGAGGTAGAGGTAGGAGGATTGAAGTTCAGACCAGCCCAGGCAAAAACACAAGGGCTACAGGTGTGGCTGAAGTAGTAGAGCACCTTCCTAGCAAGTGCAAGACCCTGAGTTCAAACCTCAGTACCACCACCAAAAAAAGAAAGCAGAATTAAGGATGTGCAGTGAGAAAGCATTTCTTGGGAGCCCCTCTGGACAAAGCACTGGGTTCAGTGCTGTGCCATTCATCATCTCCCGTGATGGAGGTGGAGAAACTGTTCAGGTAGAGGACCTCAGTCTGTCTCTGTGATGCTGTGTGTCAGTCACATACAGGCTGAGGACTAGGGGAAAATTCAGACACATCAGGCAGCAGGGGAAACCTCACAATGCCAAACAGGTAGTCACAGATGGCAGCGGTTTTCATTGTACAAAAACAACACAGAGGAAGCATCGCAGCTGTAAGTCTCCTTGAAAGGACAACGTGACACTTAGGCACCTCATACCACAGTACAGCTTGCTCTTGGCACCCAACACAGACTCAGAACTGCTCTCAGAAAACCAACTGGGCTGTCCCCCCACAAAGTGCAGTTGTACTACACATATAAATGGCTGGAGGATGGATACCTCCAGTCGCTGGACCTGAGATGACTCAGGGACCCGAATGCTCACCCCTGTTCTCGGATCATGTCAGCCACCCTGGTGCAGCTACCTGCAGGGTTTTAAAATTGAACATGATATACACTGAGAGTCTATGGGGCTGGCCTCATTCCTATCCCGTTTGGCACTCACTGACGTGTGTCCTAGGTTCTGAAGAAGGCTCTAGCTTCAAAAGGAAATTATGTGTCTGTTTACCTTTCCTTGTTTGATCAGAGAAATGGGCAGGCAACTGCATGTTCATAATTAAAAAAAAATACATGAGAGCTGCTCATTTTATGTTCTTGTTTTTGTTTTGCTTTGTGTGGTACTGGGGACTGAAATCAGGGCCTCTGGCTTGCTAGGCGACCACTTGCTCTAACACTTGAGCCACACTGCTGACCCTTTTGCTTTTAGCTTGTTTTTGACACCGTGTCTTCCTAACTTTTCCCTGGGCAGCCTCAGACAGCAATCCTCCTACCTCAGCCTCCCAAATAGCTAGGATTATAGGTGTGAGCCTCCCCACCCAGCCCTGCTCATTTTGTTTTTTAAAAAAAATAGTTCTGCAGTCAATATCTGCTACTCATGTGACTTACCACAACAAGGAAAACCCCACGCAGGTTCACGGAGGACAACATTAACCTACATTAGTCATGTCGCTTCTGTAGCACATGAGACCTGCTTTTTATGACCCACTGTTCCCTAGAAACCACCAACAGGTACCTGGATCACCATGTGAAAGTGAGGTAATGTTCCTGTTAGGCTGACCGAAATGAAAAAGGCTAAGGTGGGAAAACAGACGCTGATGTGCCAGGGAAGGGAATCTAAATGAAATCAGTCAATAGCTTTTGAAAAGAAGCAAATTGGAAACAAAAAATTCAAAAGTGCGTGCTCAGGCAAGTATAGTGGCTCACACCTGTAATCCCAGCTACTCAGGAGGTACAGGGAGGATCTCAGTCCTAGGCCAAGAAGCAGTTACACACATGCACAAAAAAGGAGGCTTCACTGTTTCCGTACAGAAGTAACACCCCACAGAGGGCTCGCTCAGTACTGAGCACTGGTGGGTTTGCCCAGGCACTGGCAAGGGAGAAAACAGTGAGGGAGATGATCATTGCAGGCAATTTTTTAAAGTTTTTGTTAAAAATGGGAAAACAAACCATATTTTTGTTTTATGTCTTTCCTATATACGTACATAGTGTGTCCAACACATTCGTAGGACAGTGTGTCCCCGTCAGTGTGTCCCCAAGAGGAGACTCTGTGAGGATGTGGTACTCTGATGTTTGGGTTGTCTGCACATTAATGAATAGGTATTGATGTGAGTTACTGGGGATATTTAAATATCTTTTTCTTTGAGACAGGGTCTTGCTATGTAGCCGAGGCTGACCTCAAATTTATGATCTTCCTGCCTCAGCCTCCCCAGTACTGGGATTACAGGCGTGCACCACCACGCCTGGCTTAGATCCCTGTTTTAAAGTTAAGCTCTTATTCACCTGCTTTTGCAAAATGCATTGTCTTTTTCACAAACTGCCACAGTGCTAAAAGCACATTTTTCTGCACCTCATCTTCTACCCATCTGTGTTCAGACATTCTCTCATACTACCCCATAGACCTGCCCTCCCAGGCTAAGCGAGGGACATGAACAGTAACTGGATTTCTAATTTTGACAAATAAATATAAAACTGGAGTTGGTAAGGACGTGATTTATCTAAATACAGGTTAGAAAAGTTTCTTTTTTCTTGGCAGTCCTGGGGTTTAAACTCAGGACCTCATGTTTGCTAGGCAGGTGCTCTACCACTTGAGTCACACCGCTAGCCCTTATTTTTATTTTGATCTTAGTACCGTTCCCTGTTTTCCAACTATTTATGATGATCATTCATTAACAATCCAGTTGTGAAAATTCTAAGCCTGTGATTTCTAGGGGAGCGACTGCCTTTGATTCCTAGTGGGTAGAGACCAGGGACGATGCCAAACATCCCACAATGCACAGGGCAGTCCCATGACAAAAAATTATCTGGCCCAACATGTCAACAGTGCTGAAGTTAAGGACCACTCATCTAAATATACACACACAAACATGTTAACTATTTACGCTCCACTCACTTGTTTTGCTTGTTTCTCTGACACTTCATAGGAGAATGGGGGACAGCCTGAGCACATACCTGAACAATGAACTGGTAGATCATGACCAGGCTGACCAGCATGCTGACATTGGCCAACAGGGAGAAGATGGACAGGACCCGGAGGTTCCTGATGAAAGCCAGCAGCACCAGGAAGGGCAGGAAGGAGAGCATGTAGAGTCGTGAGTCCATGGTGGGCGTCAGAACCACTGTCTCGTTGTTCTGGCAGTCATTGGTGGTCCCATTGGCTGCTTCTATCACCTAGCATAAGGAGAAGAGAAAGCAAAAGCCCTTAATGACAAAGCCAGTGGATGTCCCACTGGAAGAGGCTCCTGACTGAAGGCTCAGGTGTATGAATGAGGCCTGAGAAACACCTGTGGCTAGGGAGCCTTCCTTGGAGATGTTCATGGTTATCGTTAGGAACATAACTTTCTGTCTGGGTTCAATCACATCTGATAAGACACAGGATGTACTTGAAGTTTCCTTACACCCCAGGGCTTCAGATGATAACCAAACAAAAAACTGTATACATAAAGTATTAAAACATGAACACTTCTGTTGACCAAAACTAACTTGGAAGGAACCCTAAACAGAAGTTCTACTCATCTACTGTCATTCTCTCTCTTTTGCACCAAAACTCTACCTGTTTAAAGTTGTCAGCCAGAAACACAAAATAGACACAGCAGAACCCCAGCTGAGTGACAATCAGGAAGAAGTCCACAATGTGCCTGGAGATGGGGAGGAAGGAAGACAGACATCACTACAGTACAAATCAAGACTTCCAGAGAGCCAAATGCTTTAAACAATGCTTTTTCCCAAGTCACCACAGACTCTTCTCAGCAGGTGGCAAGGTCAAATGTGTCCTGGCAAGAGCAGAAACTGCTAGTGCCATCAGTCTGGAGCTTTGGGAGGAAGCAAGCAGATGTTGTATGTGAGGCTTATTGAAGTCCCTTCCTGGCTTCTCGTCTTCCCATGTGAGGTCAGGGCATCACTAGAGCCCAGCACAGGCATCACCACTACTGTCAGGCCCTGTGGTGTCCTCCTTCCTACCTGACCATCTCACATCTTTCTTTCTAAAGCTACACGGAGTCCTTGACACAAAAGATCAGGAAGAGACCCTTCATAGTGTCTTGCTGTTACTTGGATAAAGAACCAACCTATTCTAATAAAAATATGCAGAAATAGATGTGCCCAATCAAATTGCTATTATAAACAACTAGTGACAACCTAAGTGGTCATCAGAAGGAAAGTGATCAAATTACAGACCATTCTTAAATGGAACTTGGTACAGTGGTGAGAAAACAAGGGTTAAATCTCTAAGTGCTGACAGAAAAAAAGCATCTAAGACATTTAAGGGGAAAAAGCAAGTGTCCAAAGACTACACATAGTTTGGTCCATTTGAGCCAAAAAAAAAAAAATTAAGAACATGAATATGGTTTGTATATTCATGAAAAATTCCAAAGAGAATCTTCAACTGTGACCAGTAAGTATTTACTTTACTTCTTGCTTTATGCTCTACCTGGTTCAAAACAATGCTCTTTCTATGAGCATCTATCTTACTCAAAGAAGGAAGGGTGCATGGGAAAGGGGAGGAAAGAAAGAAGGAAGGTAGAAAGGCGGAAAGAACAGAAGCCTGACCAGCCAAACTATGGGGGGGAGGGCGGTCACTGGAAATCTGGCTTCTCTTACTCAACAGAAAAATCGTTTTGCCCAAAGAACAACACAATATGCATCACCAGATGAAGCTACAAATGAAGTGTCCTCTCTGATCTAAAAAGGCACTTCTCCGTAGAACATGGTTTTAATGTGGTTCATTAAAAAAAAGAAAGAAAGAAAATATTAGGGCTCTCAGGTACCAATTCAATTCTCTCCATCTAGATAGAACAAAAAGTAGACTATTTCCCTCCAGACATTTCACCATAAAGAGAAATTTCCCTACACTCCCCACACCTCACAAACCCTCCCACCTCCCACCTCACTCCTTCCATCACCTATCATGTGTGCTTCTGGCTCGCCAGACAACAGAACCCTTATCAAGTTCCCCACGCTGAGCACCTGGCATGCCTCTCTCTTGGCACACTCTCTTCCTGTCAGGACACTCATCTCTCATCTTATTCTCTGGCTTCTCTTCCCATTATAGTCCTTCCTGCACAGACCACAAGCCCCTAGAAAGTGGTGACCACATAATTCACCCCAGAGAATCTCCCCTCCTGATCTTGAACTGTTTCATGCCACTTATAAAAGAGTGCTTAAAATACATTTCTCAAACAAATGAATAAATTAAATAAAATCACTGTTCACCCACTGCCAAAGCAGGAAATTTTTCAGGCCAGGCCCCATGTATTCCAGACGAGGAAACTGATGACCAGAGAAGGGAGGAGTTGCACAGCCCAAGGTCACACAGCTTACCACTAGTAGAGCTGACCCCAACACCACTCTCTGCTCCCAACACCATCCCCACATCACCCCTCCCTATCTGAAGGCCACACTGGGAGCCACATCTAAGAGAGTTACCTTCCCCAGTGGGCATGGTTCCGGAGCCAGGAGCTTGGACTGGATTCTAGTCCATACATCACAGTGTCCCCATAGTCCACGTAAGGTTTGTTCAGTCTGGGAGAGGGTGGGGTACAGGAAGGGCAGAGCATGTGGTTAGACAGTGACAGTGACAGACACTGAGACTTGCACCAGTTCCCCACTTGTCATCCTAGAACCACCTCTCTGAGTCCTGCATCAAATGCTTTTAAGAATCAGAAGTGCTAAGTCGTGGTAATTGCTTTCATTATAACTCACAAACCATATGGTAGAATCATTTCAACAGGATAAACACTACAAGGCATGTAAAATTAGAATGTGGTCTCTGTCCACTGGATATAAGTAAATTTAACACATGACAACCAGCCAAAAAGAACACAAAAGTAACCAGAGAAAGAGAGGCCATGCCATGATAATAAGCAGCCTTCCTCAGCTTGTGTGAAGAACTGAGCCTGGTAAAGGAACCAAGTGGCCATTTGTCACCCAACAGGCATTCGGTCGGGGCTCTCACCTGCGGCAGAAGTGGTGAGCACACTTCACTAGGATGCCCATGCAGTGCACAGCCACGATGCCTATCACCAGCAGGCTGAGGGGACCCATCTGCAGGGAGGACAGGTAGAATTAACAGTAAGCCTAATGGAGACTCGATTTGCAAACAATAAAATGCTTGCCAGACACTTTCAGTGACAGAACTTCTGGCCAGCCTGGGAGAGAAATGTGAAGGTGGAGATTAGCTCCATGTGATGGGTGCAATCAAGGAGGACCTTGGCATGCCTTCCACAGTCAGTCTGTGGAAGACTAACTTAAGATAAGTCTATTCTGAGACTTCCACATCAGCAGAACAGAAGTTCCCGGGTCTGTGGGAAGACAAAACGAGCTAAGGGATGTGGGGGAGGGAAGGCATCCTCAGAGCAAAGTCATATGAGGAAAGACAGTTCTTGGCTGACAACAATCCACATCTCTGAAGCCAAAATGGCTTTGGACAAGCAGTCCACAGGAGGTGAACCATAAAAGGAAGATATAAGATTCCCAGAGTAGCCCACTTAGGGACAGGGCTGGGGAACTGTGCAGAAAATGGACAGACATCTTTTATTCATTAGACTACAACAGCCTGAGCCATTTTAAGTACGCCTCTCTCCCCCACAGAGGAAGTGCCACGAGGACAGAGATCTTTGCCAAATTCCTTGATGCAGTCAAAGAGCCTGGACAGTGCCTGGCACAAAGAAGGCTCTCAACAAACAGCTTTAGACAAATGAAGGTCGGAATTTTTATTTTTCTTGGCTGAATTAAAAATACTACCACAAAAAAAAAACCTACCTCCTAAAACTTTTCCCGACACCTCCCTCCACTGGCATAGACCCTTACCAAGATGCCTGCATTTTTCACAGCCAAAGGCAGCCCCAGGAGCCCCGTGCCAATGTTGCCCTTCAGCAGGTGGATCAAGGTCTGCAGCCATCTGAAGTGGGAGGAGGCAGATGGGAAAGTTAGCCAGAGACAGCTAGCTCTAAATATTAAACACTTAGCACTGCTAAGAGCCCGCATGCTGTATCTCATTTGATTTCTATGACAACCCTACGAGATTTTATTCTATGGATAAGGAAGCAACTTGCTCAAGGTCACACACCTAATAAAGAGCCCAGCAGGGACTCTGACCCAGGTGGCCTGAGCCCAGAGTGCACCCCTTACCACTGTGGCACTCCCAAGAATCCCTCTCTCCCAGACCTGAGACCAGAGGGACCAACAGGCTCTGTTCTCTCCTACTGTACTGGGGCCTGGTTCCAATCACTGCCCTGACTACTGTACAGACTCCCAAGACAGCAACAGAAGATGACAATCCTAACTATGAAGAACACACCGGTGTGGCCGAATAGGGGAAATAAAAAAACTGAAGCCCAAATCGTCTAAACAGAAAGTTTTATGAAAAGTGAATACAGTTAAAAGTCGTTCGCCACAATAAGAAGTCACAAGTTCCCAGAGCACTTTGTATTGAAAAAAAAGGTCAACTGTCACAGGGTCTTAGCACTGGACAAGCCCTCTTCAGATAGGCGCCAACCTAGTTTACCCTTCCATCACAAGGGCAGAATTCTCTCCTCTATTTGTATAGACTGTAATTGTACAGCCTCTCACATTTCATCATTCGTTTCCTCACTCAACAAATGCCATCTACCACATACAAAACCATGTGTTAACAGTAGTGGTGGAAATAGGTGTGCATCAGAGATCGGGATCTCAGCTTCTAGGAAATGGTACTATCTCAAGGAAAGCAAGGGACACCTTAATAACCACCAAGGTGGAAAGGTCCCTTCATAAATGCCCAGGAGCAGAGCCCAGAGAGGGACAAGGCAGGTGGGAGGAGCGGGCAGACAGACCTGAGTGAGGCCAAGAGGACACACAGGACGTGTGTGCTGCTGAAGAGGAAAAGGGCATGCACAGAGGGCAGGGCCTGGCAATGAGACCCAGCTGAGCAACAAGGGCACCCACAGGAGCATAGTACTGTAGACATAGTGACCGCATGGTTGGGTGAGGGTGAGGGTGTGTAGGGAGTCTCCCTTTCTGTAGGGACCAGAAGACTGGTCGTCTTGGCATTTTTCATCCTTGTCCTGTCTATCTTTGTCTTGGCATATTTAACTCCTGACAGATAGGAAACAGGTCAGATGCAGTACTACTTTCCCTAAGTCACCCAGGATTTGGCCCCTGGTGTTGTCTAGATTCTTCTGCGTGGACAACTTAAATTTTCAAAACTGCACACATTTCTTCAAATCTTCAATTCAGTAGACACCAAAAGCAAATAACACTTGTTACCCATTAAGGCCATAAGTAAGAATCATTTAAATATCCTCTAAACAGGAATTTCACTTTAACCTTTCTCCTTCTGCTTCAGGAAGAAAATCTCCTGGTCTTCCTGCCACCCTCGGATTTTCAAGAAAGATCAATGAGCCACCATTGCTCTTGATGAGGAATGGTGTCTGCACTACCCAGCACACAGCTCAAGGATTTGTTACACTATTGGCAGCCAGTGGCCAGGAGATAATGAGCCGATTAAACTTCTATTTTGGCAAATATTTAATCCATGCAAGTGCAAAAGTAAACATACCAAACCCTTCTGCCTACCAGAAGCATCCCCAAAACATCTCTGAGCCAAGTTGTGTGGGAGACCAGGTCCCTCTCACCCTAGCTCCTCATTACCTCTCCATGGCAACTCCCTTCCCATCTCTGGGCTGCTATTACACCTGCAAAGAGGGGGAGCTGGAGTAGGACAAGTGGTCTCCCTGGTTCTCCAGCTCACAATCACCAGGATTCTAGGCCACTGGTCAAAATTACTCTTTCCCACAGATGACTCCAAGCCAAGATCACCCAACACAGTATGAGCATCAGGAAAGCAACTCCCAGGGCTGTGAGGTCTTAGCCACAGGGTGGTTATCTTTCTGAAAAGGGAAGGGAGAGGCCAAGCAAACCTGTAGTTTTACTGCAGTCCACTTTTTAAGCTCAGGGTATCTTGATTCTCTGGTGAATTAAAGGTCCCCTTCCCCAATAGCTTTTGTATTATATCTACTTATATTAAAATTAAAACTGGGAAAAATTTTAAATGTTTAATTAAAAATAATACTAGTATGTTTTTTCTGAAAAATCAAATCCATTTTCCAAGTAAGGAAATATGGGAAGAATAGTACTCTTACTTTTTTAAATAAAATCTCTTTAACGTCTCATCTCACACAACAAAACACAACTGGATTTTTGTATTTCTATATGCAATCCATGTGATACATTATTTTGGTTGACACATATGAAGAAGATTTTTGTTCTTGCTAGACATGTGGCTGGAAAAGGAAGGAGTACTTTAATACATAGCCTCTTCAATTATGGCAATTTTTCTTTGACATTACTCCAAAATGAAATACAAGATAGTTTTAGAAGCTAGGTACAATTGTGAAATCTGAACTTTTTATACTCGGTCACATTAAAATCCATTGGTGATCTTACTAACTGAATGGGCCTTTTACCCATGCGCACCGTCCTAACATTTGTAAGTTATTTGGAAGATACTGACTCCCTGAGTTATTCAGATCTTCCAAACATTTAAAGCTTTCATTATATAATATTAAAAAATCACATTCGTTATTGTCACCCCTGAATTCACTGCAAAAGTTTTCGTGTAGAAAGAAGCTGCCAGGCTCACAGTGACAGATACAAGAGTTTTCTTTTTTGCCTTGTTCTATCTAATTTTGCTTGAAAATTCAAATTTTATGTGAGTAACAAATACTGCTGATTGTTTTCCTTGAGTTGATGGGTTAATTTCCATCATTTTCAAAGAAAATGCCAGGTACTCAGGTCTGGATAGCCTATAGTTAGTTTAGTTAGTTGGTTGTTCTTTCTAGTAAAAATAGTATTCCATGAAAAAAGAAAAAAAGCAGCTAGTCCAGTTGACAACTCAAATACTCAAGGCTTGGCCTAGAGACAAGTATCACACTTTGATATTTTTCAGGAACACTTCTCATTTTGTCACACAGAGTATTAAGAGAGCTGAACTAAAGGGCTGCAATTTAATTAACTTAGTGCTTGACACTTTCATCAAGGACATTCTGAAGGACAACTGCCCTTTCGCAGCAGTGAAAACAACAATAGCCAGTGGAACGTGGAGCCACCACCACAATTCACCAGGCAGCATCTGCAATTTTACCACCTCTGCTTTGCCTCACCAGTGCAAAAGACACCGGAGTGAAAAGCACAACTATGAACACATCTTTGTTGTTCAGACTTCTTGAAATGGTCTTGGGACCCCCGAAAGGCCTGCAGACCACATGTGGCAAAGGGCTGTTCTAGATCACCTACAGAGACCAGACAGTTTCAGTCAGCTGTGCCTTGACCTGCCAGTCTGGGGAAGAAGCGGTGAGGCGTGATTAACAGCTGCTACTTCATGACTCAACAGAGCAACAAGACAAACATGAGGCTGCCATCAAAGCAGTCAACAGCTTGACACTATCCAACGTTAGGAAACCCTCACTGAGCACACCCTTGTAGAAATGGTGGCGTTCCCACTTGTATCCTCATTAGAGGAGTTTTGGCTGAGGTTTCTTTAAGAGCCAGGTGCATGCATATATATATGCAACAGGCTGGGAAAGACTCTCATGTACTTTCTTCCTTAGCAAACTATTTAACAGGGTTAGGCAAGGCACAGGTAGAAAAGGAACCCAGCTCAAAAACTTGTCCCTAACAGAGATTCTCTTAGGTAAATGAGGGTCCCCAAATCAGCCTACAACTTAATCATACCTGGCATGATTTCTGGGGCTGAAATAATCAGTCCTCCAATTCCCAAAGGAATCCTTTTCTCCGTACTAACTGTGATGAGACTGAAACCTGCCATTACCAGGGCAGGGTAGGAACCTCAAGTATACCATGGAAAATGTCTCAACACAAGGGCAAGGAAGATATTTTCTGATTTGCTCAATTTCCAACAAAGGCAAAGTAATTCGGGACTGACAACATTATATCTCAACATGAAAAAAAGTGATATTCAGAACAGCTGAAGTTCAAAGCCTGTGAGCGCCTATCTTAAAGTTGCCAGCCAGTTAGTCTTGAACTTGAGAGGTCCCAATAAAAATAAAAGTCCAGACCCTACATGGTTAAGTATTACATAGACAAGATGATGCCTGAGAATAAGGAGGAGCAAAAACTGAAGGGGAACTACAGCGAGAAAAGTTGGGAAGAAGGATTTCACAATAAGGAGAATGGCCCTGAACTGAAGCCATCACGTGCTCCCAACTGTGCGTGCAGCTCCTTCTGCCTATGAGACACAATGGAGTGGATAAGATTAGAGGAAAGAAAGGAAAGGTGGTCCTTGCTGCCACCAACTGTGCTCTAAGCAATCTTTTCCTTCAGCTAAAACTGCAAGCAAATGGGGAATCTACAAAAGCATGCCACGTGAGAAATAAGCTACAAAGCCAGCATCTTTGTGATCAGAAGCCAGCAAGTGATGGTGGGGAGCCAGTCACGTGGACAAACCATATCCTCTAGGTCCACCCCAGCTCACAAGAGAAAATGTCCTGCCCAGGACATAGGAAGCAGAGGAGCTGCCCCAGCAAGGGGCTCCAAGATAAGCTCCCAAGGTCCCTTTGGGCAGTTGCAGGGTATGACATAACTCTAGGACACAAAGGAGCCCTCAGTAGGCCACACCTAAGCCATAAAGGAACACAGATGGGTGACAGCTGGGCTTGAGGACAAATGGAAGAGCAGGAAAGGATGGGCTGCTGAGATCCTGAGACACATCAGAGGTAGGTGAAGGCTGGGGAAGCTTGGAAACTCAATGAAGTAGAAAAGCTTCCTCTCAACTTTCTAGCACCCCACAGCCACCACAGCTTCCCAGTGTGCTCCTCAATTTGTTTACATCTGGGGAAACTGAGGCCCAAAGGAGGCCCGACAGACAACCCAGGGACAAGACTTAAGCCCTCCTTAGGAAATGCAAAGTGGATTCCCCTTCTCCATCAACTGCTGGGTTTTAACTTCAGAAGTGATTTCTTTCTCCTCCCACTTCTCAGCCACATGACCTGGTTCCTTGGTGATGGGGTAGAAGATGGGGGTGACTCTGCCAAGGAGGCTTCAGAGGGGGCTGAGAGGTATCAAAAGTTCTGATCTAAGAGAAGGTCCCTCTAAAACCTTTTCTTAAGTCCAGGCTCTTGTTGGCCTCTAGCCTTCTGGGAGTAACTCAGCTGGAACAAAGACTAAGGAACTGCTTGAGAGTGGCAGGTGAGGGACACTGTAACTTGCCCTGTCCTTGTGGAACTTGCATTCATCCATAAAGTGGGGAACTGGTAAATGGGGGACAAATTGCCCCAAGGTAGATTTAGGAAAGTGACTCCCACAGGGAGGGCAGAGGGTAACAGCTACTCACGTGGTGCTACTGCTGCTTTCCCCAAAGCGCTGGTAGGAGCCCGGGGAGAAGTTGTTGAGGCCTTCTGATGGGCTCTCCTCAGGGCTCACGTCGGTGGAGCTGTAGTCATGATAGTCTTCGTTCCGAAGTCTCTGTGTGGACATGGTAGCTGGGGAGACAGGGTGAGCATTAAGACTTCCAGTAGTAGCTGGGGCCTTTAGCTCCAAGTCTGGAGGGGCCTCAGGGACAGAAGTAGTCATTGTCACAGTTGCTCACAGGGACAGCTGTGCTATGGACTGAGTACGAGAGTGCCCTGTACCAGGGGAAATGCAAGAGGTACAACATACACAGGGTAGGCTGAGTGTGCCCAGCTTATGCTCCCCACCTCCCAGTGGTGCCCACTCATAAATTTCTAAATTTGTCTGAACAATACAGAGGTGAGGCAATAGTGGGGAGGAGTAGGAATGATGTAAGTAAGCACCTCCAGGAAGTCTTCCCTATTCCTTTGGTGGCCATTACCTGGTCCCTCCTCTGAGCTAATTTCTGGGCCTTAAACAACAGCTAAGTCATCTACCTTTCCCCAGAGCAAGCTCTCAGAAGATGGGAATCTGCTGTTTCTCAGTGAATTCCCTTTTTTGCTCTGCCTTCTTTGGAGAACCTTGATGTTCCATCAGGTCCCTACCCACAAGTGACTATCTCCTTTCTGTCATGACCTCAAGCCCACCCTGTACTCCCTGGAGGCTATCAGTAGAGCTCACCCCCTCACCAGGGCTCTTTACCTGCCACCAGCCTGAGTACTGAGATATGGTACTGAGAGTAGCACAAGGGAGACCAAGACCCTGACCTCTGTGTCAACATTGCCCCTCCACAGTGCTTTATTGAGGCTCAGAAAATGACACCTAACAGTATGCACACTTCGGCATGCTAAGCACTTAGAACTAAAGGAGACCAGCAGCCTCAGCAGCCAAGCCTCTGTGACTTTCCCTGACCTACCTTCTCCCTGAAGCGAGTCACAGAAACTGGAATCCTCTTCCCCAAGGGGGTCCTAAATGTGTCAACCCTACTCCCCAAAGCAGCCATAAAACCTAGAAGGGTCACTGTCCCTTCTCATTCCAGAGAGGCCCAGCCATGTCCTGAAAGGAAGGAATGCTATACAGAAAGGCCAAGAAAAGTATGAACAGACACCCTTGCTGGGTGCCCCCTTGGGTCTACTTCCACTACTCAGACCCCTGTGGTCAACCCCAGCTGTCACAGCTTTACTGAACTCAACATAAAAATGGACAGTTTGCCTTGTGTGCTTGAGTCTTCATCTCTGAAGGCTCCTGTACCACATTAAACTTTCAGTAAATGCTATGGATTCTCATTAATCTGTCTTGTCACAGGAGTGTTGGCAGTGATCTTTATGATGGAGAGGACAGGTGTCACACCTTTTCCACCACTACGCACCCCCCCTTCTTTTTTTGTAGATTTGTTCATGTTTAAAAGATGGTGAGAGAAGAAATTCTTCCTGCTGTATGCTGGTGGACAGTGAAGTATCCCCAGAGTAGACACTCTGTAATGCTACTCCACAAAAGAAAAGAATGGGGCTTCTCTGAGGGACACAGAGACTTCCTCTGGGAGTCATGGAAGCCCCTAGGGCCCTAGAGATCACACTAAAAGGGCCTTCACTGGTACTCTAATCCTACATTCCACAGCTGAGGACCCTACTCTTGTCTAGCTATGGAGTAGCAAAGAAGGAAGCACACCTCCTGATGGCTGTCAGCATCTGGAAACGTCTGCTGCGCACAAGCCAGGGGCTGTGATGGGGGATTAAAACCAAAGTCACCTTCCTTCTCTTTGAGAGTCTACAATCAAGTACAGAAAAACACTAAAAATTATAAATACAAATCCTGTGACACTTGGCAGACTGGCATGACTCCTGCCACCACCCTGGGTCTGAGGCGTGCTCTCAGAAACCTGGGGAGGAGACAAGATCTCCCACTGTGGCCACAACACCTACCCATGCTAAACAAGCTGCCAGGGCTCCCACAGGTCCACTCCCTAGGGATTCTGGGAAACTGGCCACACCCCACACCAGAGTGATTCATGAAGATTGAATTTTCTCCCATCAGTTGAAATGTAAGGAGGACTCCATGCAATCTCACAAAGAAAGTGCTTTGCAGAAAGCCAGTAAAGGGCCTGTCTTCATCCAGGTCCTGCTGCTATACCAAAATCTGAGACTGGGTAATTTCTTTAGAAAAGAGTTCACAGTTCTAAAGGTCCAAGAGTATGGCACCAGCAGCATTTGCTGGACTTCAGGTGAGGGCCTCTTGAGGCTTTGTGCATGACAGGAAAATAGAAAGCCAGAGGGTGAATGAGGGAGAGAAGTCACACAGCGAGAGGGACCAAGGGGAGGCTCCAGGCTCACTTCCTAATTACCCTTTCTGTTGGAAACCACATTAATCCCTTCATGAGGATGGGAAGACCCCTGAACTCTTAAGAATTTCTCTTAAGGCACTCTTAAGTGCCTTTTAAAGACCCCACCATCTCTTACACTGGGAACAAGCCCCAGCATGAGTTTTGGTGGGGACAAATGATATTCAAACTACAGAAGGGCCCACAGATTCCAAGAGAATCCCACCTAGCTTTACTGCCAAAGTGTTTTGGCTAAAAAAATATGAAGTCTTCATTTATTCACATGCCAAAGTGTTTTGGTTAAAAAATATGAAGTCTTCATTTACTCACATGCTGGAGGAATTCATTTGTCCCCAGCTCTGGGATAAATAAACTCATAAAAAGATAGGGAAGGGGGTCTATGAAGTATCTTAACACATGAAGCTAAAAACTTCTTGCTATGCAGGCGAAAGATAGTAAGTTAGTTTATGAGTACAACTGGAGGCCTGGATTCTAAGCCAGCCTCTATCACCAGTTTGCTTTGTAACATTGGACAATTTTCTTTGTTAGGATCTTAGCTACCAAGTATGCAAAAAGGGGGACAGGTGATTTGAACTAAAGTATCACTCAGCTCTACTCTTGCTCTAATTTCCCAAAACCAATGAATTTAATTATTTATGCAAACAACAGCTAATTTCTCGCCCCCTCCAACATACCAAAAACATCTGAGGAAGAGCCCCTTCCAATGAATTCTGAATATTATTGAAGGTGAACCGTCAGAATATAGGAAGTCCCAAGTTCCCCAATTCCTTCCAAAGAACCAAGAAATCACTCTGCTGCTTCCGTGGTACAGATGTTCAATTTATTTCAAATGCTATAAAGGGACTTCTTTATGTTGTCCATAAAAACTGAAGTCATCCATAGAAGGTTGCTAAGAAAACTACCCAAAAAAACACTTAAACCTATAGATCCAATGCCTAATAAGTAACTACAGGACATGGAAGATGTGGCTTAACAACTGCATGCATGGTGGAAAAAGAAAAAATAATGCTACTTATGGACTTTGGTTAATGATAAGTTCAAAAGCAGTCAGTAACAGCTGGTGGAGTGGCTCAAGTGGTAGGGTGCCTGCCTAGCAAGTGTAAGGCCGAGTTCAAATTCCAGTACCAAAAAAAAAAAAGGCAATAACATAAACAAATGCCAAATTAGGGCATACAATGCTAAGCTGACACCATTTGGTCTGACCATGTACTTTGTTCTCTTCCAGGCAACATACCACAAAGGAAAAATGATGAACCGTGGACATCCAGGGGTCAAGGCCACCATCGAGAAGGGGATGGACACCAACCAAGTAAAAGAATGGTTGGAGGCACTGAGAAGGTTCAGCCTGGCAAGTCAGGAGCCATACACACTATCTATTAAAGGCTGTCATATAAATTAGACTTGTTTTCTGAGGCCTCAAAGATCAGTCAGAGCTAAGATCAGTCAAAGCAAAGATCAAAGTGAGGCCAATCTTTGGCCAGACCTAGGAAGAACCTTCTGTCAAAGACAGTACTCCAGGAATGTGGGTACCACTGTGGGGAGGGTGAATGGAGAGGGTAAAGGAGGGTGAATGTGGTCCATCTACTTTATATACTCCTATGAGACTAGAACAATGAAACCAGTTGAAATCGTTTTGAGTAGGGGTAAAGGGGAGAGTGATGGGGGAGAATTATGGTGGGGGTGAACCTAACCAAGATACATTGTAAGCACAGTCACAATGAAGACCCCTGTACAACTAATATATGCTAATAAAAATGTTAAAAATTTTTTTTAATAGACAGTTGCCCAAATGGAGATGAGTCTGGGAGAAACGTATGTTCCCATCCCTGGAAACATGTCAACAGAAGTCATTTCTCAGCAGTCACACAGGCATGCAAGGCCCCCTCCTTCTGCTGCTCTCTAGCTGCGCTCACCAAGTGCCAGCCTCCATGGTCCCCCTCCCTTGAGCTCCCCTTGATGCAACCTTGAATCCAAGCCCATTGCTGCAACTACCAGTTCCTGCCCTGTGGGAGATTTTAATAGGACCTGTTAACTGTCAAAGTGGATGTTGTAATATGTAAAAGTTGACAGCAATCTTGTCCTTCAGGTTCTTAAGGACAAGGAACAGAGTTTATAGATTGTATGTGGTCTATCAATACAAGGTCAAATTCTCCACAAGATATTCAGACCCCAAAGAGTAAACTGTTAAGAAAAGTTTGTATGTTTAGTAGCAAAAAAACAAGAAAAAAATCCAAAAGTATATTCTACCAAAATTACATTGAGACAGCAACTATTTGTTTCCTTCCTTTTCCTCATACAAGTTTTCTAATTGTGTCCACAGATGAGGTTGCTCTTTAATCTACAAAATAGACCAGGTTTCATGCGCCACTGAAAACGAGCAGGTGAAATCACTCTCTGCAACTGATGTAACATGGAAAATGAATTTTAAATTGAATTTTTCTTAAAAAAAAAAAAAAGTTGAGTCTTTACTCCCTTTTCCCCCAACTTCTCCCTACATTATCCTCTTATACTAAAATAAATCCTTGCTAAAACTTTAAAAAAAAAAAAAGATGTGTTAAATTTTCTAGAGGTGGGCAACTTTTAAGAAAAATTCTATAGTGATTCTATAGGTTTTTTTTTTTTTTTTGTAAAAGACAAATTCTTTTTTCTAATTCAAAGACTGTTTCTATTTTAAAACAGTATGACATATTATGGTTCAGGAGAACATAACCTAGCCAG